TCTTTGTGAGGCTCAACTTGAGATTACCTCTGGTTGATAAAATAACGCCACTGCCTTCCCCCTACGGCATTAGCTCGCGATCGCATCAGGAGACCATAAATATAACTCGATGTGAGTAAGACCATAGTACAGAAAATAAGTAAAGAAATGTACCTACCACAAGGTGCACACTGCTGTGTTCTCGTACCCTCACCCGTTGTTCTCATGTGAATGTTCTTGTGCAAATGTTCCCTGAGCAGTCTTTCGGCGAATAGGGGCTAGATCGAGAACGGCGATATTGAGGCAGTCCCTCTTTGCGGACTGGAGTCGCTGAATAGAAAGAGTATGTCTATAAGCCCAGGCGCAGGCTCTCAGGGAGAGCAAGTATGGACAAACAAACCAAGATAGGTGCTGACTGACACCTTGCTTCAATTAAACGACCATTCTGAATGACACTTCCATTTTATCAGATCTACCCCTATATAAATCTGCATTGTAGGTAGGTTTTTACACTTCACCCTTCTCATGCTTTCGATGCGATGGTAAGTGACAAAAGAGGGGTTGCGATAAAACCATAGGCCATCAAAGATACGCCGTGTTATATTCCCATGCAGGCCATCGAGATGCAAGTCTTGAGGAATAATGATTTGCTATTGCCTCACGCATTTCGGCTCGTTGCATGGTATATGGCGTTTGGCTTTTCATGATAGTCCGGAGAGACAGTCGAGATCTGTATATGAGATTAGGTGTGCTGGGGACGGGGTTTATGTGAGGGATGAAAGAAGCTTATTCCCCCAAGCAAGTTATAAAAGAGTGTTATTAAGTACTTGGCCCTAAGGTCCTGGGGTTGGTAGCAATGGGATTCCCCAGAGGATCTAATAAGGATCCGTTGCCCCTTATGAAACGAGCATGTACTTACATGGCGACCGGTAAAGCCCCGTAGTTTCTAATAGCAGGTATCAATCAATAACAATATACATAGCTGATATGCTGCTCAACGATAGTTGATATGTATATGTATTTCAGTACAACCCGAAACATTTCTTAATGGCTTGGCTTTATTTACAAGGGTTTCCCTGGGGAAACGAGTGGAACTCCTTACTTGATAGAATTAACCGTAAGAACTGCTTTAAATATGGGCGAGTTTCATTCTTTTCTGTAGAGAAATTCTATTAAATCTCAATGAAAAACTTAAAAGCCCCTGAGAGATAGGTATGGACTTCGTTCTTCATCGGCCCATAAGCATGGTATCCTACTATTAGTTTCCTTATTTGGATGGTTCAATAGAACTTCGTTCCCCCAGCCTTATTTCTATATTAGGAAAGGGACGAGACTAACGCCGGATTTACCCCTTTAATGGTCTCTAAACCAACGGCTAACAGCCCCAGTCCTATCAGGACTCCTTTCGAATAAAGTAACATGATTCACAGTCAGCCGAGACTACTCAATTGCTCAATTGTGTAAATGTGATAACATAGCAGGCAAAATCAGTGACGCTGTGGCCGTACTCAATCGCGCATATAACACCCTCTGTGATATCGTGCACAGCCTCCATAACACTATCTCCTTGGGGAATTCCCGAAACTCCTGCCAAAGTCTTACTTATAATAATATGAGAAAGTCCTAGCAGGAAAAACTATAGTATGATTATATTTAGCGGGGTTCATAGTGAATACCTAATTACCTACTAGGTAGGTACCTAGGAGGTAGGTATCCCGTTGTGTTTCCTGGCTAAAATGAGGCGGCGAGGCGTAAGGGAAATTCTACATTTTAACCACCGGGGATGAACTCAATATAGTTAAGTGCAATTTCGTCAAATAGACCCGGGCACATGATAGCGTCTTCGGCTGGCAGATTTTCCTACATCTGAGGGAGCCACTTGATTTTGCACTTTGTTATTCCCGGTCCGACCATCCTCTGGTACGTGTTAGGAATCTTGGATGTCGAGGCTGGGCGTATTAAGGGCGAGTGACTCTGACTCGTGACCTAGGTAGTTTAACGATGGCATGATTAAGACTTATACGGGTGGGGTCTACTCCCGAAGAACTAGGTAATGTTGGACAAACATCGAGGACTGAAATCGAAACCCTTTCGAGTGTCGTCGAAACATGTATTCGACATGAATTTGCTGCTAACGGTGAAGGAAAAGATTGTCTACCTACATGAACGTCTAATGGTTTACTTTGAACGTTATAATTGAAGCTGGCTAAGATTGGAAAGATGAGTTTGCTACTCGAAAGACTAACTGGCTACCTAACCCAAGTGACTACGCTAGTTTCCTTAGCCGAATCCACAGTAGCTGCCACAATGCCTCGAGCTTGACATATTGAAGACGAGAAACAGTGCAACGTCGCCATAGAATATCCAAGTACTTGACATAAAAGGGGGTTCATAAGGCTTGAGAAGGCCAAAACAAAAAACAAAAAACAAAAAAAAGAAACGTACAACACCGGGGATTCGCTGGTCGTCACCGACCCAACTACTAATCCGGCGGTATCCAGCTTGTCTAGGGGAGAGCGGACGGGATCCCGAATTTTCTAGATCCTATGGTCGTACGTGAAGGTTCGGATGGTTTTGTTGTGTTATATGTTGTTTTCGTTGCTTGGCTGTGGTTGAGACTAACAGCAGCACTAAGTACATATATGTCAATGCAACCGACCCGAAAGTAAACATAAATTTGATAGATATATAGTATGCACTGATCAAATCTAATTCCTACATTTACCTAAGCTTATTTGCACGTTATGAAGCTTAATGTTGTTAAAGTGAATCGTATAATGCGTGTGGAAAGTTTATATTCATGGATTACCTAATACCGGATGACTTGGGACATATACTAGGTATAACTTTTCCTGCCACCTAACTAGGTACCTACTATTATTATCAAATTAAAGGATTTAACTTTTACCAGACTCAACTAAATATATACGTACTAACATTTTGTTTATATTACCTACATGTAGGTAAACATGCGAATTGTCTCTTATAATAAAGTTACCTTAACGAAGGAAGACCTCCGATTACTCCTCACCTCTCTTACAACATTGCCTCTTTAGTTGCATTATGTACCTGTTAATTCGATGGATTTATTGTTTTTATTGTTGGGGAAAGAGCTGTCCAATTCCAATTCAGGTATCGTGAAACGGAGGGGTACAGTGGACTTACCCTCAAGTTAGGTACCTATGCATTGTAATGTACAATACAATACCTCAATACAATAGGTACAATACATATGCCCCCAGCGCCAGCTTCACCGCAATCTTAAATTCTCCTCATCACACATCGCAATCTTCCTATTCAGATAGATACCGTAGCTTCAACCTTGGTTGTTTTTTTCTGTTATTGTCTTTTTTTGCTTTCCCAACTTGTGCATTCACCTATTTCTGCCAGCTTATTATTGTTTTAAGCATCCCCAACTTTACTTATACTCAAACCCGCAGCTGTGGCACGAATCTCAGTTGGCTGAAACACAACTTTGTTGCCTTCTCTTATAGGCACATACAGTCTCTCTCTCTCTCTCTCTCTCTCTCTCTCTCGTGTGTGAATCCTATCCTTAAGATTTCAGTTAAGATTCTAGTAGGATTCCATGTTCAGTCGAAGCGAGAGAGTATCATTTTAGCCAGCTCGTCCGCCTTATTCCCCCTCGTTTCCCCTCGTTACAGCTTGCTCGTGGTTTTGCATCACCCCACGGTGTCCACCGACGCCCCTTAGCTTCGGAGGATCAGCTAACTTTTAGGGGGTACCTGGGCCTTTTACTAGCATTCTGAGTGTTGTTCGTGTTGCTGAGATTACTGAGAGAAGTGGCCGAATTGCCTCGGAGGCGTTGGGAGGAGGAGGAGGATCATAGGTTCCATTGTGGTGCCAGATTCTCAACCCCGGTTTTTTTTCTCTGGCCACGGGACAAAATCAAATTGGTGCTGCTTGGTTGCTGTTCGGTGCTTCGGTGCTGCTAGGCTAAAAAGCCAGTACCAAACCAGACGAGGCATTGGGTCTAGACTGGATTCATGCAGGGGTGGATCTCTATGATATCATCGCATCCGTCTCAAGCGACCTAATCCATGTGCAGTTTGTGCTCCTATACGGCCCGGTTACCAATAAGTCCAAGCTTGTCTGCGTTGTTATTTGTCCATTGAACCCAATCACCGCGAGGCGGCCGTTCTCCAAGGGACACTGGGGAGTACCTGATCGCGCGACCTCTGCAGCCCGGGGAACGGGGTCGCCCTTGTGCCTTGATGACGATTCCCCTCCGAGTCTCCAGACTATCACGTTTAACCCCACTAAAGCCCCGCGAAACTCGCCGTGGCTTTCATACTGTCGCAGTACATTAAAGCCTGGCGCTTCAGCGCCAGAGCTGAAGATGATCCCTCGTCAATGTGCGCTGCTGCATCGCATGGCGATAACACAGATAATATCACGGACGATAACAATCTAAAGAACGAGAAGGCCCGACAGCAAGAGGATAAGGCGGAGGTTCGACCTTCTATTACATCCATCCGTCTATTTTCACTCTTTGTTCTTATCCTTGTGCTGGTAAGTGGAATCTTTTTTTTCTTCTTCTTTTTTTTCAATCCTTTTCCCACAGACCCACGGCTTTGTAATTACATAGTATACATTATAAGAGGTAGGTAGATACTACCTACCTTATGTACTACTTACATCCTACTACATACCTAACCTAGGTATTTATTGTGGTGCCCACGGCCCCTTATTATTTAAACCTAATACACCCGATTATTAGCTATACATAACTTCATAGTTTACACCCCCGGCCCCGCATCGAAGCATTTTGACGCAATCGGGTTTCTTGCTAATTCTCTTGCTAAACCGCCCCTCTAACTTATATAACTTAATAGGTCGCTCAACTTTTTCTCACCAGCATCAAATTTCACTACTCGAGCTTCCTTACAACACCGCCTTTCTCTCGTATTTTATCTTCTCCTCCTGCTGTCGCAGTTCAAGAACCCGTGTGCGAGTCCCCTCAGCCTTTCCCTACTTCCCCTCCTGTATCTCCCGCACTCAATATGGCGCTCGCACAAGAGACGAAGCGCATCACCGCGCAGTTTGAATATACAGATGAAGATGTAAACAAAGGTGTGAAGGAGTTCCTTCGGCAAATGGGTAAGATTTACGTATTAATTGCGCATTGAGAATTTAGCTAACCCGCCTATTATGGTACAGATGAGGGATTAGAACGAGAGGGCACGAGTTTGAGCCAAATACCTACCTACGTCACTAGTGTCCCCAATGGCACTGAAAAGGTACGTCTAGCATTCTGTGGGTTCTGTGGGTCAATTGTTCGCTAGCTTACATAGAGAAGGGGTTATACCTAGCAGTCGACTTAGGGGGCACGAATTTCCGAGTCTGCTCTGTTCATTTGAACGGTGATACTACTTTCAACCTCACATACAGCAAAGTAGCAATTCCGAAGGAATTAATGGTCGCAAAGAAAGCCAGTCATCTATTCGCGTTTTTGGCCAAGCAGATCGAGCTATTTCTCAGAAAACACCACGAAGATCATTTCGAAGCTCACATCCGACGCCGGCAGACTGTGAGCACTCCTGAAGGGTATAGGGACGAGCAAATATTCCGACTCGGCTTTACTTTCAGCTTTCCCGTCCAACAGTATGGAATTAACAAGGGAACTCTTATGAGGTGGACCAAGGGCTTCGATATCCCGGATGCTGTTGGCAAAGACGTATGCGCTTTGCTACAGCAGGAGATTGATCTGCTCCGCCTCCCAGTCAAAGTGGCCGCCTTGGTGAACGACACTGTCGGTACGCTTATGGCTCGCTCTTATACTTCCCCGGGCAAGACATCTACTCTTCTTGGTGCTATTTTCGGGACGGGTACCAATGGCGCCTACGTGGAAAAAGTTTCCAACATCAAAAAGCCCGTCAAAGGCGGCTACGATAAGACAACAGACCTGATGGTTATAAATACTGAGTGGGGATCTTTCGACAACCAGATGAACGTACTGCCAAATACTTCATACGACATAGAATTAGATCAGAAGAGCGTGAACCCCGGCATACAGATGTTCGAGAAGCGGGTATCCGGCATGTTCTTAGGCGAGATTGTCCGCCTGGTAATTGTTGATATGCTCAAGAACCCCAACATATCGCTGTTCCGTGATGAGAATTCCAGTCAAAATGATTGGAAATCCACAACCACCATTGCTCCCGAGTCTGCACTGTTCAAGCAATGGGGTCTCGACAGCTCGTTAATGTCTATAGCCGCGGCTGATAACACACCCGATTATTCGTCTATTCGGCAGGAACTGGAAAAGCAACTGCAAATATACGCCGCCTCGCTTGAAGACGCTACAGCATTCAAGGAGGTAGCATATGCTGTTGGACGTCGGGCGGCAAGGCTCTCTGCCGTCGCCCTTGGTGCTGTCGTCCTGAAAAGCGGCAAACTGAACGAGTCAACGGATGAGCCAATCGACATCGGTGTCGACGGCAGTCTTGTTGAGCATTACCCTTTCTTCCGGAGTATGATTTACGAAGCGCTCGCGGCGATCGAGGGTATCGGTCCGGAAGGAGCAAAACGGATCCGCATCGGAATCGCTAAGGATGGTAGCGGTGTCGGAGCAGCGTTGATCGCACTTGTGGCCGCGAATATGGAGAAGAAGGGTGTTGTCGATTACCTGAACTACATTAAGACCAGTGTTGTTGAGAAGTTCACAAGCGCCATCTCTCAGGAGCCGACAACGGTAGTATGACGGACGTGATTTCTGATGCGGGGGAAAAAAATGGGAATGTTTATATACCTACTACAGTCATGACCTAATGCAAGAAATTTTATGAAACTTACCTACCTGGTATATGAGGTATACGCTATGCTTTATGTTATGTTGACCATTGTTCGGTAGCGATTATAGAAGTGAAATCGTCATCCATCAACGATACTGTAGCCAGATAGTGACTCACTTAGTATACTGAATCTCACTACTACTTGCCCTCTTATTGTATATTCCTCCACAGATCCTTTCTGACAGAATTCAATAAGAGGGCAAGTAGTAGTGAGATCCAGTATACTAAGTGAGTCACTATCTGGCTACAGTATCGTTGATGGATGACGATTTCGCTTAAAGTTCTATCTCTCTCCTAATCTCATACATTCCAAATGCTTTTACTTATAATTAATCCCTTTCATCCTTTTCACCGCAAGCATGTTATCAACCCCTTAATCCCTCTTTTCACGAAGGTTTTTCTTTTGTAAAATCTCTTTATTAAAGTTTTTCCATCCTACAGCTTAACGCAAACCACACAGCTTAACTACAGTCAATCCACAAGGATCTTATATATATCTTGATCGAGAAAACCTATTTTCCAATCACATGACCCTGAGTATTCCAGTACCTTACAGTCAGGTAATGGTTATTATTTTATCAGCCTTCTCTCACCTAATGATTAAGTGTCTTCCGGCTCTTCCGGAAAGGCTGTATTCCTAGCGACTCTTCCGTCAACCGTGTAGGTTCTGTGCCTCTCTTTTGTAGAGATAGGATATCCTGTTGGTCCCTGACTTTACGCATATATCCGCATTACAAGCCTCGACAATATTCTGAATGTACCACGTATTTTACCAAATAACATCATCAGCTGATTTACGGGTTGAGCTGTATGTACCTTAGGTTAGGTAGGTATGTATATAGATAGCCTCGAGGCCTTATATTTATTACCCATGTCCCCTTTTCTTCCTATCTATAAGTATACCTAGGTAGTCTGTCTATATAAGATAGGTACGTCACATCTAAACTATTATATATCTCCCACTCAGCTTAAATCCACCCAAATATGATATGCGTAGATTACCGGCTACCTTTGCCTTTTTAAACCCTTCCATGTGCATGCCCATCGCAATCTCGCGTCTGTGGACGGGTGACGCACATGTATATCGCATATATTTTCCCGTCAGCCTCGTCACTCATTTCCCCTCAAAGCCTCAAAGCAGCTGATAGGTAGGTACCTCCAGGTTAGGTACCTAGGTAGTGAGACATCTTAGGTGGCTACCTATCCATCACCGAACCAGGGCCCCGTAAATAATGGAATCGTCTCACCCGTTCGTCAAAGCCGGGCTTATGGGGAATAACCATCTCCTAAATAAATAAATAGGTACCTCTAACGTAGGATAAAATTCCAGGTTTTCGTCTTCTCAGGTATCTTATCTTTTTCCCTTACTTCCCAAACGCGGCAGCAGGGTACGCGCGATCCCTTTTCTTGCGCGGCGCCGCGGAACTGCTCCGCGAACTCGCGTTGCTGGGCGCGCCGCTGGCCGGCGCCCGCGAGACGTGCATGTCCGCCGGCAGGTCGTTCCACTCCGTCTCCGGCCGCGCGTTCTGGTACGACATCCCCGCGCTGGCGCTGGCGCCGGGGCTGCGGTTCGGCGAGGGCCCGGTGCTCCTCGGCGGCGGCGTTGGGGTCTGCTTGCTGGGAAGGAGATTGGCGGCCGCGGCCGTGGCGCTAGGCGGTATCGTCGTTGGCACTCCCGTGTTACTACTACTACTACTACTCCTTGGCGATGCCGCACCTAGGGCCGAGGTGACGGGACCCTCGATGGCCCGCCTCACGATCCAGGCGCTGTCGGGCCGCAGCTTGAAGTAGTACCCGTTGACCTGGCCATGCTTGGCGAAGCCGCGCGCGAGGTACCAGCGCAGGCCGTCCTCGTTGTCGGTCCAGACGTGCGCGTAGACCTCGCCGCAGGCGAAGGGGCTCGCGGCCGCGGCGCGCGCGACGTCGTCGAGTAGCGCGGAGGCGAGACCTAGCTGGCGGTAGGGGGAGAGCAGGACTAGGGACTGGATGTACAGCGCGTTGGGCTGGGCTGAGGGGGTCGTGGGCTGCTTCTGCTGCTGCTGCTGCGACGACAGTGGGGACTTCCGCGAGGATGAGGATACGAATGGGGACGGCTCGGGCCGGCAGACGAGACCCCCGACGACTTTGGGAGCACCATTGGAGTCGGCCGGGTCGGACCACAGGACGACGCGGCTGAATGCGCCGGAGGAGAGCGGGTCGGAGAGCCGCGCGTAGAAGGAGTCGGGGTAGTTGACGGGGAGGAGGAGGGAGGTTATGCGTCGAAGGGCGGGGATGTGTTCGGGTAGGATTGGCGAGATGGTTGCTTGCGGGTGGAGAGACGCGGGCCTGGCTAGTGGTTCGTTTGTGGGCGCTGGCGAGAGCGGTGATCTCGAGCCATTCTGCTTAGCTGTTGGAGGAGGGATGACAGCGGCTACCGACGGGGGAGCTGGAGGAGCAGCAGCAGGTGGTGGTGCTTGCGTCCGAGAGGCGGCGGGGGGTTGAACGTATGATGGCGGCTTGGGCTGGAAGAAATTGCGGATTGAAGATTGGCCATTGGCGTTGGTGGAAGGAAGAGACATTGTTGGGTCCTTGAGGACGAGTAGAATATTCGATGTTACTGTTGTCAGCTAAGAAAGAAAGTTATTGCCATGGCACGAGACCATAAACGTGTAAATATTTAAATTGGCGAAATATATATAATACGAGACGAGATACGAGATGGCGGCTTTAGGCGAGACCGCGTTAAGTGTCTTATTAAAGAACCTCGCGTAGTGCATAAAAAAAACAATGGGCTTGTCGATTATCGATAGGCCCCACTGGAGACGACTTACACTTATTTTAGGTACCGCTATAAGACACTAAACATTCAATGATTTACAGGGGATGAGTTAGCCTGTTGGTTTACTAGGAAGAGAAGGAAAATCGTTAAAGATCCGAAGATACATGTAGTCTTTCGATTTTATCTTGAAGCTACCACTATATAAGTAGTAAAATATATTAGATTGGAGTTTCGAACCAACAAATGTTTGATGAAATACTTTTTGACGTACGCAAGTACGCAATGTACAATACAAATTCAGGTACTGCATGGTATTACGTAGCGCACCTTAAAAGATCCGGGACCCTTCTACCCACTAATGCATGGGGATTCCGGTTAGTTGATTCGCTATCGCGGCTAAGTTTTGTGCTACACTGTCAGGCTTTACGGGTCAAAATTTCAGCCTCCGGTTAGGTACAGATATTAACTACAGGTATCTAAGAAGGGACGTTCTCCTGGATCCTCCTTCCCATTCTGCGCCTGAAAGGGATTACGATAAAGGGAACTAGAAATTTTTTTTAAAAAAATTGAGGAAGTTGCAAATTGCAACCTTGCCTTGGAAGTTACAAATTTCCTCCTACCCTTGCTGAATCAGAGCAAACGCCAAAAAAATCTCCAAAAACTTTAGGGGGGTTTTATAATTCTACATTTTTTAATTGTTCTGGACTGGAAGGGTGGATACCATTTTTACTTATTCTACTTCAACTTCTCCCTGCCCTTTTTTATTAATAACTATTCCCAATCCAAACGCCAACACTTTCCCCATTTTATCTTCTCTTTGGACCTTTAGAGTCTGGTTTCGCGTAATTTGTCAGCTTTTGGGATCTTCTTCGTTTTCTGGCCCGGTCGCCAATACCCTTGATACATTTCAAAGTCGGCACATTGCCGCACCTGAGTGTTCGCCATGGCCTCATCCAATACCGGCAAGGCTGGAGTAATTAGAGCTCCTGAAGGTGCCGGGAAAATGGATCAACTTGTGAGTTGGCAGTAGTTATGCATTTTTTTTTTTTTTATAACATCTCACAACACAAAACCTATTACTACAAACCTACCTAATTTAGTACGAAGGTAACTAACTAACTATGACATATCATAGGCGCATGCTGTCCTTGACGATTTGCTCTACAATATCGTTCACGATTTATTAATGCAGACGCACCGAGAGGAGAAGATCGCACGCGCCTCAACCGCCGCAATTCGCGTCGAGAAGCTAGCAGCCGACACCTCAGATTCCTCCGCCCCCGACGCTCGACCAGACGTCAAAGTCGAAACAGATGCGGCTATCTACGACGAAGGAAAGGTATTATTGAAGGGAAACCCGCTAGCTACCACCAAGGACATTGTCTGCCCGAGATGTCACCTCCCAAGATTACTATATCCCACAGATGGTAAGGGGGCGAGGAAACCCGACCCGAGCATAATATACTGCAAGAAACACCCCTACATCGACAAGCCCGGCTACGATATCTACGGCCAGACGTGGGTTGCACAAGGTCCAGGGAGGGGAAAGAAGAAGAAGGACATGGAGAAGAAGCTAGAACAAAACTCGGACTCGCAGACGCCAGCCCCAGAGGGAGGAACAGGCGGTGGAGGTGCTGCTTCGCGGCCCCCCAACATGCTCTCGTTCCCGTCGGCAACCTGCAGCAAGTGCAAGCGCTGCATCCTGGTTACCCGCTTAAACAATCATATGGGCTCATGTATTGGGAACAGCGGCCGTAATGCTAGTCGTGCTGCCGCGCAGAAGATTAGCAATGGCAATAACGCCAACGGAAACGCCGATGGGACTCCGCCGTCTAGCCAAAAGGGCACCCCACGTCCGAGCTCCAGAGCCGGCAGCCCTCATAAGAAGCGAGATAGCGATGAGATAGACGATGACGATGAAACGGACAACGACTCGCACAAAAAGAAGAAGTTAAAGCCCACGCCCGCAAACGCGACCAACAAGAAGTTGATTCTTAAGCATAAGAATTCCTCGGGCAACAAGAAAGAAAAAGTCAAGACGAGCTCCTCGTTGAGTGTGGAACAAAAGGTGGACGATGACGATGCGGATGGATCCACAGTCGAAGTCGCCCCCAAGAAGAAGATAACGAAGGTGCCTAGCCCAGCCAAGAAGCTGAAATTGGGAGCGTCTAAACCGCTACTATCATCACCGATGTCCAAGAGCAATGGCAAAACGTCTGCTCCTAGCGGTGGAGGGGATGACGATCGTGAGTCTGAAAGCTCAGGAACACTATCGTCACCTCCGGTTGTATAGTCGAGGAATAATTTCTCGTCGAGACGTTAGACAAACTACGATACCCTTTCATCATGAACATGAAACATCATAGATCCAACGAGGAGTTTGGGGGAACTTCCTCGGCCTGGCACCTTCTCATACTTTGTACACTGGCCACACATCATTGCATTTAGGGGGTTCCGGAGCTATAGCTATAGCTATCTTGACAGCGAGAAAAGGGGGGAAGGTTAGGTATGTTCTGCATCTGATCCGGGGTAGGAACATCAGGCGTGCATCATTATCATTATTATTATTATCATCATCAAACTGTACCTTTAGAACGCTTCTTTTGCACATATGAAATCCAGGCCGTTTCAGCGGCTAGTGCGAGGACTTATTTTTATAGTTTTCTCGTACATACCAATATACCACGAATGTTATGTGATTTGGTATCTCCATGTCTACCTAAAACAGTGAGCATTTCTCTTCTGTAAACTCCGAAAAACGCCAGCTTATGCATATCATATGTATATCCCCTTGGCCGTAGTTTGTTAAGTCCTCGTGATAAATGTGGCAAGCACACAGTTAATTAGATCAGAAACAAAACCTGTATATCAAAACAGCCTACTCCTCCTCATTATCCAGCACCCTCGCCCTAATGATCTTGACCTCCTCGACGGGTCTATCGTCGGCGCCGGTCTTGACCATACCCAGGCGCTTGAGGACGGCGAGGCCGGACTTGACGCGGCCGAAGATGGTGTGCTTGCCGTCGAGCCAGGGGGTCGGGGCCAGGGTGAGGAAGAACTGGGAGCCGTTGGTGTCCTTGCCGGCGTTGGCCATGCTCAGGACGCCCGCGCCCGTGTGGCGCAGGTCCGGGGCGATCTCGTCCTCGAACTTGTCACCGTAGATGGAGGTGCCGCCGCGTCCGGTGCCCGTCGGGTCCCCCGTCTGGGCCATGAAGTTGGGTATCACCCGGTGGAAGACGCACCCGTCGTAGTACCCGCGTGCGGCGAGGGTGCGGAAGTTGGCGCAGGTACGGGGCGCGTGGGTAGTGTAGAGCTCGACGGTAATTATGCCCTGGGGGTTGGGATGTAAGTAAAAGGTTAGGTACCTAAGGTAAATACTGAAGAAGGGAATATAGTAGGTATATATAGATGAGTGCAAATAAAATAAAATAAAATACATACCATAGAGGTCTCCAGGGCGACGTTGGTAGTCATCTTGGGCACGCGAGATCAGGGAGGAGGAAAAAACAACAACAAGAGACTTTGGAAATAAGAAATGGACCTTCCCAATTTCACGAGCTTCGATTGTTACCTAAGGTAATTAAAGCTGTTTGAAGCTATTCTTGGATATTCTTGAAGCTCGTCCTCCCAAAAAAGGTCCAGATTCAATTTGGAGGGGCTGCACGTCGAGTTATTCAATTGGCCATGGCTATAGGTACCTAGGTAGGTAGACAATGTAATGCATTTATCGATGTTTCTTAATACAGAAAGCACATGCTGCATGTGCGGGTCCTCACACATCATCAGGCAAGAGGTGGCTGTACGAAATAGGGAAGCCACATTGTAGCTCAACGACAACTAAAGAATTACACAAACGAATTGCATGTATCTTCTTGCAACTTTCCATGAATAACTTTTTCACGGACTTGGAAGATATCTTTTTTTTAATATCGTTTTTCAAGTTCTAGTCTGTCTTCTTCTTCTTCTTCTTCTTCTTCTTTTTTTCTTGGGATACCGGTCATAGTACTGGATAGATCCCTAACATTACCTAGCACGAATTATGTGTACAGGCCTAAGATCTGTCAAATTCTCTAACCTTAGGTGAAGATCCTAGACGCCACATATCATCACATTCCACATACACATACCCCTTGACGGTGTCTCCCATCATCCCATTTACTAACTGCTGACGATTTCCGGAAAAAAAAAAAACTACTTGAGTGTTGGACAATCCATCTATTACTGGGTCGGGTCATTGCCATAACAAACCCTGCAAGTTTAGAAAAGGCAGATCCTATTTAAAGGCACATATTTCGCTTCATGTTGCCGTAACCAAGATTCATACAACCCTGTTCGTTTTCGATATCTTTGGGCGCGGCCTTTCAAATTTCAAGCCCAACTCACATAAATACCTAACTTAGCCCCCATTTGGTCCAAGTATCACCGGGATAATGGCTAGTGATAATTCCACTCTCGCGGCAAGCGAGATCTCAGCCGCCAACGTGACAGAGTCATTAGTAGCCAATCAGGCTTTCACCGAGAAACTCGCCAACCTACCAGCAATCCTTTGGGATAATGGGAACTTCTTCTTTTTTGAGGGCCGTATAATCTTTACGGCAATGGCTTGCATTTATCTAGGATCTCAAGCCGCCCTTCGTCGCCCTCCGTCTGCAAATCCAGCCAAGAAGGGTAAAAAGGGAGGTCGGAAAGACCAAGATAAGGAAGACGAACTTGTCCAAGGTCTTGTGCCTTCTGATGCTATCTTGCTTCCTATAATGGCGGGGGCGGTACTCACTAGTCTCTACTACTTGATTAAGTGGCTTGACGACCCGGAGATCCTTAATAAGATACTGAGAGCTTACTTCTCGATTATGTCCCTAGTGGCTATGGGGAAGCTTCTTGCCGATTTACTGCATTACGTCACTGGATTTGTCTTTCCTACCGTATGGCTTGCGAAGAATGGCAGGCTATACCACATTGACTCTTCGAAAAAGGGTCAGTGGTCTGTCAACGACAACTCCACCGAACAAGTATGGGACAAAAAGAAGAAAAGCCCCTTCCCATATTGGTGGTCTGAGTTGAATGCTTCCGACGCTACGAACAATCTACTTTGGGAGATCCGCCATCTACTTACGGAGGAATGGACTATTCGCTTTTCCGTCCACGGCATTACGAACCAGAAGTTCAAAGTCAAGTTCAACGATATCCTTGGCATTGTCCTTGCCATCCATGTGAACATAGCATACTTCATGACGCAGTCAACCTTTCTATCCAACCTAATGGGTTATTCGTTCTGTTACACCGGTATCATGTTGTTGTCTCCTACCACATTCGCCACCGGAACTGCTGTCCTCTTCGGGCTCTTCTTTTACGATATTTACATGGTTTTCTATACGTAAGTCCTTTATGTTGCCTCTTGTGCTTGTTATTTGTTATAACCCGCCCTGCTCACATTTGTGTACAGCCCTTACATGGTGACCGTCGCTACCAAGCTTGACGTTCCGATTAAGCTCATTTTTGATGGGCCTGCCAGAGCTAGCATGCTCGGCCTCGGCGACATTGTGCTTCCTGGCATCTTCGTCGGGCTTTGCCTGCGCTTTGATCTCTATATGTACTACTACCGGCAACGAAAGTTCGTGCCGGTGGAGTTAAAAAGCAAGGATGAAACATCAGGCCAAGTTGTCACTAATACAGAGACGCAACGTATGGTGGTCAAGCCCGACTACATAAACCCCCAGGGACAGTGGGGAGATTGGTTCTGGAGCACAAGGTTTGGCAAATTATCGGCTAATGCTACACCGGCATTGAAAGCTACGACATTCCCTAAACCATATTTCTACGCTGCTCTCGTCGGGTACCTGCTCGCTATGATAGTCACTTTGGTTATACTCATAGTCTACCACCACGCGCAACCAGCATTGCTGTACCTTGTTCCTGGTGTCGTTTCCGCTACTTGGACCACGGGCCTATTCAGGGGGGAACTTCGAGAAATGTGGGGCTACACAGAAGATGGTAGCCTGGATACCGCAGATACAATAGTGGAAGTTGATGGCGATGGAAATGTCGTCAGCGTAGTTAAGAACAAGGTTGACGCTAAGGATAAGAAGGGTGATGATAGCAAGAATGAAGATGAGGCGAAAGATAAGAAGGATGACGGGAAGGAAGACACGCAAGCTGGAGATAACGTTTTCCCTGATACCCAATCGATCACGAAGGACGTCCCCTCGAATGGTGAGGCTGACGATAACAACGAGACTAGTCCTGATAAGAACGAGAGTTCGATAGTCGAGAAGAAGGTTAAAGGTTATTCTGTTTTCCTTTTCTCGATCGAGGTCCCAGCACCTAGCGAGGCTAGCGATTCATAGAAAGGCAGAGATCCCATGTAATATAGAGGTATCTAGGTACTTGCAGCTACAAATGCTAAATAAGTACATGTGTAATACAATGTAGATACCTAGTAAGTGCCAATGGCAACAATTCATCGCATCATTCGGTGGTTTTGAGGTTAATTGAAACTTATTCGAATACTTTCCTGAAACCGCCTCCATCGTTTTATCTGAAGTTAACCAAATCGCGTAAACAAAAACTATATATTATTTACAGGTACCTAACTGAAATCTTAACTACAAGCATATCGGTATGCATTCTGGTATCATGGCGTTATGGTATAGTGGTACTTTAGCATCATGGTATCACGATATATTTTCCTATTTTACTTCCTTGGCGCCAGTCAATTATCGGGAGGAAAACGTAGACGAAATTAATACCAGGTTGACCAGGTCAAAGCCAAAAGGTAATATCTAATATCCGGCTCGAAACAAGAAACAGGAACTCGCGTTTTCTAGCAGGGAAGGTGCCCAATGTGAGTTGTTATGATCAGTAGTTTATTTACAGAGTCTGTGGTATACAAAAATTCTCGTAAGGCATCTACCTAAAGTGATTTTGCGGAAAATATTCTACCACAAACTCAGGCAACAGTCTGAGCAAAGGCAACAAAAAAAATACTACTTAGTAAACAACCACAAAAAAAAACAAATACCGTGAGCTACAACGGGATGGACTAAGAAGCATGGAAACAACTTCGATTTTCAGCCAGTGGTTTCAAGCCTACCTACGTACCTACAGGTAACTATTGAGGCCCGAGCTATACACACTACTATATCGTGACGCCGGACACCCCTTTCATCCCCGATGGAGCCACTAATCAGGCTCCCTTCTATTTTACGCGCCTATGGTACATACGTCTATTACGGCTCGAGCTTGTTTCGACAATAGGTGGTTAGTAGATATTATACTTTCTCTTCTAAAGTTTTCGATCTGCGTTCGCGATCTGCGTTCGAGGACTGCTAGGTTGGTCCGAAGGTACTGTTTACCCCTAACAATGCCTAGATCCTGTTAGCTAAGTTTTAACTAAGTTGTTTGAAAATCGCCTCCCCGATGGCCTAGGACACGTCTCCCATCTTTCCCATCACTCCTCGACTTCCAAGCAAGTGGTCTACAACGTTCAAACTCGACTCGAATTCATCGCACGACAACATCAAATTTGTCACTTACTTGCAAACAAATTTCGCCAATACGGCTCCAAAGAACAAAACTTGAACAGAATTATCGTCCTTAGTAAGTTTACATTCTATTGATGGCCCAGTTTCGATATTTGAAGTTGCTATCGTCATCGTCTGTGTACCAAATACCACCATTATTATCCACAACACAAGATAAAACAACACAACTCATCTAACTAACGCCGTCATAGATCCCGCATCTATTAGGTAGACTCGCTCCTTGCTCGGCTATACGACAATACCAAGGAGCGTCGTTCAACCTGCCGGATAGGGGCCATAATTCTGCCGCCCTATTTTCGATAGTATATTCCGAACGGACGGAATATACTATCATTTCCATCAATATTTGCTCGCTCGGCCTTCTATCCGACACCTATCGATAGAAACCGAGAAAAAAAAATACGACTTCGCCGGACAGTTGACACCGCCACCACTACTACTATCATCGTCAACCATGTCTGGCAAAACTACTCGCGCCTCAGGTTCTGGGCGGACAAACTCCAGGACCTGCCAGGCGATCCCGGCCTTGCTGTCGCCGTCGATGACAGCAACAACAACAAAAGCAACAAGCAGCGAAGACCATATCATTGCTGCTGCTGCTTCCCCGACGGCAGTGGCAGTAACCCGCCCCGCGAGACGCCGGCGCCAAAACAATACCGGCGCCGGCGGTCGCGTCTGCAAGAACAACAACAGCAGCAACAACCGCCGCGTCCACGCCACAGCGGCGGAATTGCCCGTGTGGGGGCCCGGACCTGATCCCGGAAACGTCCGCATGATCAGGCGCTGGCGGATCGGTGTCCTGAAGGCGGGAGGCACCAACATGGAGGCGTGGCGGGAGGAGCTAAACGCTTCGACGGGACGGACGGCGCCTCCTCCTGGGCCTCCTTCCCCTTCCCCTTCTCCTCACCCTTCTCTCCTTCCACCTCCACCTCCTCCCACCGCTACCACCGCCGCCAAGAAGAGGCAGGTGGCGGAGAAGGAGGAGGAGGACCCGTCGCGGGTGTTTTGGTACGCGCAGATTATGCACTGCGCGGCGGACCTGGAGGACGCGGAGGAGTGGATGTCGAAGGGGGACATGGAGGAGATGCTGGGGTTGGAGGACGGGGAGGAGTGGGACGAGAAGCGGATGCTGGGCGGGCTGGTCCAGCTCGCGAGGGACGTGGTGCCGGAGGAGATGGGGCCGGAGGAGGAAGATGATGAGGATTAGGAGTAGGGGGTTCGGGTGGGAGTGGGAGGAAAAGGGGTGGTGGGTAGTTTTGTTATGTTCTTGTTTTTGTTTTTTTGTTTTTTTTGTTTTTTTGGTATTTGCTTTGGTATTTGCTTTGGGGTTATAACTTTTTTTGCTTGGGTTGGCGGTTTGGATCTTGAAGACATGGCATGGAGGATAGAACTTGGGTTTAGGAGTTTTGTTATATATATCATCAGCGGCGGTGTGTTACTGGTTTGTGGTAACATATAGCACATTTAGGACATTTTGTAAATTTTGAACACTTTGTACACTTTGGACATTTTGTGCATTTTGGACAATACGACGATGCTACCGGGAATATACTATACTGGCTTTGGATACATATTGCGTTGCTGATATTAGTTGTTTGTAGTTGTGAACTTGTCGAATGTCTAGCGGAGGTGATGGACCTGTCAAAAGTGGACCTAGGAGGTACCTAAGGCTGACTTCGCTTCACATTAGTGGAAAGCCTAGTCAGCGGACTCTGGTGCTAGAATCGGTAGCTGCCGCTGTAGCGTTATCACTACCTACCTCCTAAAACTAACTGCCTGACTGCTAATGCACGTGGATGAAGCTAGTACCTTAGAGGTACCTTACCTAAGGATCACCCCGTAGTACTCCGAGTGCCTGAATATAGTACGAAGCCAATGAATTGCACAAAAGGAGTCGATGTATTGCAGCTGCATAACAACCATCTAGGTAAGGACTACATATTAAATAGGTTGTTCGAGGTGAGATGAGGTAAGATAAAATCCGATCGGAGTTCTTCTCACGTTTTTTTTCCAGCTTTTTGATTGTTACCTTTTATAGCATCGAGTTGTAAAACTTGCCAACTACAATTTTGAACCTCCTCACCATTCCTAACCCCAACAAAAAACACCATGGGATCGGGCAAAGTCGAGGTCATACAATATCTTGTCGACACCCGGCAATTATGGCCCGGGGCGACTAAGACAAAAGACCTCGAGAAAGAGGTATGAGCAATTTAACACCTCTTTTTTTTCTTCTTCTTCTTTTGTCTTGTCTTATCTTTGCAACGGATAGATTAAAATAGCTTACGTCAGTCTAGGCCTCGCGCGCGTTGGCACTCCTCACCGAGGATGAGAAGAAGGGCGTTCTAAAGTATTACTTCGTCGCCGATGCAAAGATGTCGTTGACCTCGCAACTGCTGAAGCACTGGGTCGTCAGCAAATATGCTGGCGTCTCGTGGTGGGACACTAAGCTGACGCGGGACGAGAAGACCAAACCAGTGTACGTGGACCCCGCTACGGGCAAGCAGCCCGTCGCCTTCAACGTCAGCCACCAGGCTGGCATCGTCGCCCTCGTGGCCGTAGCCGGGTACGACGGCAAAGTTGACGTCGGCACCGACGTGGTGTGCACGAGCGAGCGCCGCGCCCGCGACCACAAGGTCATCAACACGGAGTGCTGGGCCAGCTTCGTCGACCTGCACTCGGACGTGTTCGGCAGGTCCGAGGCGGGCTACCTGAAGAGCGACCTCCTGACCACCCAGACGGACCTTCCGCCGCAGGCGCGCGGCGACGAGATCGTCGACTTCAAGCTGCGGGCGTTCTACACGCTGTGGTGCCTGCGCGAGGCGTACGTCAAGATGACGGGGGAGGCGCTCCTGGCGCCGTGGCTCAAGGACCTAGAGTTCAAGCGGTTCCGGGCTCCGCGCCCAGGGCGGGAGTTCGCGCAGCTGCCGGACGGTGAGCTGGTCGACAAGCAGGAGGTCATCAAGGAGCACGAGATCTTGTTCCACGGGGAAAAGGTCGATGATGCGAACATCTGCCTGCGCTCCCTGGGGCCGGACTACATGACCTGCTCTGCCATCCGGACGCCGGACCGCAGGGGAGACGCGCTCAGCTGGGACTTGGGACCGTACGAGTTCCTGCCGATGAACCAGATCTTGTCTGACGCGGAAGAGCGGCTGGAGGAGTGATTTTGGGAGGAGTGGATAGAGTCGAGTCACCCATCTTTATGCGTTACGAAGATTACGAGGGTATATATGAACATTTATTTCAAGTCATTAGACCATCATCTATTTCTATCTAGAGTAGCTGCCTACAGGATCTAGGTTCAGGCTAGGCTAAGATGGCGAAGGGTTGTGCTGTTATAGCATCTAGAGGAGGGTTATGGTCACATCGGCATACACCCCCAACTCATGCAAGGTGACGGCAGTATGCGGCAGGTGATCTTCATTTGGGACTACCCAACATGACCCTTTTTTATGTGACCCTATATAAGTTCAACGTGACGGTTACCCAGATACCTAGAAAGAGCCATATGGTGGGTTATATAGTTGCAATTTTACTACCCATAGCGATGTCATATTCACTTCTTATGCGAGTTAGACTCTACCTACCTGGTATGTAACTGCCCAGGTGGTGAACTCGAGACTTTAAGCGTTAAAGATTATTCAATAATAATGAATAAATGTAAGGTGAGCAATTGGGGGTTATGCTTTATACTAAGGTTTTGCACATACTCTAACGCCGGATAGTATTCTGTTTCACAGCATGTGTAGAAGGAGAGAGAAGGAATATATCACCTCTTATGCATCAGCGTACCCAGGTACATTCTATTAGGCATTAACACCGTGTGATTACCGTGTCACACCGTAAATCCACTATGCTATCTGGCTATGTACAAAGTACATTGTACTACATATGGTACGTGTCTCAACCTTTAGCGTGGCTTGCTTCATTGGTGGGGAATGTCCCCTCCCTGAGATTTGGCGTCTGGACGAATTTCCAAATTCTGGGATTGGAAGCTGCACACATATCAAACCAGTCAAAGCTAAAACGACTTGGACACTAAAAACGTCATTTTTTGGTGACGAAGGGGGGGAAATGCTTGTCTTTGTGAAAAGACACAGTTGACCATTCAATCCCAACTATCTCCTATCATTCCTAAAAAACAAAACCTACGGAATTAAATTCCACTCTTCGATTCGACTTTTATTTTTATTTAACCTTCGATAACTAAATTCTACTAAATCCTCGCTTAATCTCCTCGTCCCCATCATTTAAACATGCTGTAAACCGTACTAGCATCTGCTTCATCGTCAAGTCAAATCAAATCTAATCTTCACCATCGACTTTCCTTCAACAAAGTTGCTCGTCTATCACAAGTCTGCGATTTCGGTACTGGGAGGTACCGGAATAATTCTATTTAATTCAACATGTCGGAAGCCGGCGATAGGTAAGTAAGCTTAATTATCGATCCCACCGTCTAGAAATGCCCTATTGCTTCTTTTCTAAGGCATCTTAAGACTATGGGATCTTAAGATTCTAGTGCGACGCGGAGACATCTCCCCCCAGATAACTGACTCGCTTTGAAACTAGCCAGCATAAGCGGTCTAAATCAGCCGCCCTCTCCCTCCTCCGGCGCAAGGATAAGGAAAATCGTAATGATGACGATGCTGTCTCCGAAGATGGATCGCAAACCTCCGGGCTCGGTGCACTTCCCATCACGAGCAACTCTGCCCCCGCGGTTCCCTTGTCCCACCAAGGCTCAGTCAAGGGTCATAGCCAAAAGATGTCAGTTAGCCGAATACCGTCCCGCGAGCCCCCCTCTTTAAACCCGAATCGGTACAGTCTCGTCCCCGGCGACAAGGGCTCTTCCCTTGAACAGTCCGTACGTAAATTCCGGATCGTCGAGGCCCTACGGAGCGGAAACACGGCTGCGATATCCAAGGCTGTTAGGGAAACGTCCGAATCTGGGCCTCGTGCTAGTACGTCTTCTATCAATGGAGCAAACACGGGGCCTTTGGAAGACACGACGGTTTTACACCTTGCCATCCAGTGCGCCGAATTCGATGTTGTGCAATACGTACTCTCCGATGGCGCCGGATATGTTGATGTAAACGCTCGGGATAAGGATGGAAATACACCGCTACATATTGCTGCTACTCAGGGGCGTGCCCCGGTAGTTCGGTTACTTTTAGAGCAGAAGGATATCAACGATGCTGTTGCAAACAACCAGGGAAAGCTCCCTTTAGATGTAGCAAGAAGTCCCGATATCTTCCAACAGCTGCAGCTCGCGAGGACATTATTTGTGCAGGATAAAGTAAAGGAAGTCCAGGAGCTTGTGCGAAAAGGGGCCTATGATACTCTTGGTCAGGTTCTCGAAGAACCCCGCGTCAAGACAATCTTAGACATCAATAGTATTGAGCTACCCTGTGACCCCGTGACCATTCAGGCGGGTGGAACCTTGCTTCATGAGGCCGCCCGCAAGAGAGACACAAAATTGATCCAAGCCCTTCTCCTTCATGGTGCTGATCCGTTTCAACGGGATCGCAAGGGTAAGCTCCCTCAGCAGGTTACCAATGATGACATCACGAAAGCGATGCTCAAGAAATCCCCTGCCGCGGTAGCTGCACAACGTGGCATTCAGGAGAAAGCAGTACTTGGGCACGCGACTTCGCAAGGTGGTCCCGGGCCCGCTGTCACAGGAGACCCTCTAGCTGGACGCGAACCGCAGATGAAGGGGTACCTCAAGAAGTGGACAAATTACCGTAGAGGTTACCAGCTGCGTTGGTTTGTCCTCGAGAACGGTGTCCTGAGTTATTATAAACATCAGGACGACGCAGAAAATGCCTGCCGAGGAGCTATCAGCATGCGCATCGCCAAGTTATACATGAGCCCCGAGGAGAAGACGAAATTCGAGATTATCGGAAAGTCATCCGTCAAGTATACGCTAAAGGCTAATCACGAAGTTGAGGCTAAGCGGTGGTTCTGGGCCCTGAATAATGCGATTCAGTGGATGAAAGACCAGGCGAAGCAGGAAGAAAAGCAGAAGGCACAGAGTGCCGAAATGTTACGGCAGGCCCGAGATAGCCTTTACAAACCGGCAGAACCTTCTGTTACAGATTCTCATAGCGAAGTGGCCAGCACAGGCGAACCTAGGAATAGTGTGCAATTATCCCGTCTTTCTTCAATAGGAAAAGCACCTAGTCCACGAACTGGAATATCTCGTGCTAGTACCGCGGGAAGCGTGGATGACGAATTTGTCGACGCTGGCAGCCCGGAGACCAAGGGACAAAGTAACGGAGCGCCTACTTTCCTTGGCGAAGTTGATGATTTGGACGACGACGACGACGGATACATAGATCAGTCAAGCCGTGGCGAGTCCCCAACAGCGACCAAGGACGCTTTTAATATTACCGCACAGTCAGCAAAGCTTCAACTGGACACACTAGCATCCGTGAGCGCAGCGTTACAGGCGGAAGCACAGAAGAATCCATCGCTGTCACTTGCTGATCCTAAAGCAGCGCAAGCGCTTGCGACATACGACGCAGCGATCCGAAGTCTAAAGGGCCTTATGGGGGACCTGCTTAGGATATCGAAGGACCGTGACGCGCATTGGCAATATCGCTTGGAACAAGAAATTGAGATGCGACAAATGTGGGAAGAAAGCATGGCCAAAGTTGCCGCAGAACAAGAAGTCTTGGAAGCAAGAGTCAGCGAAGCGGAAACGAAGCGGAAATTGGCGAAACGGGCGCTTCGTGAAGTCATGGGAAATGCCGGCGAATCTAGGCCAATAACTAGAGATAGTTTCCATGCCGTGCGTGCTGAGACGTCTGGTATGAATGAGGAGGAAACACCTGATCCGTTACAGTCGCCGTCGCTGAAGAGTATAGGTCGCAAGTCAACCTTACACTCTCATGCTATCGAGCTCTCCAGCGACTCAGAATCCGAGCAGGAGGAATTCTTCGATGCTGTAGACGCAGGAGAAGTCGACGCAGAACCCATGCCGCCGTCTGACGTGGTGCCAGCCGCCGGCACTGGACAGGATGTCATAGTATCAGGAGTAGACGTCAGCAGCGCATTTAAAGGTTACGAGAATGGTTTCAGGACAAGACTAAAATTGGACGAAGATAACCGACCAAGGATTGGTCTATGGGTAAGTTCTCGGATCTTGTCAAGTTAACACTCAGCTGCTGATTTGGTTTTAGGGTATCTTGAAGTCTATGATCGGGAAGGATATGACGAAGATGACGTTACCTGTGTCCTTTAACGAGCCAACTTCTTTGCTCTATCGAACTGGTGAAGACATGGAGTATGCAGATCTATTGAACATGGCAGCGGATCGATCGGATTCGATCGAGCGTATGCTGTACGTCGCCGCCTTTGCTTCGAGTGAATTCGCGTCAACTATTGGTCGTGTCGCGAAACCATTCAATCCGCTTTTGGGTGAGACGTTTGAATATGCCAGACCCGACAAAGGATATCGTTTCTTCATCGAGCAAGTCAGTCACCACCCGCCTATCGGTGCGGCGTATGCAGAATCTGCGAAATGGACTTACTGGGGTGAGGCTAAAGTCGACTCGAGGTTCTTGGGCAAGTCGTTCGATATCTATCACCTTGGTACCTGGTTCCTGAGATTGCGCCCTACTGCCGGGGGCAAAGAAGATTTCTACACGTGGAAGAAGCCCAAATCACAAGTAGTCGGTATTATTACAGGTAACCCGGTCGTGGACAACTACGGTCTCGTGGAAATCAAGAATTGGACAACCGGAGAGACATGCTTGCTAGATTTCAAGCAGCGAGGTTGGAAAGCATCCAGCGCCTACCAGCTCTCTGGAAAGATTTTAGACGCCGATGGTCGGCCACGCATGAGCTTGGGTGGCCGTTGGAACTCGAAACTCTACGCCCGCCTTACGCCCGGCTTTGAGGCCACTGTCGAAGAGCCGAAGGACACACAAGGCAACATCAGCGATCCCAGCCGAGCTTTCATAGTGTGGGAAGCCAATCCTCGACCTGAGGGTATTCCGTTCAACCTTACACCGTTTGTGCTCACTTTCAACCACATAGACGATAACCTCAAGAAATGGATCGCCCCTACTGACTCCAGATACCGTCCGGATCAGAGGGCGATGGAAGACGGCGAATATGATTTTGCGGCCAGCGAAAAGAACCGGCTCGAAGAGGCGCAACGAGCCAGGAGGAAGGCGAGGCAGCAAACGGGCGAGGAATTCGCACCCGCATGGTTTGAGAAGGCGACATGTGAAATCACGGGGGTAGAATACTGGAAGTTTAATGGCAAGTACTGGACGCAGCGGGAGAAGTTCGGTAGCGGGGACGCCCACGCGTGGGATGGCCTAGAGCCGATCTACTCGTCCGAAGAGCAGGAGTAATGGATCTTGGCTAGTAGGTAGTGGTGAGGCTGTACATCATCATATAAAAAAAGAAGGACACTAGCGCGAGGCGGCTGTTAGACGAGTATGAATGAAACGAGGCATTACTATTCTGACGGTTTTAAAAATGATTGTTCGGCGATTTAATGTGAAGTTCAATCTGCATAGAAATGTTTTTTTCTTTCTTTTTTCTTAGTTACCTATACAATCAGAAGCAACCGGATTTGCTGTAATTTTAGCGAGAATAATGAATATTAGTTGAGCGAATTACTTCTCTTCTCAACGAAAGTTGTCATGTTGAGTGTGCTATAAGTTGTTGCCTGATATGAGTTGCCGGTCCAGGGTGAGGCCGATTACCGAATAGACAACCAAACAAATACTTGCCTCATACCCTAGGTACCTACCCATGAAACCATGAATATACCTTGGTAAGGACTTGGGATGACTTACATGTGTAAGGCGAATCGATGGGCCGGCACTTTACCCTGTATTGTACCTAACCTGTATGTACCTAGGTACCTTTATAGGTTGTTTCCACGGCGAGAGGTTCCAATTTATTGGCACCGGCATGCGGGCCGTGGTCCACTCTGATCCGAGCCTCGGTAAAAAAAGAGAAGAAGAAAAAAGGGCTAGCTGAATGAACAAGACAATCAATCCCGTTCGGGTTTCGTAAGCATGAAAGCTTCTAGCTTCCAAGTTCTCTTGTCGGCTAAGGGGTTTTTCGCTTGAGCTTTGCGAAGAAATCTCGCAATAGGGGGAGATATAATTCTACATATCTGTTGATTGTTATTTGTTATTTATTCTTTTGTTCATTGCGATCAAGACACGTTTAATAAACTCACCTGTCTAAGACACATACACAGGTACTGGCCGGGGACCTACTTGGGTATCTACTTGTTAACTTATTAAAAAGCTAAAGGGGTAATTTGTGGATATACATTAGGTTAGGTACCTCCTACCTAACATATCTCATATCCCTTACGCGCGCAACTTCGCTACGTACAATCATCATTATCACCATCATCATCGGCGATTGCCGTCTTCTTGTACGAACGCCGTTGGAGTCGAAAAAACAAAAAAAATCTGGCTGCATGCAGACGATAGGCGAGAGATAGTCGCCGCCGCCGCCACCACCACCACCACCACCGTTACCATCACCGTTACCGTTACGTGGTACGGAAAACTATATAGGTACCTACCTCTAACCTAACCTAACCTTACCTAACATAACATAAGCTAAGCTAAGCTAAGCTCAGCTCAGCTCAGCTCGTTTGTTCGAACGACGACAGCAATGGGCGAGGGCGAGAGGTTTCCGACGCTGGTCCGGCCGCCACCGGTCGACACGTCCAAGGCGCCGATCGAGAACGCGCTCGAGCTCACGGAGCTTAGCATCATCGGACCTGTAAGCCCCTCTCTCCTATTTTCTCTTTCTTTCTTTCCTTCTTTTTTTTAAAATTTTTTTTTTGTGATTTCCTAAGCACTTGTGACACACGATGTATATCTACCTCCCTAAGGTTATGTGTGTGTGTGTGTTGTACGTGGGGAAAACGCCGCTGACTCGTCTACTTAGGACCTCTTCACTAATACGCGCGAGCTGTGGCATCCGCCCGGCGCGCGGGGAATCTACGGAGGCGCCGTTATTGCGCAGACGCTTGCTGTATGTCGATTTTGTGTTTCTTTTTCTTTTTGCTGCTCATGCTGTGTTATGTTCTCGCTTATGCTGGCTTCGGTTTCTTAATGGGTGGCCTGTTGTTGGTTTCATTATATATCGCTCTCGCTCTCGCTTACTTCTCACCCATTTGCTCCCCCCCCCTCCCCCCTATCTCGTATGATCCGTCTGTTTGTTTGCCAGTTCCTGTGATACCCCATGGCTTATTAGCCCGCTGTCCTCCCCGAGCGGAGTTCGGCTGGGAGGGCCCGATTCGATAGCCCGGGTTGGCTTTCGCCTGTTTTTTCTCCTTGCCCCCGGCGTTGTGTTCTGTTGCGCTGTGCTCCCAACGCCTATGTATATCTATCCCCTCTTGCATAATTTCCTTCTTCCACCCCTCCCCTTACCAAGCCTCATCTCATCTCACCCGCATATGCAAAGACGGGATAAGGCGCGGCGGGGGGAAAGAGGGGGGCGTGGCAAGTTGAAATCCTGACGGAGAACTTCCGCTTTGCATAACTCGGATCCCCATCATTCATTCATTCATCCTCGTCCAACTGCGACATTATGCAAGCCATCAGCTGACGGTGATGAGCGACGAGCACAAAAAAAATCAAAGTCAGAGAAAAAACAACCCATCGACTAACATGAATAAACCTCCCCCTTCCCTATAGGCTGCCCAACGTACCGTCCCACCAAACTTCGTGGTCCACTCGTACCACTGCTTCTTCGTGCTCGCGGGCGACTCCAGCGTGCCCATCCTGTACCACGTCGAGCGCGTGCGCGAGGGCCGGTCCTTCTGCACGCGCACGGTGCAGGCGCGCCAGCGCGGCCACGCCATCTTCACCGTGACGTGCTCGTTCGTGCGCGAGGGCAGCGGCGGCGCGGAGACGGTCTCCCACGCGGCGCCCGTGCCGGCGGGAGCCCTGGACCAGAAGCCGCCCGACGACTACGTGGACCCGCCGTTCCTCCGACACGCCGCCGGGGACGACAACGACGACGACCCGTTCCAGACCTACCGGTGTCGGAGCCCCGGGGACGAGGCCGAGCTGCACCCCGCGAGCAAGCGCATGTGGCACTGGGTGCGGGCGCGCGGCAGGATCAGCGACGGCGGCGGGCTGCGCGCGCACCTGAGCGCGCTGGCGTACGTCAGCGACTCGTACTTCATCGGCACGGTGAGCCGCGTGCACCGGCTGTGGCGGCAGCCGGTGCGGCCGGAGGACCTGGGCGCGCTGGACCGGGGGACGCGGGAGCACCTCGAGCGGGTGAGCGAGTGGGAAGGGTGCGGGAGCCTGGCGGAGACGGCGAAGAGGCCCCAGGTCGGGATGATGGTCTCGCTCGACCACTCCATCTACTTCCACAACCCGGCCAAGGTCCGCGCCGACGAGTGGATGTTCGTCGAGATGGAGACCCCCTGGGCCGGGGACGGGAGGGGCGTCGTCGTGCAGAAGATATACAGTCGCGACGGGACGTTGCTTGCTACCGCGTTTCAGGAGGTGAGTTTTTTTTTTTTTGTTATATATATCCATGTCCCCCTGTTTTTCCGGGTTGTTCAGCCCCATATCCCGTAAGGCTTTTCTTGGTAAAGAGGTACTGGGCTAACGAGTGTCTCATGACTTATAGGGTGTTGTACGGTTAACGCAGAAGAAGAGCCAAGACAAGGCCAAGCAAGAGAAAGCGAAGCTATAAAAAGGTTGCTACTGGCCTTTTTGTTGCTGTTGTGTAAGAAGGCCAAGAGGTAATATAAATGAACCTGGGGGGGGGGGGGGGGGAAGGGGGGGCAACGTGTGTTTACCGATTAGACTGGAGTTTTTTTTCTTGTCTTAACTAGGCGGGACGTATAGACAGACAGACTTGTTATTGCTAATACCTCTTTACGCGAGTAGATGATGCGAGGGTTTTTAGATTGTAGTAGATACGTTACGTTATAGAACTATACCCATTCATATGTGTGATTCTCTCCGGTGGGAGGTGATTTTTACTATTAAAGTATATATGAGGTAGGTAGGTAGGTAGCTTCCGCTGACGGAATAAGTACCTTTCTTACTGGTTTAGGGGTGTATTTACATGTTTTGAATACTGAGCCCCTTTTTACGTCTTCGAGTGCCAGCAGTCTTTATGCATATACGGGCAGGAGGTACCCCAAGGTTTCAAGCTTGAAGCAGGGACCTAGAAGCAAGTATACCGAGGGCGTATATCTCACAGTATCAACGTCGGCAACGTGGGAGTGGGATATAAATAAGGTATCTTTGGTCAGGGCCGGCGCTACGATTCACGCCATCCGTAATAGAACTACCAAAGCAAAGCATGAGGAAGGATATCCTTATGCGGGTTGAGCTGGCTAACGGATTTGCCCCCTTCCCCCCGCCGGTTTCGCCGTTGTTGCGGCGGAGAGTTGCCGAATTGTAATAACAGTCCGCGGAGATGAATCATCACTCGGGGGACTACGGAAGAGAGATTCGGTATGGTACCTTATGTGGAGTCTCCCCGTGAGTCTGGCGAATGTGGAAAGGCGAGATAACGAGATAGGGGCAGTAGGAGAAAAGACAATGATAAGGAAAGGGGTTCACAGCTAGGTGAATATGATGGTAGGTGTGTTTATGTTTACTTGCCTATCCGCCCCAATAGATCCGTATAAAAATGAGCGTCAAAACAGGTAAGGTATAATATCCTCTCTTAAAATTTCCCTCCTCATCATCACATAGGGGACGACGACGACCAACCTTCCTGGCGTGTTCGAGATGACTTCTCCTGGACAAGTCTGGACTCGACTTCAGACAGAACAAAAAAGGAAACAAGGAAAAGCCGAGGATAAGACAAGGCCAGGCGGCGAAAGGGAACGAACGAGAGATATTTTATTTCCCTTTTCTTTTCCTTCGAGCCCCATACCGGCGAAACTTCACCCGCGCGGTATCGGCAACCAGGGATGGCTAGCCAACGGTTCTCGCAAGGGTCGATAAAAAAAAAGAGCAAGAAAAGACTTAGGGGAAAAAAAAAACATCTCCGGCCGATTCGAATCGAGAGAGAAGAAGCCTTTGCGGGTCGCAAGGAGAAAACTCGGCGATGGTTTTTTTTTTTTAATGTACCTTACAAGTATGAGGTAGGTTAGGTATGTGAAATCCACGCTATCGGAGCAAGCTCCATCTATTGGGAGCTGCCAGACTTGTTTTTTTTCTCTGCCTGCTTCTTGTTCTTAAATTTTTTTTTTTTTTTTTTTTTTTTCACCTAAAGCTAGCTAGGTCTAGCCCTGCTGGGTCGCCTCACTTGTTTTTCAGCTGGAGGCTGGAGCTACCTAGCTGGAGCCCTTCCGTGAAGTTTCGCGAAGAGACGGGCCGGCGGGTTTTCGCGATGGGGAATTTTTTTTTTCTTCTTCTTCTTTTCGTCTTGCGCGAGTTTGGAAGGGGAAAAAAAAAGACTAGCTACCTAGCCAACCGTTAGTTCAACCGGTTGGGCTTTACTTTACGTCCACTCAGAGAGCGGAATAGCAGAGCCGCGGTATTTTCCCACGTGGCGGGGCCATTAAAAGTGTCTCTGTAAAGCGTGGATCAATAATTGCTATTAGTATAATAATTATTATTAATCGTCTTGTCGGAATGGTAATGATTTCTCGTTCGGGTGTGTTTAAGGGGCCGGTGGGGACGGCGCGTAGGGCTAAGAAACAAGTCTTAGTTTAATGATTGTGTGTTACTTTCATGCGTGAAGACGTTGTTAACTCAATTATGTGTAGTATTAGTTGTTGGTGATACAGAGCCTTGTTGATTATGTTACAGTTAGTAGGAGGTGAGTACCTAAGTTGGTATGTTGTATTATTATGTACGAGGCTCTCGGGATAAGTTGAAAGTTGTGAAAGTCAGGGATGCCAAGTCGATATATCCGTCAATAGAAACCGAAAAGTGACTATGTACCCTAGGAGGTAGCTATGTAAAATGTGGTTTCAAATTTCACCTGCGGCAAAGCGAAGACGTCATGTATTAACTGTTTTGATAACACGTGGAGAATGGCTGACGATGCACTCTGCTTACGCTCCATACTTCCCCAAGTAAGACACCGGGGGTGGAGGGTATTGAGAGGCTGTCGAGATGCTAACAATATCTCCCGTGCAAGCAGGTTTATCGTGAAAACGGCTCAATGGCCTTGTATTCATTGTAGTTGTTGTAGTACCTAGTAGTAGTGAAGTAATAGTCTACCTGTCAGTTTGTCTATTAAGGATCTCGACTGCAACCGGGATTCGGGGCACGGACAGTCGATCTAAGCAAGTTCCGCCAGCACAAAGCACGGATTTCGACTTGAACCCGTTTGTATCTCTATGTCTCTCAAGTACCGCAGAGAAAATGGAAAAGGCTTTTAGTTATGAGCTAAGTGGCCTCGACGTTGTCCCACTAGGGCTGACCCACGTCCCTTTATTACTAGGAGATACATGGTAATTAGGTTGTGAATATGTGCTAGTAGTCAATGCTAATGCTGTGATACCCTTTCACGATCCAATTAATATCCTCGGCCGGCATTAATACATCAAAAACCGACCCCCCGAAGGAGAAATTGGGTCATTCTTACCCATCAGCATGTGAAGCTCAGTTTTATGTATTTCATCGCAGTTTTTTTTTTTTCTTGGTTTCTTGTCTTCCACGCGCAACTACTACCCTATCCCACACGGACGACCGCGGGTGAGTTTGTGGAGAGTGAGGATGTTATGTCGATTTACCCACGCGAGACCTTGCTGCTTCGAGAGGAATCACCCACCCTTTCCTTCCCCATGACACGGACGGCACAAGGGCTAAACAGGGCTGCAGAGAAATGAGTATCGGTACGTATAAGCATGAGCATGATGAGGGACTTTCCCTCCTTGCCCCCCTGTTACCTGTGACCTGTTACCTAAGGGGTTCTCCATAACGAACATCGAATTTGCGTTAATTATTCTAAAAAGGGGACATGGACGAGAACGGGTAAAAGTAAGCTTGTGACATCGTGACATCGTGACATGGCTTTTGAAAGAAAGCTGCGTTGTTCAATCGATTACCCTAAAACGTCTAATATTATTTATCAGCGGCCCTGGTAAGGTAACATTTTTCGGTCTAGGATGATTCCCTCGGAGAGCGAGCCTGACTCGCTAATGTAGCAGCCGAAACACCGAATAGCTGGATCCGCCATTATGGGATCTTATGATCATTTTCATAGTGGTGTTTTATCTTGAGTCAGATATTTGTTTGTGTTTTTATAGAAAAAAAAAGGAAAAAAAAAAGTTCGATATCGGTTCCCAATTACTTGATTGATAAAACTTCGATAGCGTGCGGGCTGATCGATCGTCTTAACTCCAGCCATCTCTAAATCGAGCCCAAACCCAGCCCAACTCAACTCAACCCAATCCAACCCAAAACCAAACCCTCCTTAACCGGATTCTTGGGTCTGGTTATTTGGGTCAGGTCTCATACCAATACCAATACCAATACCATAATATGTCATTATACTACGTATCATTTTATGCACCTCTATCTTCAGCAATAGGTATCAATGTCGCGCGCATGTTCTATTATGCTCCTTTTGGTAATAATGACAAAGGAAAAAAGCGGACTTACTTTAAATGGTATTAGTTATCTGAAATCCTGCACTCCGATTCGGCCGATGTATAAATCGTAAGTAACCGGAGCCGACACGGCATATCCAATTGTCCCATGGTACTGGACCATAATAGGAAAGCTTGTTGTGGGTCCTAGAGGCGATCATCTCCCATGGGTTTCCACCTTTTTGAATTGACCAATAGTATTTAATCAACATTCCCTCTTCTAGAATTGCAGCTGAACTCTGCTGTACCTTTTTTTTTGGCAGCATTGCAGCATCACTGCTGCTCGCCAAATATACCCACTTTTAGCCAAAAGCGGAACCATTTTGCATCTTTAGGACTTGTGAGATTGTGAGAATATACCACGTACTCTATTCTATGCGGCTATATAATCAAGCTGGGCCAGATAAGTGGTGAGATCATTCGAATCGTAAAGGGGGCAGAGTTTCGAAGTTAGCGTAATCTAATTTTCTGCGTTGCCACGCATTAGATGGCAATCTCAAGCTAAGCTCGACAAGTGGTGATTTGAGAAAGGCAAATTGCATCAGAGGGTATAGGAAAAGCCCATAAGAGGATTCTCCGGATCTGCCAGTCCTCTCCTTCGGGAATGCGCTAAACTAGGAGCGCCTTGCAGGATGTTCCACAAAGAATCTACCTAAGTAACCTTTCGGTAGGTACCTACCTAGGCTGGCAGGCTGGTTGATAGGTACAGGTTACCGCCTGTTACCTCGCATCAAGCAGTCATGTGAAAAAGGTCGCTTAGAAGAGCCAAGGTCTTTTCATATTGCTTAGCCTAGTCTACAAACGAGTTAAGTAATATGCACGTAGTCGAAGAAAAAAAGACAAAGGAAAAACTCAAAAATAGAGAAACAGAATTTATAATAATCTGCGAGGGCGAAGCAAGCAATCCCGGTAAGTTGTTATGTCATTATTATAATACTCTCGTTTAATGTATAACGTATTATACAGATTAAATCAAATCATAACACTTTCAGTTGCCATTAGCGCGTTTAAGCAGAGCCTCAGGAGCTGTTAACGGATGCGAACAGGTATTGTGCAATATACTATGTACATATAAGAGTATCTTTGAAATAATAAAATAATGCGTCGTTATTAGAACTAACGGGCCAAGTATATCCCGCCTTCTAGAATCTCGTCCGCTAAGTTACATGCCTTTCACAAACGTACCGAGGAAATTATAAACTGGGGCCAATACTACGGGCAATGTGAACCCGTACATAGAGGTTATCCAACTCGAACTTCGGGATTTAGAAATAACAATAGTAATAAGTCCTACGTTGTTAGGGAAAGCAAAGAAAGGAAAAGAAAGGAATATTCAATCCCTTACGTACATAGTATATGGAATTTTTTGCTTGCTGAGTAATTCGGAGTTATGGGCGGGTTCGTGATTAAGAAGTTTAAAAGAGAGGAATTGGAGGGGCTGAGGGGTGAACCTTAGCTCCTTAACTGCTTGAGCTTAAGAAAGTTGAATACCGTAGATGCATTAGTGACGGAGCGGTTACATTCCGCTATGCAAGTTTGTGCAAACATCAGTTGATCGAAGGAAGTTTCTATTCCCGATTCGATCATAAAACTTAGCGGCAGGGTTAGAGCTGGTAGCTAGGTACAAAACGCAACTAGTAAAGGTAGTACCAGGGATTAATGCTGCATTTGCATAACTAATAACAGGTAAACAGCTAAAGTACCTAAACTAGCATAAGTCCGACCTGCTTTTTACTATGTACATGCCCATTACCATTTTTAACCAACATTGGCCCGGTTCACGTTGTACGCTTACTGAGCCACTTTCTTATGGCCGGTGACTTTTCGCAGACTTTGGGACTCCGATCGCCATGTAGATATATGTATCTACTTGTTACTTTTTAATGTATTATATGTTAGGTATTAATCCTTCATCCAGCATGGTTTACTTAAGTTACTCAAGTTACCTAGGTTAGAGGTACTTAGTACCTGCAGATATATGGAAGAATTGTATCGTATCAATCATCACCCAAGCGGTATTACAAAAAGCCCTACTTCATGTGAATTGGAAATGGGAATTTAAGTCGAATATAAAGATGAAAGGGTAGCTTCACCTCCCCACCTGGCTTGTACTACTTGTATTCATATATACCTCTCAACTCTGTCTCTCCTCGGCCCTCGACGATATTATCCCGTTATACTTACAAGTTCGAGCTAGTCTTTACACTTACATACCTCTTATATGATATCTACTACATGAACCTCAGTTCTTTGTTACTCTCATCACAGCATCAGCACAGTACTGAGATATAGACTCAAATATACAAAAATGTTTACCATATAATATTAACTAGCACATATATATATCAAAACTCCGATCCTAGAAGGAAACTGAAAGCTACCTCCAAGGCTACCAAGAAGTCGTACACATCATTCTGACAACAAGGCTATTGGCAACTATTAGGAGGTAACAGATGCGAGATAATCCAACTTGGGGGTTCCATCAAAGGACTTAAGATAGTACACAGCTACGAAAATCGACCAGTCAGCAACAATTTCTGCTAACTTAGCCCGCGAGCCCGCTTAGCCCGCACATTCGGACATAAAGCGCGGCCGACTCTTAAAGACCATCCCCCTGGTCAATTTTTCACTTGAGACTTGACTGGGGTTCCCAAAATAAAGTTGCCGGATCTAAACCGCAACATCACATAATCGTCACGCCCTTAAAAAGCTCGGTTCACTCTACCGCATTATTAATCCCAGTTCCCAGTTCCCAGTTCAGAGTCACACATTTTTATCCCATCGAATTTATCGAATAGTTCCTGGATCCCTTTTTATTCTCCTCTCTTCCCCCCTCCTTCTACTCTGTTTGGGTTTCTATTTATCTGGATCTTTTGGAGACTCGAAGTCTAGTTTCTAGTTTTGGATTTCCATAATTGGCCACTTATAGATCGACACCTCTGCATTTACATATATCAGAGACCCAGTCTGCACTTACACAACCACATTTATACCAGCACACTTACACCACACTCACCTGCGTAACATATTACCCCCTTTGTGTCTTGGTATCACACAAGTGTCGCCTAGTTGACAAAGAAATTATCGAAATGGATAGCGGGATGCCAACGCCTCCCGTGGAGGACAATATCAAACCTTCGACGTCGTCGAGGAGGAGTACATCATATAACAGCAATAAGGTAGTGAAGCCTATACATCGAGGTGGAAAGCGAGCAACCAGTCATTCCTCACATTCTCCCACCCATGATCACCCGCCGCCTCTCTCCCCACACGCTATCGACAACAGGCATAAGCGAGTTTGGAAGGCATGTGAAAGATGTAGGATGAAGAAGACCAAGGTTAGCATTATTCCTATTTTAGCTCGAGTTCCAAGTTAAATAGTATCACTAACTTGGTACCGTAGTGTGACGGAGAATTTCCGTGTAAGAGGTGTAAGGACGATGGTTTGGTATGTACAGCTGGTACACGAAAGAAGACCGAGTACAAGCAATTACCTAGAGGGTATGCAACCAAACCTTTGCTTGAATGATACTGTGAAACTAACAGCAAGCAAGATATGCTGAGGTCCTGGAAAACACTCAATTCGCATTAATTGCCACGGTCCACAAATTATATGCTATGGTCAGGAATGGACAACCTTGGGACTTAGGAGAGCCGGAGCTCAATGATAGGGGTCAACCTGTCATTCACAACATCGCGACCAAGCTAGGATGTATTCGACCCAACGCAGACGCCGACCTCCCACCCCACTCAGTATTCCCTGAGGACGAAGCGGGCTTAGCAAAGTTAGCAGCCGAGTTAGATGTTCAGCAAAGAGAAAGGGAAAAGGAAACACATACTACAGAACAACGATCAGAGACGGAATCGAATTGTACGAGGACGGACCGCGCGAGCTCTTCGGAGCTTGACCACTCAGACTTCGAGCAAGATTATAGGAAAGTGATATTAGGGAACCAGAACTTGCAAACCATGTCGCCGCAAAGCTTTACGTCATACGATGTCGATATGAAGTCTATGCCATCTGACGTCGATTCGACAAGTCTTTTCGCCGTCCAATCGCCTACCGTTCCCACATCTTACCCGACGTGGAATATGAGCAGACCTAGTTCTATGGATTTAACGCCGCAATACATGCAGGGTATGGATATGGACATGGCGGAAATGATGCTCAGCCAAGGGCTTGTCGAATCCGAATTTGGCACGATCAAGCCTCACATGATACAATGTCCGAATCCCGAAGTTATGCTAGGCGTCGGAGACCCGATGATCTATTCCGGTTACAATATGGAATCGTTACGATCATAATGATGTACTGGGGGGGCTTTTTAGGAGTATAGAGGAATATTTTGGGAATTATCTCACAGCACCTTAGAAAAGGAATGAGGTGGGCGGTTCCGGAATTCTCTTCAGCACTTTACTACACGTACCTAATTGCAACGGCGTTCAACGGTTTGGCTACAAGGGTGTGGCCATGCGCAAAACCTAGCTCCTGGACTACAGAAAAGACTGGAGAATAAGCGGTCAGGTTTCTAAACAGGTATCTATTAGACGAAGCCGGGCGGGCTAGAGAGAGAGAACGCCATCTCGGCCCATCGGTTGTGTACCAACAATGAACAACTAACAAACTAACAACTACGGTAGAGGGAAAATGCATCTACGGGCGTTGGCGGGTTTATTTCCAGCGTTATGTCCATACCTCACGTCTTTTTTATCTTTTTTTTCTCCCCCCCCTCTTCCCCATCATTGGCCCCTCATTTGATGTTACAATACCTCTCTGCCTCTGAGGGGCGCTGGGCCTGGCTCTCCTTGTGGCCCGCCTTGGGTCGCGTGGCGGGCAACGAGTAATATAACACAACACACAAAATACAATAAATGAGACAATGTTCACGATTGAAACTTATCTGACCATATTCTTCTTCTTCTTCTTCTTCTTCTTTTCACGTGCCTGTTATTTTTCCTAATGAGCTAACGTTTTTCAATTGTGAATTGTGTCTAGATCGAGCCACGTTTATTGAATGGTGTATTTTCCAAATTCGTCGACGTTATTGACGATTATCTCGCAGATGTGGAGATAAGAAACAACCCCCCAGCCGTTTCATAATTAATTATTATTATTTTCTGAATGTATTTAAATTACATTGGGATATAGTAGGCACAATTACCAGGTACCCAGGATACAAGGTAGGTATACACATCATAAAGTGGCTTTGCTTCGTCCGCAAATCTGCAATGCGAGTCGGGGCTTGGCCGCCCGTGTTTGCCCCGCGTTATCAATTAAAAAGTCGTGAACCGTTCTAAATCATCTGGGCGACCAGGGGACGGAGGGGCGCCCCTAGTTGGGTAAAGATGCCAGAGGGTCAACAACGATTCGAGGTCATATTACCTGCCTACCTCTACTTACATGGTACCTACTTCAAGTTCAACTTGCTTATCAACGCCCCCCTTACTGGGTTAGTAGACATCTTAGGTAGGAAATAGGTAATCGAAGCTATGGATTTGAAACTACCTAACCTAACCTTACCTACCTTGTATGTTTGTATGTGAGGTTGGCGTGTAAAGGAGGTAGGTTAGGTATGTACCCAATGTACCCAATGTATGACCTCAAGAGTTCGGCATGCAACAAAGGCCGTTCCCGCCCTGGCTCACTCGACTTTGCTTACGCCCGAGATTCCCCTGATCGCCTCAGCAAATCCTAAGGAGGCAATCCCGTAGTAAGTCGTGTGAATAAGTCTACGTAAGCAAAAGCCTACTACATAGTACTCAATCTAGCAATCCCTCAAAACTACTTACTTCGGTAAGAAAGAAAGAAAAAAGAAGTCCAAGCGGTGGAACGTGTGGAAATAGAACCCCCCTATGTACTCGTAAGTATTTACCTAGTATAAGTTATAAGTTGATCTATGGTTGCGACCTCAATGGAGGAGCTCAGCCACGATGCCACGGAATAATATCCCTATTTCGAGGTACTATGTGAAGCACGGGGCGGTCAGTTGAGTTCTTCCAAGTTCCACGTAAACCGTACTCGTTTTCTTATTTATAACGACTTAACCTGGTCTTTTCACTACCTACCTAAGGTTAGGTACCTGCACCTAACTTATTCTCACCAGAGCAAAATAAAGGGCTCGGGGAGCACACGGCCTCCGCATGAAATCCCCCGACTTAACACGCCCCATGCCGAGGTAGGTAGTGTAGGTCGAGCCACAATCCAACCCAACCCAACCCGCCCTATATCCTAGGAGTACGTGCCGCTTGGGGGCGCGAGACCTCGTAGGCCCATACACGCACACACGATCCCGATAGCAGTTACGGCGGGCGGTACCGTCGCAGCGGTAGCACTTAATTCGTCATCAGCACATATCCCCCCATCTCCCATCTTCATCCTAGACCTTTCATTCTGGTCGTGCCTCTCTCTTCCTTGTACCCAAAGAAAGCTCAAGGTCTCTTTTCTTCGTCTTCTTCTTTTTCTTCTTCTACCTCTTAACCATGGCAGGGGGGAAAACGCAATGAGTTCCCCTCCACGTGGACACGAATTATGCATGTAATTATAAGAGTCGGTCAGGCACGGATGCCGAGGAGGGGCATGAAAGAGGGGTGGACCAAACGCTCCGGCCCACTATGAATCTCTAACTTATTTTATTTAGTTACCTGTTAATAATTATTATTTTCTTTGTGTCGGTTTCTCGAAATCGGGTTCGGGGTCCGAGAACGAGCGGGAAGCGGGATTGAGAAACGACCCGATTCCGGTGGATCCCCCCCCCTTCTCTCTCTCTCTCTCTTCCTAACTTGGGTCCCAGTTCCAGTTGTGCCCGTTTTTATTAGTATTATTTGAGAGGCCCAGAAAATATTCTCGCCCAATGTCCTGGCGCTGCGCCGGCGCCAATGTTGCCAAGAGAACGCCTAGTTAAAGCCGGTGCCTGATTCCTAGCTGAAGAGTCTTAGGGCCAGGTACATAGTAATGAAGATACTAAAATTCACAACGATGATAAACCAATGCGTGTAAGTAATAATTATCCAGGGACATCCATCATGGTGTATGTGTGTGAGAGGTACTGTACTGTATTGTACATATCTTGAAACCAAACAGAAGTCGTAGTAATCTCGGACGGGTAAGTCTCATCTCGGCCCCGATGATCACCATACTTTTCTTCATCAATCCCCCGAGAAAAGAATACAAGCCAAGAAAAGGATCTTATCTTGGGGCGGATCTAAGACAACGCATAAAAATGCAATCCCACCGACGATACATACCTGGGTAGGTAGTATATGTAGTACCTAGAGTGCGGTGCGTATATACGATGTCTATATGATTAACCTTACCAACAACTGGTGAATTGTACGAATTTACTACTGCTACCACGATCGGTTCTCGCTTTCCCATTTTCTGCGCGATGTTATGTTATATGCCCGCGCTTACAGGTTCCTATCAGGGCCCTTGCGTCGATCGGCCACCAATGTCACATAGAAAAAGACACATACGCATGGCAGGTAGATGGATACCTATGATTACCCATTATCCTAACTCTAGTATACGGGCGTAACCAACTAACCGACCTGCCAACCTACACGATCTTACCCTATATAAGTCTTAGCTCGGCTGACTACCGACTTTCTGCCGCCTAGTACTATGTATGCCGCCCGAGACTAAACTGCTTTAAGGCGTCGATGGAGAGAGAAATACTTGCTAGTCAGGTAGAGCTAAAGTGAAAAAAAAAAGGTACGGAGACTAATATGTTCGGTTTGTGCCAAAGCACTAGATTAGTTAGTTTATAGAGTTTTCTTCTTTTTCTTCTTCTTCTTCTAGTCATGACAAATCGTGAGCTCACGCTAACCACGGCGTTATGCATTCTTAATACCTAGCGTACCTACATGAGACACAAGACAAAATAGTCTCGTTTCTAAGGAGTAGTTAATTACCTTACCTTTGGAACTAGTGAGATATGATTGTATATACCTCCTAAATAGTTATCTCGCCTGATGATGATGATAAAAAAAGATAATGATGATTCACCAGCGTCCCCGGAGCCGAGAGCGGCTGTTTTTGCTTTATCACTCAGCTCCCACCTTTAGTACGATCCTGATTCGGCGCTGATATATGCCCCCTCCCATAGTAACCTAACCTACTAATGTATTACCCATTGCAATCGCAGGTTTAGTAATCTCCCATATAGGGAACTTTTTCCGCCACGGAGTTCTAACTTATACATTCCCGTATCCTATAGGCAATTAGTAATAGTAACAAAGATGTAACGTGCATATAATGATTACTTATTACCAAGAGTACCAAGCATATACTAAGCATATATATGCATATAGTATGTATGTATGGTATAGGTAACCCTGAAGGTTCGGTCTTGGTTTGTGGGTAAGGTGACCAAAGACGGTAAGTCGGTAGAACAACGAGGAAGCATGGGAAACAGCTTTGCTTCTTTAAGGCAAAGTTCCGGCTATCAGCTTTACGGTGCCTGACCGGATTGGGATTCTGTCATAATTCATTCGGGACTTTTATTAGCTAAGAAATGGTTACTGCTTATTATCACAAGTAGCCTTAGGTCATGTGTGAGAGGTACCATGTAGGTTAGGTAGTATTTCCAATTACATATCAGAAAAAGGTTATTAACAATGAATAATTGGAACTCATATCATAAGCCTTACAATTGCCCATTAACACCAGATTCCAAATGATGACGGCATTGGATATAGGTAAGGTATCATGTTTGCTATCCCACACCCATACCTATACCCATACCCATACCCATATCCATATCTAATATCAAATATACAGATGTCTTAACGCCGATCTCACTGTAAGTCTAGGTAGAGGCAGGTACCTAGTTACCATGTATGGAAAGCAATCACGTTCACCCTCACGCGGAACTTCACATACATATCTGGAAGGATAAGGATACAAACACGTAAGCACCGTAAATAGGTACTTCTAACCTAGGGTATGTACTACATATTTTACAACCGTATCACGCACACACAGACAATCACGCAAAAGGCCTTAAAGGTTTTAAACCCAGCCTTATCTCCACAACACGTCACCCACAGCAAGGCCTTTCTACCTAGGTGCCAGGTATCCCGATTCCCAACGACATGGCTCTGGGATCTCTTCCCCCAACCACCACCACCACCACCGACCCCGCGTCCTGGCGACATACCACTTACATACATACACCTCACCTGATCTACAATTGTATATCTCCCTTCGCTGCTACGGACGACACGGCGGTCGGACTTTCGACCTTTCGCGCAAGAACCGAGCGTCACCCCGCTAGGAACCCCGGTGCTATCTAGGTATGTATGTATGTATCTATCTAGGTACCTTGTATGTATGTATGTGTGTGTATCAACGCGAGCGGGTTTTACGCCGTATTCGTTGCCAATCCAATAAGAACGACTAAGCCTGAGCCTGAGCCATAAGCTGGGCTTCGCTTCGCTTCGCCCTACAGCCCTGACTTGATGCAGCCCGCAGGCTGAGAAGGACCTACATACATACATACATGTAGCGCAGGACCGGCGATAATACCGTATCTCCGGTAGGAGGAAGTACCTGCCTAGGGTAGGGCGAATATTTCCGCAAAGCCTGCTTGCCTGCCTTGTCGGCGCGGGATATGCACCTAAGTAAGAAAGAAAGTAGAGGGGTAAGTAAGATTTGGTACATGAGGTAGGCAGGCACACGCGGGATCGGCGATATGCATGTAGCCTCGGGGTCTTATTCCCGAAACTCTGGGTATGCGTGGGCTGGATGGGGGGATTTCCGTCTGTGGGAAAGGGAGGGGGCGGAGCGGGATATGTTATATAGGGCTTTGGCTTAGGTTAGGTCGTAGCGAAGGGAAACGGTATATACGCGCTCGTTATGAAGATGATATGTCATCCGGCGTTGCAGTGCAGTACCTGGCTCGTGATATGGATGGCGTGAGTCAGGGGCGCTTGGGAGGACTTGAAGATACTACGAGGTACTAACTGCGTAAGTAACACCAGGGAAGAACCGAGATAGTGTATATGCTTTATATCCGAATCTGGGTTTCCGATGTATACCTAGTCATCGTCTGCTCGAATAGTATTAGGATAAGCTCTTGGGTATACCTAGGTATAGGTAATACTGATCCTGCTATAAACTCGCCCTAGAGAAGGAAAGGGAGTATTACTGCAATGTAAATGTTCGTAGACGCTTGTAAATAGATGGGAACTGGGTTTTCCAGAGTACGCTGAAGAGATGAGAAATATGTATCATTTGAATATAACGATTTTTAATATTTGGATTTGCTCAACCGTACTATGCAGCTAAAAACAAATCGTAAGAGGTAGGTCAGGGGGGAGTTAACAACAAACACATACCTGCGTATAGATATATTAACAATATTGGACCCAAAAATGAAATTCATATCAATAAGTAACGTGAACAGATATCGTGTATGTGATCAAGCAAAGCAATGAGACCTACGATAGCTTGTAACACCATCACACGGCTTCATTCACCTCGGGACTTGTTCCAAGGTTATGACCAAACCACTGCCCAGCTATCTGTAGTAGCTCTAGCCAACACACGTAAAGGACGATATCTCAGCAAATATCAAGCCGCCCTCTTCCCCAACGGCACGCCTATGCGAGGCCTCTCAGACCGATGACACGGCATATCCAAGTCGAACTCGCCTCTATGAGCTGATACGACCGCTCGGTTTAATTTCGATCATCTTCGCTCATCTCTATTGTCAGATCTCCCCCTTTTCTCCCTCTCTTACCGTACGGACCAGGCTGCGAGACATTTAATTCGCAGCTTCACGTCACGTCAAACGCGAACCTATGTAGCTGGCATAAAAATCCCGGGAACTCCATATTCTTGTCTCGGGCCTACGGCCTGGATTTCCGCAGCTACTGAGACAGGTCATTTTGTGAGAAATATAACGACATTATGACTAAAGCTAGTGTAAACACCTTCATCGTGAGACAAACGCTCGCTTCCGCAGCACCTGGGTGTCTTGGATCACGGCCCTGATTTTGGGCCCGCAGCTGGCGTAAACGGTCGTGCAGAATGCGTCGCGTGTATATCGCGAGTTCCGGGTTTGGGGGATGTTGACGATTGAAACTGCGACTGCGAGTGAGGCTGAGGGTCGTACTAGTCTGTCTGATAATTCATTGTTTGAAGACTTTGTGTTCCTGTATCTTGTTGGGTGATTCAAAGACGTATTCTAAGAGTCCTCGTGATGGAAGTATATAATGGACAAGCTTCTCGCAGCAGTAACGCTTCTATTGCCATCGTGTACACGTAAGTCGCTCATTATATCTTAAGACGTACTGTTTATACACTTACTTTATATACCTACCAAATCCGCTCTTTACCAAGATGCTTGTCATCAAGTCAAACCAGCTAGCTAGCTGGATCCTATGCCTCTTCGTGCTGGCCGTTCGTGCGCAGTCGGGTTGTAAACACGACAAGTATGTCCCAGTCATCGGCATAATCTCCGGAAGCGTACTGATTGCTTAGTAGTTGTTACAATGCGCTTTTCCCTTGCGACTCTCCGCTTGCCCTTCAGGAAGCTTTGAACTATTGCGCGACTGTCGGGCATTACGGCGCAACAAACTACCCGACATCAGCAACTGCCGCAGTGAGTATAAAATCATATAGCCCTATAATCCTATTGCCCCTTTCTCGTAAGTTAGGCGCGAAAATCACCTTTTCGAGGCCTCGGGGATTTCTAGATGACCGGCTATTTGCTGACCCCAATTATGGTAGTGTGGTAATACCAACAAGCGGGCCTATATGTCGGCTTGTCAATGCGGCGTTGCTTGTCCTTCTTTTCAGCCAGATACGATATCCTCCAGCACAACTGCACTGACGCTGACAACACTTACTACTTCGACTATCGTTCCTGGAGGTAATGCTCGGTCGTCATCCAGCTTACCCGTATCGGCTACATTGGTCACACCAACCAGTAGTACCCAGTTGTATAGCGTGTCTTCCTCTAGCGCACTCAACTCGGCGGTGTCCAATACTCTGAGCCCTGCGTCTCCAGTTTCACAGGGGACATCTTCATTAACAGCTACAGCATCTAGTAGCGCTGGGAGCGACCCGTCGTCACAGGACTCAGCCTCGGGCACACAATTGACAATTTCTAATCCTGGATCAGCGCTCACCCTTTCACTTACTGATATCGTTTCGACGATCACAGTTTCAACTTCCACGGCCACAATTTCAGATGGTTCCTCGTCCATTTCCTTAATTGTCTTTAGTGCATTGTCAAGCACGCATTCAGACTTCCCGGAGGGGCAGCCATCCAGTTTACTTTCGACACTCACATCGAATAGTTCCCGCTCAGTCACAACCTCGCTGAGTCCTTCGTTAAGTAGCAGCTCGGCGTTCTGGACGAACATAACCCATACTTCAGGTGTGGGATTACCTACCTTTGTAAACGCTAGCACGGCGTCTTCAACCTTGGTAGATCCGACCTCGGTATCGGCTTCATCGGTAACGGATCTATCTTCGTCCGGCGAGCCTAATGGTGCTAACTCGACGGTATCGGTTAAATCCGCAACGGGTGTCTCGATTCCATTGCCTCGTCCAACTTCGATCGATACGACGTGTACGTCAACGTCGAAGCCAACTTTATCGACTCCTTGCTCTAGCTCTTTCCACTATTTCCCTAATTCGACGTCGCACACTTCTGTCGCAAGCGTCACTAACGTCATAATTTCCGCCTCGACTTTCGCCGTCTCGCTGCGCCCGTCGCTAAACCGCACGTTAAGTACGCGATCGACGTCAACTTTGACGACCAGTGAAGCCCCGTCCTGCACCAGCACCTCTAGCTCCAAGATGATCGAAAACGGTGACTTCGAGCAAGGCCTATCCCCCTGGAGCATCGACATGGTGGATGTGATGTCGACGAGCTACTCACTCGCCAGCCCCGGGGCCAACGGGTCGTGCGCCGCGTTCCACGTGCACATGCGGCGGAACTCTCAGACGGATGATTTGCGGGCGAACCTGCGGCTGGTCAGCCCGTTGATCTCACCACCTGCCGAGACAGGCGTGTCGTGGGCAGTCTCGTTCTGGGTGCGGTTCGGTAGCGGGCGGGCCACGAACTCGTACGTCAACTTGTTTGCTAACGGCGAGGTGGCGCACCGCGTAGATGCCGCAGACGAGGGAGCCACAAACTGGACACGTGTCGAGTTCCCCTACACGACGGTGTCTAGCGACCGGATGCTCCAGCTTGTCTTTTCGTTTGCACTAGGAAATGCACCGTCTAATGAAGTGTGGATTGATAAGGTGGCCATGAACGTGATAGCTGCCGGTACGGTACCCGTGGGACAGGGATTCGCTATCGCACCCTCTAAGGCTATCAATGCTTCTTGAAGAGGTGTATTAAGCTTTTCCCTATGGTAAGCGCTTGTATTATTCGGTTTGGTATAAGATTGTATACTAGATTCTAGATTTCGAGTATCGTGTAGATTAGAAGGATGAGCGCTTAGGGAGTTAGTCTTGTATTAAGTTTCCTTGTTGTAACCATTATCATATGATATAACTCCTAAGGAATGTAGTCTCGTAGAGAACCCATGGGTTTATGTTTAACATGATTGTCGCTAAAATTGTATCTTAATTAATTCGAGTTGTAAAGTTGAAGGAAGTAGAAAATATGACATCAACTGAACTTACAGAAGGTGATAAACTTGAACTTCCATCCACGGTATATGTACGTTGTACTTGGTGGGGCTCTCTCGGCAGTCTCGGCAGTCTCGGGGTCTACGGGCAGGTTTGGCTTGTGTACCTAGGTACCTAGACATTGCTATGTACGTACCCAATACTTCGAAGTGGGGTGGAACCTTCAAGTTTGAAAGGGTCAGATGGAATGGTGTTGTTACCTACCCCACGCCTCGGTGTACGTACCTCGCCTACCCACTTCCACCTAGACCACCACCATCATCATTTTTCGGTAGTAGCACAGCAGTGAAAAAGGTATGGTGGGGGTGATTTTTACTTGGTACAGTACAGTACAATACAATAATACAATCTTTCCCACCTGCTACCTCCTCTACTGCTACCCTGTGCTACCGTAGCTTTCTTTACATGTCATTTATTTATTTTTCCACTATAATACATACATAATACACAGTAAACCGTACAGCCTTCCGAATTCTTCCATCTTGGAGATCCAAGCTTTCTTGTATTTCTTGCGAGTCATACGCGAATCTACTTTCCGGTTGGATTCCGACTTGCGACTTTGCGCCTTGTGAGAGAGCCGCTATAACTGCCACTAGAACTGCCACTAGAACTGCCACTAAGCTCGTCGACCCCTCAAAGAAATCCCGAGATTGCAAGCAACTTATAGGTAATGTGAGCTCGCGAGAGCTAGTGAACTGGGGCATGGTCTGCAAGGCAGAAAGGCGGAAATATCTACCTTCCCCTTCACGAATACCTACCTAACTTAACCTACATACCTGCTACCTCATCATAGGAAGAATATTACCTATTACCCAAGGTAGTAGTCCCCCCCCCCCCCGGTGGTCAGCTTTATTGCTAGCAACCTCTCACAAATCTTATTCTTTCTTTACTTTACTCTCTACTTTACTTCTCCCACTAAAGATCCAATCTACGAAACTCTTCTGCTGTGATTTCCGTCAGCCAACTTAGGTCAAAATGATGTCAGCACAGCTCCAACAGCCTGAGAAGGCTGGAGCCAAGTTGCCAGCTCCCGAGAACAACTCGAGTAACACGGCTACCGCGCCTGAGGCGACACAACCGAAACCTGCCGGGCTCAACCCTCTCAAAAACCGTGTACGGGATAGCAAGAGCCCTTATGTACGAGCGCATTCCGATAGTCTGGTCGCCTGGCAACTTTTGGATGACGATGCGATTAGCCGGGCTAAGAAGGAGAACAAATTGATATTCCTCAGTATCGGCTTCCTCGCGTCCCATTGTATGTGAAATATACAGCTAGTATTGGAGTTAGATGACGATGCTGATTTGCTGCCAGACTGCCACCTTACGAGGCAAGAGTCATTTTCCAACCCCAAAGTCGCATCTATACTTAACGAGAATTTCGTGCCTGTCGTAATCGATCGCGAGGAACGACCCGATATTGATAATATATATATGAGTTATAATCAATCCCTCAGCGGAAGCGGAGGTTGGCCGCTGAACGTCTTCCTCACTCCGGAGCTAGAACCTGTCTTCAGCGGAACGTATTGGGCAGCACCGGGTGTTCAGGATGATGGGGAGGCAGAAAATGACGGGGTTGAGAAACCTCTCGACTGGCTTATCGTTATCAAAAAGGTCCTTGCTTCGTGGTTGGACGAGGAGTCTCGTGTTCGCGAAGAGGCGAAAAAGATGGTGGTCGAGTTAAGTCATCTTTCGGCGGAGGGTACCCTGAATCACGCAGGAAGTGATTTCTTGCAGTCTACCTCTTCTACTCAAGTAGAATCAGCTACTTCAAGTTCTGATCAACCCTTTGAAGTTTATGGTGAGGTCGACTTGGACCAGATCGAAGAGGCGTATGAACGGATTACAAGAACTTTTGACCCGATGTTCGGTGGCTTTGGTCGCGAAAATAAGTTCTTAACTCCAGCAAAACTCTCCCTGCTTCTAAGAGCTACCCGGTTCCCGAAAGTAGTTCAGGATGTAGTCGGTCCGAACGACTGTAAATACATTAGTGGCATGGGCTTGCATACTCTTCGACGGATCGCCAACGGCGCGGTGCATGATCATATAGGGGGCGGTTTCCACCGTTACTCTGTTACTAGGGACTGGTCATTGCCGGCCTTTGAAAAGATGCTGATAGACAATGCCCTACTTCTAGGTCTTTTCTTAGACGCTTGGCTTCTATCTGGTGGAAGCATTAAGGACGGCGAATTTGCTGACGTGGTAACTGAAGTCGCTGATTACATCACTAGTGATAGAATGCTGTCACCAAAGGGTGGATTTTTTACCAGCGAGGCAGCAGACTCTTATAATCGAAAAGGGGATAAAGTCATGCAGAACGGAGCCTATTACTTATGGACAAGAAAGGAATTCGATGCCATTGTCGGCGACGAGCAGGATAGCGCAATTGCGGCCGCGTACTGGAACGTCCAGGAGCATGGCAACGTCGACCGCGAATACGACCCTCACGATGAGTTCCTCAACCAAAATGTCCTCTCCATTGTTAAGAACTCTACGAGGCTAAGTAAACAGCTCGGGATCTCAGAAAATGAGGTAGAAAAACGAATCAAGACTGCTAAGGCGAAACTGCGCTCCCATCGACAAAAAGAACGAGTTCATCCAGTAATCGACACAAAAATTGTTACCGCGTACAATGGCATGGCTATTGCTGCCCTAGCACGGACTGCCTCGGCTTTAATCAGTACCGGAGGATATGCATCTCTGCAAGGACAAAAGTACCTGGAGGTAGCCAAGAATGCAGCTCGATTCATTAAGAACGAGCTTTGGAATAGCAACAAGATCCTCTACAGAGTATATTCTGACGGTCAAGCGTACATCGAGGCATTTGCAGAGGATTATGCTATGTTGATCGAGGGACTTATCGAACTCTACGAAGCTACTGCCGAAGAGACGTGGCTTGAATGGGCTGACGAATTGCAGCAGCTTCAGATCCAGCATTTCTACGATAATCCTACACCAACACCTACGATGGCAAACGCTAGATGCGGGGCCTTCTACTCCACGGCTTTGGGTGCGCCGTACACCCTACTTCGCATAAAGGACGCCATGGATACCTCGCAGCCGTCTGTCAATGCAGTATCCGTATCGAATTTGTTCAGGTTGGGCGGACTCCTGGGCGACGAGAAGTATACCTATTTAGCAAAGGAAAGCGTCAATGCCTTCGGCGTTGAGATGTTGGAGCACCCAAACCTATTCCCCGGCTTGCTATGTGGAATCATCCCCTGGAAACTAGGTGGCCAGCACTGGCTTGCAGTTGGAGCGAAACCCGCGCCCGAGCAACTCAAGGCATATTACAGGGCACCACGCGCTGCCCTATTCACGCTTCGCTATCACGCGCCCGAGAAACGCGATGCCTGGATTAACAAACGAGACCCACGAGTCTCGACCTTTCCCCGAGAACAAGGCGTCTACAATAGGTCTCCAAATGGCACGTATCGCAAATTAAGTCCTAACGACTTACTCGCGGCCGACCTGATTCAAGAGTAAGCTCATCACGGCTGGGGATGGGGTTTCCCAAGGAAAATAATGGAATACGGCAACAAATGGAAAAACGGATGTAGAAAGACATAACAGGTACCTAACATGAAATGACGACTTCTCCTATTTCGTCTTGGTGAGGGAGGGGAAAGGGCAGCACGGATCGAGGTAGATAGATACCAGGGGTGGTGGTGGCGTCTACGGCACAAGGTTTACGGAAAGGGGGTTTGGCCCAGTTCATTCACGTGTAAAGTTTTTTTTACACTACATGATTTTGTGTCTGCATTGCTTGGCGATTAATAGGTGGTTTATTGCATAGGAGGTGTGTATATGAAGTTTTAATGGGGTGACGAAAAGCCCCCCGGACCTTACCAACGAGGTGAATGCCAGTTTAAATACTTGTTACGTTGCGGCTTTTCTTCTTTTGATACTTTCGTGACCGGGGTTATCGTCTGTTTTGAGATATGTCTTCCTCTTTGCGAAAATGGGTTGGTAAGTTGACTCTTGAGGAACTGTCAGGTACCGGCCTACCTCTTTAAGTACGCCGGACGCAATCGTACAAATGTCAGTTGGTAGGTTCGGTATGAAGAGGGTGTTCAAGCACTTGAAAACACAATGACTTTTTACCCGAGTACCTACCTACCTACCTTGGGTACCTATTAACTAGTGCCTGCTTATATCGTACCTTACTTCAGAATGGGATGAATAAGTGTAGAAACGGGTTACACCTTCACTCTCCTAGTACGACGTCTGCCCATTCGTTGTATGAGGCTGAGAACAAATGGCCCGTCGGATCGCTATCCTATCCTATCCTACTCTGTTTCGCCAATAGCTCCTTAGCTTCAATAACGAACGCACCTAGAAGTAAGCTTGTATAGGGCGATTTCGAGTAACTCTTCACTCAATAATCGAATTAAGTTAGGTACCCAGGTAGGTATCTGTTATGACTTCTTACCTTGAGCTAGGTACGTAGCGACTGAACCTTTGGAATGAAGCCCGAATACCTACCTGAGCGTAAGCACTACACACGACGCCAACGTCAAGCCAGCAAGCATCAAAGGCAAAGTAGGTAGTAGTAGTAGTAGTAGTAGTAGTTTGGTTTGTTCGCTCTCTTCGTATCGTTTAAGGGGGTATCTATTCTACAGTGTCGAACCATAGATGCAGGTAGGTTTGTTTGGTTTATGTGTTCTCCTTTTCACTCTCCCGGACCGGAAAAAATAGGGGGAGGGGTTTGTTTGTGTATGTGGTATCCGACAGACAGCCGATGACTCCAAGTCCTGATGCGAAGTCTCTCTTTCTTTCTCTCCCTCTTCCGTTCCCCCCTAAAATATTTCCTCATCCTGGTAGTTAAGTCCCTTTGTCCTCCTGCGCTCCACTCCCTATCCCCCGCCGCTCCTGTTGATACCGACTCTGCGTCCCTATTCCTTACAAGGGGTTTTACAAATGAAAAGGAGAATGTTTTGTGAACTCCTCGGGGACCATGACGCATTACTCGCGGGAGAAACGCGAGATGCGGCGGGATTGCTCCTCGTGATCTCCATGTTCTGAGTTATTCCATTAGTTGAGTGGTCCCGTCATTGTCAGCTGCATACAACCCGACTCATGAGCCTCTCATTATCGTATTGCATCCGTAACACCGCCAGTATTCCCATCATGTCTTAGTTACACCACCGCCAGCTGTCGGCTTTCTATTCATCAAATTGCCGAAGAATTTGGCTAACGTATCCGTATCTACTGGACCTCCCGCTTCCTCGAGGCGGGCGTCGTCGTCCAGACGGGGTTCAGGGGATTGTCCGTAGGCCTGGCGGTCCTGTTTAATGGGTTAGTAATGATTAGTTGCCCTGCGATACGAATAAAAACTAACCTTAAGCCGCTGTACCATATCGTCTGCATCCACTTGAATACCGCCCATGTTAAATTGCACCGGACCAATGTGATCGCTGATCATATCGTCGGGATGTTCTCGTGCAAATGTGTTACTGCTGTTGTGAAGTTTACCAGCCTTTTCGTCTAACTTCTTCTGTTGCTCAAGTCGCTCTAACTGATTGGCAAGGAAAGCTTGCGTGTCGACCGAAGGTACCTCCAATTTGCTCGTGTCCTGCTTCCCTTGAGCTAGCTGTAAGGCATCTAGACTGGTGTCTTGAACTTGCTCTTCGTACAGAGCAACGGCAGAGCCTTCGGGTTCACCCTGATCGCTCGTATCTCCGCCGACCTGGTGACTGGCATTGTTTATCCCGTTTGCCTTTGAAATAGGGAAAGGTTGGTTCAAGTCTCTTGACCAGCCCTCGCTGACCGTCTCAACATCGAAACCATCTCGTAATACTCGAATCTTGCCCCACGAGTCCCAGTTAGGGGGCACTACAATCTTGTCTCGGTCAATAACGTTAGCCTTTAGCGAGTCACGCTTGAGTAATGAGCGGATTCCAAGGCTGGCGTGAATAAGACTTTGTAGCGTTGGTGTCATCGATGGCATGGTGTAAATAAGAGAAGCGCCGTCTAGTTATGAGTTAATGAGACCGTACGTAACAAGGATTTTTGCATTGTAGACATACGCCTTAATAAGACCGTCCTTAGATATTGAAGCACGAGATCGAATTTCTCCTCCTTCCACGCTTGCGTCTTTTCCAAGTGGTCTATTCTCTCGGCCTGGCGATATTGGTTAGCGCTTCACTCGCGAAACGGGTCGGCGCAGCTCACATTCTGGCATACAACGCAGAGCGGTAAGCCGAGGCCGTCTTCCCACTCTCCTGGTCCGAGTGGTAACGCGACGTCTCCTTCTGCCGCAACTGTGCCGGTACCATCTAGATTTACAGATCCGCCTGTCCGCCCGCGGTCTTTCCAGCTATCCATCACCTCCTCCATCGTCGCTTTGCATTCATGACTGAGGGACATCATTACGGTCCGCAACAGGAGCAACCACTCTCGAAGTTGTCGCATCCATAGCCAAGGTTGGGACCAGTCGAGCAATATTACTATTAATGTATTGGGAATCGATTGCGGAGTCAAGAGCGGTTGAATGAGCGAAGTAAATGAAGGCGATGGACTGCTAAGTAAGTAGAGCGATATGCGTGCTAGGAAATCTGATATCGGTCAGCAATGAAGACCTCACCAAGCGGAACTATAGTGGACTGACCCTCCTGATCTGCGTCTAAGACGTTATAATATGTATATCCAAGGGCATAGCTGTTGGCTACTGGTGGGGTTCTCTGGTTATTCCGATCTATACCCTTCCGTCCCTCGTTACTCGATAGTGCTTCCAGGAAGTCTCGTTGCGAATCTACGGAACCCCCTGAGATCTTGTTAGTCGCCTCGTTTGTGGCCAGCGATTCATGGGAACCGATTTCATACCGAGGACCAGCAAGTTCTTCTCAGGTAATCTCTTGCCGCTGGCGACGGAGTCGAGCATAGAGCTCCACATGTCCTTTTTCTGATCATCCTTCTTTCCGTCCGAACCGGTACCGACTGAAGTAGTCGTATACGTGGAGAACCGGTTCGAATTGGCCGTCATATTTGGTTCCAGTGGTTTAATGGTAGCATTGGGGGTAGACTTGTTATGCGCCTGTGGCAGCCCTCAACGTAATCGGGTTGAGGCTGTGAGGTTGCGATAACTATCAGACCCTTAGAAACGCGTCTTAAGGTCAAATTTTAACCGAACCGCGTTGGGGGGAGGGGGGCAAAAGCGATCGCCGGCTTGGAAATGTACGCTTATTCTTCCCTTTTTTTCTCTTCAGTTATTTACTTTAGCTAAATAAAATAAGACAAGTTGAAAGAAATTAAGGGGTGGGGGGGTTTCTGTTGGTCTTTGCTTTCGAGGATGGTTCCAGGTTTCTTTTTCACACTTAAGAAATATGAAATATGTAGCTTAGGTACCTACCAGCTCTCAAGCATTTGATTAACCACTGGACTGAATCACAGGGGGGAGGATCTAGTGGACCTTAAGGTTTCGACGGTCCGACGTTTCCCCAGTACAAGGGTCATGTTCTAGTCTAAGTTGGTGCTACACCAGTGGTGGGGTAATTTGCCAGCTATATCCAGAAACCATCCAGCAGATCGAAGCTCCTGAATTGGTACACCTAGCTACCTAGGTAGGTACCTCCTAGGTACCTACCGATGTACCTAGCTTACCTGATAGGAAAACCTGAATCTTTTTTTATAGCATTTTTCACTTGAAATAATATAAATCTCGTTTGACAATTCACGTCTTACAAGCTTAAAATAGAAAATCTCGAATCTTTGACAATCCATGTTCATCATTTATTTCTCCCTCCCATTGTCAAGGATCGAAGTCCACAACAACCGGAGTGTCCCCATCCATCAGGATATTGGTCGGGTTGAGATCGCAATGAATGAGGTTGAAGCTGTGAAGGTGCCGAATACCTTGCTAAATACCCTGCAAGCAGAGGTCTATATCGGAAGGGCGAGAGTCCTCAGTTACTCTTTCTAACAAATGTAATTGCATAGTAATATTGATCGCCCTCTATAAGTATAATCTTGGTGTGGGAAAATGCAACATCTCCATTCTCTTCGACGAACGCCTCGTTTTGTTCGCAAACTTCAGGAAGACAGATGAAGGTCTTGAAATACGTATTATAGGTATAGGTAGGTACCTATATTTCGTTTTAAAAGCCTAGCCACGAGCTACAGGGGACCGTTCGGTACCTAGCTAGGAGCCGTAAGCGGCCGATCGGTAGCTACATAGTGAAGGCTTTGTGGTAGCGTATTGGAGCTAAAAGGGATGCAACCAATAAAGGCTTGAAGTTCGGGCTCTTGTGCGACCCGAGGGTGGCCTCATAAGACCAGCCCCACAAGCTGATAACGGTATTTAATTCCCTATTGTAAACTCAGCCTTACAGCTAAGCTTTCTAGTTGGCACTTTTCTTATCATTCATTTCGTAGCCTTCCCAAGCCGCCTGTTTAACTTTGTCTCATATCTTTCTTTCTTTATTTTTTATTTTTTAATTTTTTTTATTCTTAAAACATATTAGAACACCAGTAATTGGATGCGACACTATGAACCAGATACGCGCTATCCAGGCGCTTAACAAACGCGAGATTGAAAATGGGGTGTAAGTCCTTTTCTTTGTTCCCCTAAGTCACATCGCGGGATCCTTTATTTTAATCCTAATCTAACAATTGATCTTAGACCGCCGGAAGCTTCCTGGCACACCGATTACCGCGACACCGCCTTCGTCAACTTCGGCGGCCTACCGTACGAGCTGTCCGAGGGCGATATCATCACGATATTCTCGCAGTACGGCGAGCCCGTGTTCCTGAAGCTCGCGCGGGACAAGGAGACGGGCAAGAGCAAAGGGTTTGGCTGGCTTAAGTACGAGGACCAGCGCAGTACGGACCTGGCTGTGGATAATCTAGGGGGCGCCGAGATCAACGGCCGTCTGATCAGGGTCGACCACGCTCGATACAAGCCCCGCGACGACGAGGACCCCGAAGAGTTCAAGGTCGGCTGGGAAGACATTATGCGACGCGAGAAGGCTGCTAAGGGCGAGGATGTAGACATGGAAGACGTTAGCGAGGAGGAGGAGGAAGAAGAGGAGAGACGCCCTATGCTCAAGGAAGAGATAGAGCTGGCGAAGCTTATCGAAGAGCACGACGAGGACGACCCTATGAAAGGCTTCTTGATTGAGGAAAAGAAGAAAGAAGTTGAATTGGCACTAAGAAAGGAGAGCGGACGCAAGGAGAAAAGGGATAGGAAAGATAAGCATCGACATCATCACCATCATCACCATTCACATAGATCCAGAAGAGACGATAGAGAAGAGGAGGAACGCGATCGTCACAGGAAGTCCAGACGGGATGAAACGCCAGTCGGAAGAGGTAGCCGTGAGCGAGACGAGACACCGCCAAGACGAAGGAATGATTCTAGAAATCGTGAGCGGAGACGGGACGACGACCGCGATCGACGCCGAGATAAGGAGCGGAGAGACCGAGATGATAAAGACAGGCATGAGAAGCGTTCTCACCGCTACGATGATGAGGATAGGGACAAGGACCGAGAACGTAAAAGTAGACGAAGTAGAAGCAGATCTCCGCGCTCGTATAGGGATTGACCAAACTGTCTAATCGCTTAATAAAGATACCCCCGAAAAATCAACGCTAGGTAGTTTGGTAATTTGCCAGCCCTTATCCTAGTGCAACATGATTTCTAACGCCATCTCCGACCAGATAACGCCGGGCCCGTGATTCCATATACTCGACGCCGTTTCCCCATGACCATTCCAAATCAGTGCCTCCTCAATGGATCCCCTAGATAAATACCTAGCTTATGCTGTGGACTATGCTCGTAATAATCCTCAAGCTCGTCCTAATTCCCTAGGTATCTCTTCCAGCCTTCCCTGACAACTATATATTGGCCGTTTTCACCCTCCCTGAGAACAAACTTCTCCCAGCGCGCATCTTGCCCGGCGCCAACGACAATTAGAGTGGTTTCATCTACCCAGCCGATCACACCTTTCACTGGCCTATTAGTGCCCAGCACGGTCTCTCCTGTCACCTGATTTCGGGGGCTAGGAAGAAGCGGCTCATCCCCTATTTCGAAGGGGATAGATGTAAAGGAGTAGATGTCAGCAAAGGGACCAAATGGTATGTTGCCTAGAATACCCCATTTATTCCTGGCATCGGTATTAGGGCCACTCCCGCTAGCAACTTGATGAGATGACGTGGCCTGTTGATTACGTGGATTAGGAACATCAAAAATGTGCAAGCTGCCCTTATCTGAAGTGCAGGCCAGCATGTTCCCTGACGGACTGAAGCGTAGAGAGTATATAGTAGCGGATTCGCTACCACGACGTCGTTCCGCAATCTTCGCGCCCCTACTGGTAGAAAAAATGCGAATAATCGTGCCCTATACATATCTAATTAGTAAGCAGGATAGACAGGCTATTTATTTGGTTGACCTACCTTTTCGCTTGCCGTCGCAAGTAGGTCCCCGTCCGAACTCAGTTGCAATGCTCTCAAATTTGAGGAATGTGCAGGAATAATGCTAACGCTACCTGTTTCGAACTGTATAACGTGGACTTGGCCCGGTGTCCTACCAGGAAACACCAGATACTTCTCTGTTAGACAGCAAAGACCAAGATGATTGTTCGTGGTCTCGTATATGCCGAGTGACGTAGGGGGCTTCTGAAAAGCATATAGACGGACGCTATTCTGTAAAACAACGGCGATCCTCGTCTTAGAGATCTGAACACCGCGAACAGCGGTTAGAGTGGTGATCTCAAGGCCTATCTTGCCTTTGCTATCATCCCATATTATGGCCTTGTTCTGTGGGAACTTGGGTGAGCGGCCGCCACCAACGAGAGCAAGATAATTCGCATTGCCCATCATCTGGACTAGACCCAGACCCGCGTTGAAAACTAATACTTGTAAGATTCGCCTGCAATATATTGGATAGATGGATAGATATTTATAGCGTACCTCTCGTTGTTTGTATCTGGCAAGCTTTTGAGACGAAGACTATAAAGTGTGTAAGTAGTTGGATTGTATAAGTTAGAACATTTGAAATGGATTGTCATCGAAAACATACTGCAAAAACCCGAGTCTAAACCGACAACAAATCGACTTGCGTCATGGTTGAAGGTGACAGAAAGAGCAGTGTGCTCGCTAGGATTTTCGATAACTGGTCGAGTATCCATGATGGCTGTTTTTATAAGTCTACGTTGATACTAAGAGTGAAGTAAGGTAAAGTAAAGTAGAGTAAAGTAGGCTAGTACGAGTAACGACCGCAAGGATCACAAGGATCCCAAGGGTCACGACGGGCAACAAACTAAATGAAGCGAAGGATGTTGAGCCTCAAAAGGAACCAGATAGTTCGGATAGAGTCTCGGATGTATCCCAGATCATTGCTAAATCGCACATTCGTGAAGCTTCCTGTCGAGGCCTGCCTTAGAAAACTATCATATAAAATCGGATTGCGATGATAAGCGTTGGCCTGCCTAAACTCCAACTGGTACTTGTTCTAGGTAGTTAAACCGTACATGTGTTCTACATGCAGGCAGCCAATGAGCTAGAGATGGATTCAGGCAACAACAGGTAACAGGGCTGATGGAACGTCGAACGAAATAGGAAATATGAACTAGGAAATAATAAAATGGAAAATGGAAAATTATATAATTCGGAGAATCAGATACTGGAGATACTGGATCTATACAAAGCTTTTTGAATGAGAGAAAATGGCAAGCATTTGAAAAGGATGAAGTTTGGTTGGATTATCATTCACAAAGTCCAGGTCTTGGCCCAGGCTGTTGCTTGGGATGGAACGTAATATGTTGCGCAGGTACGGAATTAGGTACGGTTTAGTATTTACAGTAGGTATTGTACAATACAGTGTACACGTGAGAGTGGCCGTGGGCCATGGGTACCTGGGGCATAGGGACTTTAAGATGCCGCTATGGGAACTACTATGGGGATTTTAAGATATAGAAATGCACGGACCACCACACACGCAATGTCTCATCAGGTTGTTGTGTCCCGGGGCCCGTTGTTTACCTAAGGTAGTACCTAGGTACCTATATTTGCAGTACCTAGGGGAAGAATAGGTAAAAAGTGTTACAGCGCAAACCGTCCAAGACGCGGCTGCGTCGCGATTGCCGGCTTTACGTTTTAGGTAGGTACTTTATTATTGTATATGAGGTACCTACTTTACCACTTCGTATATGTATACTGGACCTACCAAACTTTACTCAACGCATAACTTTAACTTTGACCATCACGCATTACATACCTATACTTTAGGTACCTAACTGTACCTATAGGTAAATACATGTAGGAGGTAATACTAGGTACCAGATTTTTGAATACACTCAAGTAGAAGTTACGGTTGAACAATAGAAAATAGAACAAGAGACCCGTCACCTACTAGGTAATAGTATGTAAACTGTGCCTGCCCTTTTACACACATGTATCCAGCCTCGTGTTAATTTGGCATGGGGAAACCAAGTGCTGGGTCGACCCTGGTTTGTCCACCCGTCCAATTAAATATTACGTACCTTATGTTAGTACCTACGTTAGTACCTCCCATTAGCCCATTACCTAGCCCATTACCTAACCTAGCTCTTGCGGTATCAAAAGTGTCAAAAAGCCTGAGCCCCTGAATTCGGGGGAGATACAGGTGATCCGTGCTCTGATTTGGTGCCTTTCTAGTGGTCCCATACCCCCTGTCTTGTTCCCCCGTCTGCAGCGACCGTTCTGTGGTGTTGAAATTGCACTTTTTTTTTCTGGAGAAGAAGGGAAGGAGTGAGCCATCAAAGGTAGCTTTGGCAAAGCGAATCCCGAACACTTCTCAAATCTTCTTTGGTTTCCTTCATCAACACCCAGCTGTGATCACACCCCCCCTTTCACAACGCTGTTTTTAGATACCCCCATTTGCGAAGATCCTGTTCCATTTGACGAGGCCTACTATCGTCAAGTCAATCATTGTAATTTCAATTCTTTTTTTATTTTCTGCTAGCGGACCTAATCACCCCCATCGCGAAACCCAAACTTTAGCCTAATATGTCGTCCCCAGCGGTGAGCTATCCCCCCCCTATCACGCTGCAATCAAACGAAATCTCGCGTTCCGTGTTTGCACTTTGCATTGTCACTCGCATCTTTGTTTCTGCTTCTTGTCTTCTCTATCCGCCTCGGTTGTATAGTCTCGTAATAGCTGCTAATCTGTCATAATGCGTTCGCAGAAGATGATACGACGGAAGAAGAACGTCAAGAAGGGAATCCAGTTCTGCTTGATGGTCTGTGGTGCTTCAGGAACAGGTATACATAGCTCCCTTTTTGCTGCCTTTGACGCGTTCCATGTGCCATTACTCTCGAAGCCTCAAGCTACCGAGGCTCCTTGGCACAATTGAAATGCTAATTTCGGCTCTCACTGTGTAGGAAGGACGACCTTCGTCAACACTCTCTGCAGCAAGAGTGTTTTGAACCACAAGGAATCGGACGATGCCAATAGTGCTCACATCGAAGATGGTGTGAAAATCAAGCCCATCACTGTTGGTTAGTTTACAGATTATCCTATGGGGTAACAATTAGTACTAACAAACTGCCGTAGAGCTCGAATTGGATGAAGAGGGCACTCGTATCTCTTTGACCATCGTCGACACCCCGGGTTTTGGTGACCAAATCGACAACGAGGCAAGGTACGACGCAATATCTAGAAACAATACGTATAACATCCACTAATGCTTTCCAATTATAGCTTCTCAGAAATTGTCGGATATCTCGAGAGACAATATGACGATATCTTGGCCGAGGAGTCGCGTATCAAGCGAAACCCCAGATTCAGGGACAACCGAGTACACGCTATGCTATACTTTATTACCCCGACTGGTCATGGGTATGTGTCATCTCCTATCTAGACGCGTTGTTATATACTCATAGCCTACAGTCTCCGTGAACTTGACATCGAACTAATGAAGCGCCTTGCTCCTCGTGTCAACGTCATCCCCGTTATTGGCCGAGCTGATTCGCTGACCCCCGCCGAGCTGGCCGAGTCGAAAAAGCTTGTTATGGAGGATATTGAGCATTACCGAATCCCCGTGTACAACTTCCCATACGATATCGAGGAGGATGACGAGGACACTGTCGAGGAAAATGCCGAACTCAGGGGCCTCATGCCCTTTGCCATCGTCGGTTCTGAAGATGTTATTGAGATTGGTGGTCGTAAGGTCCGAGCTCGGCAATATCCTTGGGGTGTTGTCGAGGTTGACAACCCTCGTCACTCGGACTTCCTGGCCATTCGATCGGCTCTTCTTCACAGCCATCTCGCTGACCTAAAGGAGATTACCCACGACTTCCTATACGAGAACTACCGTACTGAGAAGCTTAGCAAGAGCGTTGAGGGCGGCGCTGGAGTGTAAGTTACTGTCACCAGCCTGTTAAGACATTTTCCTAACATACTTTCTACAGCGACTCTTCTATGAACCCTGAGGACTTGGCTTCCCAGTCCGTCCGTCTAAAGGAAGAGCAACTTCGCCGAGAGGAGGAGAAGCTTCGCGAGATCGAGGTCAAGGTCCAGCGCGAGATCAACGAGAAACGACAAGAGCTTTTGGCCCGCGAGTCCCAACTGCGCGAAATCGAAGCAAGAATGGCCCGAGAGGCCGCCGCTGCCGCAGGCACACCGGAAGCGAATGGCGAACAGGAAGCCAACTAAGTGGCCCAGAACAACATCTTTTCTATCTCCTACTCCTGGTATACCGGCGGCCAGATAGCAGTACGGACTGTGGCGTTGGGTGTTTAATATTCCCTAGTCCCTGATCCCCTAAGCCATTCGAGATGACGCGTTATACGAAAATCCAACAATATTAATGATTGCGTGGGATGCGGAATAGCAGAGGGCTTGTTGAAAAACTTGTCAGGAATAAAAGAGCCAGAGTTGATATCCCTTTACAATTATTGCATGCCCCATTTTCGGAAGAGGGACGATGGCACAGTGGGAAAAGAGAAGCAGTGTTTGCCTTCCCAATTTTTCATATCTGATGACACATCGTCCTGTGGACAAACTAAAGGTGGTAGAGGAGAGAGTTCGCCTACCTTTATATCTTTTGCGAGTCGATGTCCGTTTTACTAGTTGCCAACTGTGTAGCCTTTTCTACTTTCACGCCCCCTTTTCTCCTAGTATTAGTGCCTTCTAATGCAGATATCAATATGAGCTTTCTTTGATGTCTTATTATATTATATTACCACGATGTGTTCTTGCTCCTAGTGCCATTGCATCGTCGTGTTACGAAAACGTTATTGCGGAGGAAAAGGCGAAAATAAATACGGAGCTATTGTATCTGCATCATATTACCGCTCTGTGACTCTGACTCGATATCAGGATTCTCCCCAGAATTTCGTAGCTGGAAAAGTTAAAAGGCATACGCTGTGAATAAGAATGTTTATTGCTAGCTTAGGAGCCTACCTACCCCCGATATATTAGGTAACTACTGCATGGAACGAAACCCAATCCTAATATCTGAGCGACTCGGCCTTATGGTATGAAAGCTCAGGTTGCTACCTTCCAATACGCCATTCCGTACTCGTACAACGACACAAGGAAAAGAAAGAAAGAAAGAAAGAAAGATACGGATTCCGCAATAACGCCCAAAACAGCTAATTTAATCCAAGTATCCCTTTGCATCCCTTTTGTGGAAAGAAACCGACGATTCCACGTTCAAACCTCCACATGACATAAACGGGGCCCTTTCTCACGAACCCTCTTTTCTTAACTTGCCTAATTGTTACTCTGGCTGTTTAGGATGCGCAGGATGGCCAAGAACAGGTTGATGATGTCCAGGTACAAGCTGATGGCGGCGGCGATCTCCTCCTCGACGTGATGCTTGCGGATGACGAGCTGGGTGTCGACGAGAATGTAGCCGGAGAAGATGAGCGCGGCCAGGCCGCCGTAGATCATCTCGCCGGTGCTGCTGGCGGGGAAGAAGGCGATCATGAAGCCGAAGAGCAGGAGGCCCCAGAGGGCACCGAACAGGTACGGCATCCAGGAGGTGAAGTCGTAGCGGGTCTGGCAGGCGAACAGGGTCAGGAAGACGAAGATGCCGCCGGTGAGGATCACGGCGTTGAGCACGATCTGCGTCTTGTAGAAGGACACGATCACCGAGATGGTGTAGGCTTCGAAGAGCGTGAATCCGGAGAGGAAGAGCAGGTTGGTCGGGTAGGACTTGCGCTTCCAGTAGGTTAGGACCATGAATATGATGGAACCGAAGAGCTGTAGGCATCATTGGTATGTTAGCGTCTCTCATTTACTTCGAATAGTTGTTGTAACGTACCGATGCCCAGACGAGAGCCGGGTGCGACTGGATCCAATGCCTGTAGCCATCGTTCCAGAAGCTGATGCCGCTGACGACGCCGGTGGCGATGAGCTGCACCGTGAGGATGGTGTATACCTTGCGGATGAACTGGTTGCGGATGTCGATGGTGGCTTCGGCGACGGACCCGCCGAACTTGAAGTCGTCGGGGATGTTGTCCTCGCTGCTGCGTGGGACGTCGCTAAACAGTCCCGCCGGTGCGCTATTGCTATTCAATCCCGTCTCTTGGTACGACGGGGGAGCATGCGACCAGGTTCCTGCGTCGGGGTCCTGCGTGGGCGCCGGCGTGTATTTGGTGTTGGCGGCCATCTTTTTTTCTTTTGCCTTTCGTTTAGACGCTCTTTGTAATACAGAGGTACGTCGCGGCTAGTGATAGAATAAGCGAAAGCAATGAAATGATTGTTTTTTCCCTTCCGGCGTTGATGGGAAATGATGAAGGAGTAAGGTTGTTCTAGGTAGGTAGGTGGATTTAGGTGAGAGAGAGGCGGCCGCTGGAAACTCGAGACAAGGCGAATCGCGGGGCGCTATGTTTAATGTAAGTAATACACTGTAAGTCATTAGTTTAGGCAGGTGCAGGAAGGCTGTTGTCAGCACGCTGTCATAGAAGCCACGAAATAAGTGGGTTTATGCTTTTTCTCAGTGCTTCTGGTACTATCGACAAGAAACTGTTAATCGTTGATTTCGCCAATGTTGATTGGCTGGTGATTTACCTTGGTTTGAACCCAGATTTACATAACATAATGCCTGGCATCTCAACTATCAGATGGCCAAATGTGGCTTAACTGTGGTTAGTGAGAACTTAAAAGTGCGGGGCGGACATGTGGAAGTCAAGAGGGCAGAAGGGCTGTTCCAGACTGTGTTTTCAATGCATGCAATAGGTACCTGGTACATAATATTACGTACACATATCTATACGCAGTTTTCGTAATTAGGTATTACTAGTTAGGTACCTTAGGTACCTGTTATTGTCTCTTGGTTCTCAATTCTAGGTACTTTTGATATCGGAAACTTCCAACAATTCCACATGGATTCTCCACCCGCGAGGAATGTCCGGGGAATAAGCGACAACACAACGAGAACGTAAGGCGTGTGGTTGTGGGAAATTCGGCAAAGCTCATTCGCCAGGAGGCCATGTGGGAAAGAGGGTGATAGAACGATAGAACGCCACTCCATGCAGTCAATAGTTGTCAATTCCGGAGCAGTTGGCTCCCATTGGCTGGATACCTTTGGTAGTGTTACACCTATCCACAAACGGTTTTGGTAACAGAATATGTTAGGTACCTCTAATAAAAGTCAGTTTAGTTGCATTGAGATGTAACCTCAAGCTTGCGGCGGGGAAAAGAATAGGAGAAAGTCTCTTAAACGTCACCTACTCAATTGATCATAGTAAGTCATCTGTAAGGGAAAGAAGCAAGCTATAAAGTTGTAAAGTCAGCTTGTTTACAATTCGCGGCGTTTCATATTTAGTTTAAGTTAGATAGGTACCAGATACCTACTAATCGAAGCTACACTTATATGCTAGAGGTACCTATGTTAGGTACGATGCACTACCTGCTACCTTACGTACCTAGGTACCTACCAGTAAAGCTACTAGGTATCTCCTATCCTATCAAGTTGTCAGGCCATGCAAAGGGGTCTCAACAAAAATATAAGGTATATAAAATAAAATCAGATGTTACCATGTTTGAGAGGCATGTAAATAACCTGGTTCTCCCATTTCGACAAAGTTACGCAGGTAATAAGATGTAATTAGAAAAGAACCTTGTACACTATATTGTACCTAAGCGGCTAAGGTTATCAGTGATACTAACGATCAGTGACCACTAAAATTGTATTGATCTACCCCACTAATCCCCTGTTAGAGTGTTAGAGGGGGGACGCTACCTAGGTAGCTACCCTGCTAGGTAGGAGGTACTTAACCTACCTACCTATACCTTAGGTAGCTTGACCACCCCTCCTCCTTTTTTTTTCTCCCAGCTCACCGCTCTGACCGCTCATCCTCGAAATCTATCAAAAAAAAAACTTAAACAGCAGTGGGGGGAGGGCCCACCTTCACTTCAACATCCTCAAAAAAACAACTTGTCTTCAGTCTTGTCTAGGTGGTCCCGACCAGATCAATGCCCCCTCCCCTGTATGCAGCTTGGGGATTACGTTGGACACATTCGTTCTTCTAAAATAAAGAGTAAATAAGACAAATGATTTATCTACGTGCGATATTCGTTTTCGCGTTTTGACGACTCTTAACTCGCATCCGCCAATCGCTTGAAGTGTGAGGCATTCGCTATTGTCTATCACTAGTTCTGGTGTTTTTGTTTTTTGTTTTTATTTTTATTTTTTTTCCCTCGAAGTCCACCCCACAGGGTCCCTCTTCTGTCGACCGACATATCCGCAACAAAATCACCGTTAAACGCACCGAGCCCAACGTACCGACCCCTCCTGTATTCGGACTTCTAGCGGACATTTTCGACCTAAATATGAACGAACCCGAGGCCAATGCCCCTCCCACAGATATTGGAGATACAACAAAGTCTACCACAGCCATGGTGCCTCAAGTTGAGAAACCCAATGCGAGTGCGGTTCGACCGCCGGTGAAATCGCGGAGCTCAATGAACGGTCCCTTGTACATGCAGACCAGCCAGAATAAGGTCTTAGTCCGGAGAGTGAAGAGGAAAGACGAAGGACCCATGAGGGCCCTGGCTCGCTGGTTTCTCGAGAATCAAACGGGTATGTTTGCCATAACTTTACTAGCAAAGTCCATTCATTATACACTTATTTTCAACCCACTACATGTTATAGAGTGGTGTGTAGGGCTTCACCTGATACACTGCCTGATACACTGCTTGGTACACTGTTCCATGACAGCGGCATCCCACTGCCAATTGGTATTCCCCTTATGTTCTTGTCCGTTACCATCGCTAATACTTTTCAATCGTATAGGCCTCTCATTCAACTTGATTACTTTAATCTTCCTTACGCACATATGTCTTCCAAAAGCACGCCCTCACACCTCCAAATTTTTTACCCTCTCCTACTACAGCCCGGAATCCGGAAAATATGGCATTGGATCGAATGACTATCACTTCATTTCGTTCTGCATAGTTCTCTTCACAGGGCTGCGCGCCTTCTTGATGGAACAGCTACTAGCACCCTTAGCCAGACAATGGGGTATTTCCAAGAGGAAAGACGTTACTAGGTTTTCTGAGCAAGCATGGATGTTAGTATATTACAGCGTCTTTTGGACGCTCGGCACGGTACGAAGACCCCTAATACGCCACAGACGTGGGAGGCTTGCTTATACGCATAACCTACCCGGCTACTTACATACCTATCTAAGATATATCATATATCATGTTCGACGATTATACTGACAAATAACCATGAAATAGTACATATATGCCAATTCACCCTACTTTCTCAACATGAAGGAGCTTTGGACTGGCTGGCCGAACAGGGAACTCGATGGGCTTATGAAGGGCTATATACTGGCGCAATGGGCCTTCTGGGTTCAGCAAGTCCTTGTTATCCACATCGAAGACCGCAGAAAGGATCATTATCAAATGCTCACCCATCACTTTATCACGATCACGCTCATTTCGGGATGCTACTACTATCATCACACTCGAGTCGGCAATCTCATCCTGGTTCTCATGGATGTAGTAGACCTGTTCCTCCCAGTAAGTTAAACTGCTTATGACACTCTGCATCAATCGGCTACGTTTTAGCTAACTTAATTTACAGCTGGCCAAGTGCTTGAAATACTTAGGGTTTTCGAAACTATGTGATGCCACCTTTGTGGTTTTCATGGTGTCGTGGTTTATAGCCAGGCACGTATTTTACCTTATGACATGCTATAGCATTTACAAGGATGTGCCTGAGATAATCACATGGGGCTGCTGGCATGGACCTAATTCGAATCTAACCGGGCCGTTCCCCGTCCCTGATGGGTGGGGTCACTATCTAGAGCCATTTAATGACTCTGAGGGCACGGTCTGTTTCAATAGCTCAGTCCAGTGGGGATTCCTATATTGCTTGCTTGGTCTCCAAGTACTCACCATATTCTGGTTCTTCATGATTGTCAATGTCGCCATCCGGGTGGTTAGGGGGGATGGCGCCGATGACACTAGGAGTGATGACGAAAGGGATGAGAAGGAGGAAGAGACCGAATACGAAGAGGCGCAACCTCTCGAAGAAGAAGTCGGCGTGGAGGCTATTGATTTAAAAGGATGGGAGCGTCGGACAGGCGTTAAAAGAGGCGCAAGTTCTTCTGGTGTCAGTTTACCCGGCCATAGCGATCGTAAGGAGTTGCTCGGTCGCATCGGCTGCGAGAAGCAGGTTGACTGATACATCAGCGCAATAAAGTGTATCGCGGTACACGGACATGGTAAATGGCAGGTCCCTTTGCGTCTGGCGGCCACTAGAGATATCATGTGCGCTGATAAGGAGTGCCACGCTTGGAGGTGCCCGGGGAGTTAAGAGTTAAGGGGCAGGAAAGTTAAGCGTGGCAATCTTGATTTTGTTTTGTTCATATGGGTTGATCTGGGAGCGGTACCCTATGCGCTATTTTACTGCGCCGAGGACAGTTGGAGGACCATCTGCTCTATCTCGGCATATATAGAAACTGAATTCAGTACTTATACCCCATCGCTCCGTTTTAGCTCAGCTCGTGAGATACACAGTATTGGTTGATGGAAAGGAAATGCTTATATGTCGTACCACGAACATTCGTGATATCCAATCCTCTGGGGAGGCTTGCTGTCAGAAATTAGGTTAGGTACCTGTGTTCGTAACGTGTATATTTACATCCATCTACTCCCGTATTTAACATTACCCCAGCTACTTGTATAGAGGTGTGTCGATCCCATTATCTGTGATAGGTGCCATTCATACCATATTTTACTGTCTATGGTGATCTCCGGTGAGCCGCCACCCTAACTTGCAACTTTAAAGTTGAAGGCTCTCCTTCTATTTGTTTGAAGCGTATCGCTCAAGATCCTTGGAACTCTGTTGTGCTGGCTTATTACTTTAGCCTGCTCCTAAAGAGCCTTGGGTCTTTGTCGCATGACCATTGCACGATCAATCTTTGAACTTAAAATCGCGATAAACTGAAACAACGCAAATATACCTATCTAGCAGGCGCCCCTAAGTTTACTTACATGCTTCAAGGGGAAGGTGGGAGAGGGGGGGGGGGGGGGGAGGAGGGGAGGAGGGAAGGGAAGGGAAGGGAAGGGCCGTTATATCAGAGAGCAGTTGAGATGACAGAAGGTGCTCTCTCTCTCTCTCTCTTTCTAACATTGTTACATTTTCTATCGGCAACATCTTCTGTATTAGATATTAGGTAGACTTCCTTAAAACACAAACCACAGACATACATCTACTATACTTCAACATCTTTGGAAGTGGGTTTAAACAAACAAATCAAAAAAAGACATACTATAGAAGGCATTCAACAGCATCCAATGGATCAAGGGTCGATAATGCCTCTTGGAGGCTCTTCTACAACTGTCGCCCAGCAGGAGACCTCCAAAATCGCAGTAGTCGAAGACAAAGTGGCTACACTTGCCGACTTACAAGAGCAATTACAAGTGGCGCAACATAAAATTGAAACCCTGGAGAAAGAGCTGGACTCTAACTGTGATGCCCCAGAAAAGATAGTAAACTGGCTATTACGAGAAAGATCCAAGCTCAGATCGTCTTTGCAAAGAAGCGAAACGAATCTTGAGGTCCAAGCCGAAAGGCTCCAGCAAGCTATGAAAACGGATCAGATGCTATTTGAGGCGCTTGAGGAGAGCTGGAAAGTTATAGAAGAAGCCATCCGCAAGGAGGCAGAGCGGACTGAAGAAGTTTCCGCCCTGCGAGAAAAGCTCAGGATAGCAAATAACAACGCCGCGGACGAGAGGCAGCTTTCTCGGTTCTTCTCACAGGAGGTCGAAGGCCTACTAAAACTCATACAGACCCAACACAGCGAGATCAACCAGCATCAATCGGCTATCAAAAATCTGAAGAGGATCAATAAGGTCCTGGAGGAAGAGAACGGAAATCTCCGAGCCGAGAATTCTTCTTCCTCGGCTGATAGCAAGAAGACACTGCCAACGGATACGTAGGCAGGCCGCGATGACGACAAGACGGTTAAAGCGGTGGTGCGTAAAACCGAAGAGCAGATCGTGCTATCTCAGGAACAGACTCGGAAGCTACCCATCTAGGCGCAGCAGGAAGCTCATCCGCAACGGGAGCAAGGGAAAGGGAAAGAGAAGGGCACGCCAGACCACTCGTCCTCTTTCTCCCTTCCCTCCTCGTCGTCGCCCTCCTCTCCCACTTCCTCCTTTCCGCGTACCTCTTCCTCCTCCCCATCATCATCATCGTCAACAATATCATCAACAACATCATCAGTACCATCCGAGAGGCAGCCAATAGCAGCGAGCCAAACTGCTACTACTAGCAGCAACATCCGAACAAGAACGAGAAGAACGAGCCCGCAATAAATACAGAACAGAACTCAGGATGAAGCATACCGAAGCGTGGCACAAGTTGCACAGATCACGACGCACAAAGGAAGACTGTCTGAACAACGTGTCAATATACACACCTGGACAACGGAGATGGTGTGAACCTGTCGCGTGTACGAAATTGACTCAAACCCATCAAATGTGGTAGATCTACAATACCTACCTAGATCCAGAATTTGTCAGGAGTCTCACTTGAGACTCCTTGGGAACAAAGGAGTTGTTTTGTATATAGGTAACTTTGACTCCAAAGTTATTGTAGTTAGAATTCCCTGCGGAATAACGAAGCTATTTCCCTACCTCATGCTCTGCGACGTGACAGAATTACGCTATCTGGGTCAATGTCCCGACTGTGATGTGAATCGTACAGATCGACGATAGACGTCGGGCGAACTAAAACCTATTCATGAGCCACCACAGCCATTTCACACGATCTTCTTATAGTTGCCTACCTAGGTAGGCATATAACGAAGTTTCTATTAATGCACGTACAGAGCGAGTCATGGACAGTTAATGAGCATATCAACAACTTTCGAGAGCGAGCCGAATCTTGGCGGATCAAACTGCTTGCCAGAGGCGAGCCAGACCTGCGCAAGGAGATGATCATAGTATGCCTGTTACTGGCAAAACAAAGTCCTTGCCAACCGTAGCAGTTCCAGCATACTTAGCTCATGAAAAGAGCGTTGTCAATGCTTCTAGCAGTGTTGCTGGAAGTGCTACCATGGATATCGTGGACAGTTTCTGGAAGGGCGAGAGCGAGAGGCCTGGAGTTGGCTGTGACGTGACTACGCGTGTCAGGTCTTTCTATTTAGTATTTGCTTTCCTCCCCCGTAGAATGGTAGTGATCGGGCTGCTTTTGGTGATGGGGACGAGAGCGGTGATGGCAACGGGTATAAACGAACCTTGTCTACCGAAGGCGGAGTGCGGCGAGCTCAACCAGTATATTGTCTACTCATAGAGTAGAGTTTCTTGGGAAACTTTTTGGTTATTTCTTTCCTTGTGCGTGTACTTACGTCGTGGGTTGATTGAGCTTGTATTTTGAGTGCTATTTTGTTTAGACTTTTCCATCCGGACTGTTTGCCTTTCGACCTCTATCGCAAGTTGGTGAGCTCATACTCGTAGGAAGTGCCTTGGCTTCTGGAATATTCCGTTCAAAAGTATCGAAATGAACGTTAAAAAGTAAATGGGTGAGCGTACTGGCATCTTAACAGACTTAATTTAGTTACTACATTAAGAGGTAGAGCCAGCACTTAGTTGGCTTGCTTTTGCTTTTGGAGTCTAAAGGAATAGGGGGCGGCATGTGTATGAGTGGCTATAGCTTTGGAGATTGTCTTTATACTTAACCTTATGAGGTACCTAACTTCCCAACTATTCTGTTCCGCCTTTTTATGATGGCTATAGGTATTATGTTCGGGTTTATTCGGGCTTTGGTCTTATTCAATAGGCTATTTCCTCCAAGATACACATGTCACAGACCCCGATGCCGTCGGACTTGGAACGGAAATTTATGCTTATTAACAAGTTAAAAGAGGAGAATCTTCTCAATAACCATTGACATTCCATGTCCCTCAGTTCGCGGTTATTTCCGGTGCCGATCATAAGAAACCACTGGTTAAAACTGCTTTGGCGAACCGGAAGGGAAACGATGTATTGAGGCTTGGCTGATCTCGATTCGGTGACTGTGGTGGAGAAGTAACGTATAATATACGAACTGGAAGTTGAGATATCTACTAGGTATGTTGCAACTCTCGTTACAGTTGATTGGTTACCAAAGTCAAGTAAGTGTAAGCGTTTACAGGGGTGTTGGCGTGCGGCGTAGAAGTGGCATTGCTGCAGCAGTTAGAATTACATAGGAGGTACCTAAACTAAACTAAAAGAAACAAATAATATAGAGCAAAAGTATTCCTCGTAGGAATATGAACACTTGATGATAAAGAGAATAAGTTGATATATCTCAGGCACCTAGTTAATGTACAGTAGGAGGTAGTTAAGGGCATCAATCAGACTTGAGACTCATTCGTTCATGTGCTATTATTAGACAACGACAAAATGTATGTATTTCGTGTACCTCTACAGCAAACAACTAGATTTGACACCCAAACAAGAAGATGCCTCTCTATTCCTATCCAGCTGGTACATAACTGTATCACGTCAGTGTTAGAATTTCCTCGTAAATTCTATTCGAAAGACGTAGTACGTACTTCGGCATGTCCTTCGTTCGACGATCGTGTGCTGTGTTGTGTGACTTGGCGATCCCAAAAAAGCAGTTGTAATCGAGAGATATGACTGGTCGTCTCAACAGAGTACATGACGATTGACACGAGGTCACCATACATAATCGATAACAATACGAGAAAGCAGCAGTATAACTGATCACAATTGTAACCGCGACTCTCTACCCCAGTTTAATATTACGTTGACGATGTTTGATGTATTGGGCAGCGAAGGATTCAGCCAGAGCGGTGTTTATCATACGTTAAGTTGGGAGAAGACTTGTATGAATACACATGCGTTGGTATAAGCCATCAACACCTAATAGAGTTATACCGGAAATACAAGACAACCGAACCCCGTAACGCCGGCCGGCAGCTCCGTGGCGTAGATTTATTCGATCCAGTCTAACCGCAAGGTCGGATTTCATGGGGAAACGGTTCGGCAGCTTACGCGAGCGATATATGGATCTCTATGGAGTCTCGTGAATGTGATCCAATCGGGGAATTCTTAATCTTTCTGCCTGTCAGAAGATTTACACTATCATCTACAAACACTGGGGTAAGGCATACGAGCGATCCCCAGCGTGCCATTTTTAGTCCAACCAGTGTAAATCTCTACCGACTGCCGATCTTTCATCGTACAGAACGGTCAATGTTTTCTCACCCGCCCGCTAGCTTACAGGCATAATACGGTAATTCTCATTTCGGGGAGATCTTCAACTAACCCGTCTCCTTTGATTAGTCGCTTCGCCCTCAGCTGGTTCTTAACTCGACCGGGGTGTGGATTATCGTAAGGGGGCTCAGTTGGGAACCACGTGATGCAATGCCCTCCCGTATTGTACGCACGTCTGGAAAGGTCTGGATCACAGACTTTAGGCACCGACAATATGATATAGGGGAGACCTCATGTTATTATAAAAGGAGGGTGAACGACTGCCATCTCTAGACTTACAATCGACCAGTCTCAGACACCAACAAGTATCCGACAACTCATACTTCACGTCCTCTATCAACATCACTATCACCACCTCTTTCAAAATCTTCAAGACAACTACTACCGCAAAAATGCAGTTCACTACCTTCATCGCCGCTGCCGCCGCCCTTGCTTTCGGCGCCAACGCCAACGTCACCCCCCGCGACGGTGCTCGTCTCGCGCAGTTCCGCATCTTCGGCGCTGACGGCTGCCACGACCAGAACATGGGCTTTTACACGGTCGACGAATCTGACGCCAGCGAGTGCCACGAATTCAGAGCCGCCGTCAAGTCCATCAATCTGGAGGCCATGGAGAAGCCCGCGGCCGACGGCTGCAACCGTAAGTCAACAGTTGCACAAACGATAGTAGTGACGAAACAGGCAGGACCAGTTGGCTAACAGAGAGAACAGTCTTCGTCTACACCAACAACATCTGCAATTCGGGCGAACAGAGCCTCAGCCTGAACACTTGCATCGACGTGCCCCCGCCCGACGTCATGTTTTCCTCGTGGAAGATCGTCTGCTCCGGTTTGTAAACAGCATTCCGCTCTCACCTCTCACTGTCTCTATAGAGACCATAGGGCGATCTAGAAGTTCGGAAAGGTGGAGATTTTGGTTCACCCAACGATTCTGATGGAAGATAGAGCAGGAAGAGGGAGGGAAAGAGGGTATGGGAAGACAGTACCTACGATTTTCTGGGTCATCTTGCATCTTGCATAGTTAACTAAGACATTCCGTTAATTGGTTGGAAAAAGGAGATTATTGGCTTCGATTATTGGCATTTATCATGTACGCTCCTTCACATCTATACATATAAAACTATTCAAGCTCGTACGGTTGGTTCTTGTGAGTGAAATGTGACTGTGTTCAGTTAATGGAGGAATTGGAGAACTTGGCGAAAGCTTTTTATGAGTGGCTGCGGCCTGATAAACTCAGAGTCTCCTGAGATAGATATGACAGCCCTTCAGCGCTCAGAAGCCGAGTTTTCATTCCTACGTAATAAGAGCTGTAAGCTGGTGGCCCCTTTAGCGATGCAATGCAGCCATTTTCCAGCCATTCCAATCTACACCTTCGTCTACCTTTACAGCACCTCGGAGTCCTTGGAAGAGGCCGAGAAATCCATCCCAGTCCGCGAGATCGTATCCGCAACAGAAAGAAAACCTGTGCTGCAGCCGACCGTTCCAGACATATTTTGCCAAAGCTGTATGCCCCTTTTCTTCTAAGACGTGCGCGAAGGTAATTTCATCGCCGCCTAGATTATTCTTGCCTTGATAGAACTCACCAACTGGCAAGAGGCCGATGGGTGAGTTAAAAGCATGTATCGGAGGTGCGGTGTGAGCCCATTCCCAGTCGATTATACCGGTAATATTGAAGTCTTCATCCACCATAATGTGATCCCCCTTATCATCTGCGTGCTTCAAGTAAAAATTTCCGTCATCCTCTACCGACTGCGATAGCACGATGGGAACTATATCAAGGAGAAACCTGTGTATCAGGTAGGCATCCACAGCTTGTTCTGAGTACATTTCTCCGCGAAGAATCAGGTCTAAGATGAGCCGGATTGAAGATTCGTGGTACTCTTTCAGAGACGAGAACGGCCCCATTGTGCGCATTCCGGATTCCGTAAAATCAGTAAGCGATTCCCGAGCAAGCGCACCAATATGGATGTCACCCGCGCCCGGGTAATGGAGAGAACCAAGGCGATCGAAGGGATAACTGCTAAGCTCGATGAATACGTCGGCAAGCTGTTCCATCACTTTTCTTCTCTGTTCCTGCGTTGTAGCAGACCATCTTAAAGACTTCTCATGTAACTTTTCCATTAGAATATAGCCGACTCCAACAGGGTTATCTGGATTATCCAGTGCGAGATCAAATACTTCCGGAGCAGGTACGCTGGTTCGTTCGAGAAGTTTGAGAGTTGCGACTTCGCTCTGGACTATATAATCCCGCAGTGCTTCCGGAGGCGATGTAGCATTGAATCTGCGTACACGGGCTATCCATTTGATTCCGTCGTCAAAACATATCTCGATATGATAATTCATGCCGCCCATCACAGAACTCCGTGTTTCTCTGTCATATTGAAGTGGAGGAATTGAACAGGGTATTCCCCCACGCAAGGAACTGGCTTGAGCCGCCAGAGCAGGAATGTTGATCTTACTGATCAACCCCGTCAGTTCCTCTGCTTCAGCAACTCGAGCCGCAGGGTCGTATCTATCTTCATCCTTCCGAGTGCGAGGGGAATTAGTAAGTTAATACTTGTGTATTCCAAGGGCTAGACCAACCTCCCATTTGGGACATTTATGAAAACCCTGCTGAAGATGTTCGGAACATAGATGACGGTTGCATAATATGCAACCACCGAGATTACGAACAGCCGGCTCTTTGCAATTGGCGAAATCGCAGGTTCACATAGGCATTGTACCTATCAAAGGTCAGGCTCTACCGAACACGACGGTTATTTGACAGATCAAGATGGTTAGGGTTGCGCTTGTTATTAATAAGAGATGTGTTATGAAACCGACCTTCCTTAATGAATCAGCTGCATCGAAAATGGGATATAGGACTGTACCAACTGCATAAGATGATAGGCAAGGGTACGCTGTGGGATTTAAACTTATAGGACAGTTGGCCCCCTTGCTTCATACTTCTTTACAAACTGAATTTCCCATCAAAAAGACTTACGGCTCTACTAGATTATCTCAACTATCAAGGTACCTAATCTACCTACCTAAGGCAGCATGGATGACTCCGAGGATAGTTTGCTCCAAAATCGGCTCACTACCAACAACCGATTACTTCGCTTCTTTTCAGGATCCAGGAGGACCGAGTAAATCGGGCCAATTTTCTTTCACATATTCTTCAGAACCTTGAATGCCTCCTTTATGACTATTATGTAGGCAATGCGATAAACAAGCTATGCCGGTGTAGTGAGAGCGATTTAAAGGAAAGACGAAATAATTATGTGGCTCTATCTTACACTTGGGTCCCGTCAGCCTATGAGGATGATAAGAGCGGTCGGTACCTGGTGGAGGATAGAAATAGAAATACGTTCAGTCCATCTGACGTTCGAGATTGCGTCTTGGACCGTATTACCAAGTACATGAAAGTCAAGGGAGTTAAGCTGTTATGGATTGACCGACACAGTATACCACAACAGACTTGCGAAGACCCTACCTGCCGGTGTTGGCCGTGCAACCAAAAGAGGCAGAGTCTTCAGTCTATGGACCAAGTTTATCAGCTCAGTGAACATCCTGTTGCGTTACTGGGCCGGCCAATCTCGTCAGAAGACGAACTGGAAATCTTCTGCAAAATCCTCGAAGGAGCTTTTGTTACTAAGGATGATGAAAAGGGTCGCTGGAAGTTCGAGAAGACAATTAATCGACATGACGCAAGCCACGCACTTAGACTGCTTTACGAAATTACTAAAGACCTTTGGTGGCAGCGGGCTTGGACATTCCAGGAGAATTATAAAGGAGGAACGCAGATGATTCTTCTCATTCCACATCCAGAGTCATTGGAAATAAAGAAATTAATTTGGGGAGTTTTTGGTTATATTCCAGGGGAGCTCTCCATTAAATCGACAGAATTTTCCGACGAGGCGACCAAATTTTGTCAAGCTTTCCGCGGCACGCCAAATCTGACGGAGGAAGACAGCTGCAAGATAAAATATATCCTCAGTAGGACTGAAAAGTACACTGTGAGCCTAAAGGAGTCGGAGCCCATGTACCCCGCCATCATCGCCAACGTTCAAGCCAGAGATATTACAGATCCATGGGATCGTATCCCTATCATTGCCAACTGCTGCAGTTATCCTGTTCGTCTGGATGCGCAAAAGCTGAAAAAACGGGGCGATAGTCTCAGCTTGGCGATATTGGCGACCTGTCTCCTCAATGGGGAGATTCTTAACAACAAGCCATTGAGATATTCCAAACGTAATCTATCCGTTTCCCAGTTTCTGAATACTTATTGCTTCAAAGAGATCCGCTCCCCTCCGGAAGTGAGGCGCCTAACGTATAATAAGGGTTGTCGGTTTAATAATGTAGAGCTTACAGAAGTTGGGATAAAAACCAAAGGACACCTATGGGAACTCGGTCAGATCATTCGAACGGCTGGTTTTGAAAATCAATTGCCCTTTGTGCGGCCACCAAACTGCGATAGAATAGAACTTGGCGAGTATCGGCGTCTCACTCGCCTCCATAAGGAGTTGAAGAAGTACCATCCCTGTAGGAAGCTTGCAGATGACATCGGTAAATATTTGCGTAGTATAGACGTAGGGAAGATGGATTACGATTTTGGGGAGAACTACATGTTGATGATGGCGGTAGAGGTGGCTAAGGCAATTGAAGAGGGGAAGACACTGAGACTTGGAAGACTTTGCGAGCCTGACGACACACTGAATCCGTATTCAGCCATCTTCGTTTGGGGGGACACCCCAACCAGGGACCCAGCGTTTGTTTTCACTTCACTGCATCACAGTTGGAATGACACCGACCGTCACGTTTCCCTTCAAGTGGATCTGCGGGATAAGAGGGACGACACTCCACAATTGTACGTCAACCGTTGGCTTCTTGGGATGTGCTTCTTCCGGGGGGAGCTGCAAAGACGTGTAGTCTTTCCATGGCCGCCCGCCTTAGTAGGGCCGTCACATCACTCTTGAAGAAATAGTCAGTATCTTAATTTCAATTACTCGCTTATATGCACTCGAAAAAGTGTCATGCCTGTGTTGTCTCAACTCCATAGTTTTCATCGCGCTTCTTATCCAACTCATTAAACTTCTTAACTACCTGCACCGTGGCGTAGTAGCTGAACGGCAACGCAATAAACCAGAGTCCGAGGTTAATGCTAGCCGTAGCAATAAGCGCTGTTGGAACAGCCTGGATACCGAATCCTACAGCGACACCGGCGGTTTCGATCCCTCGAAGCAAAGAACTATATCTGATCTGGTCGCCGGGTGAGTCTGACAAGTTGCTAATACACCAGTAGATGTAATTTTCAACCATGCCGGCGCTGATGCGTTCAAACATGTAAACTCCGAAGCCACGGCCGAATTCGGCTTGATTACCCCAGTCTAATACTGGGAGTGTATGTCGATATTCATTCTGGATGTATACTGCCCAGATCCACGTTGCACTGTTAAGAATTGCGATCAGGATATAAGTAGTGATAGCACGAGTCTGTCTCTTCTTCGCCCAGTGTATGTCAACCAATACACCACTAAGCCAAGTGGCGAGCGTACCAACTATGGCAGACATGAAACTACCAAGGGCTCTTGACCGAACCGTAAAGTATGTTGCTAGATATGTCCCCGGATATGCCTGGATCCAACCAAAGTACCAGAACAGGGGGGTCAACAGTAGAATCGACTTGCTCCTCGCTAATCTCCACATCTCACGGAGCTCCATACGCCAGCTAATTCCTTTAAGCGCTTCGATGTGAGTCCCATCATCTCGCTGGACTTTCTCGGGGTTAGAAAGGAGAAGAGCAAATAGACAGCCAAGGCATTGGATGGCGATAAACGCGAGATACGTCTCGTACCCTACCTGGCCGCGGCGGTTAACATTGACGTTGAGGCCGAGCGAAATCGCACCCCCGATGACGTTCCCGAAGTTGCGGAACGTAAACCAGGTCGCGAGATAGCGGCCTCGCTTATGATGCTCGGGATATCCCGTGCATATCGCGCCCTCGACGCTCCACAGGAACCCGGCGCTGAGGCCGCACGCGACGGCGCCGACGTACACGAGCCACACGACGCCCCATCTGTTGTTCACATAGAGCCCCGCCGCGTACAGCGGGTAGCCGAGGGTCCCGACGGACAAGGTCCAGCGGAACCCGATGGCGTTCGTCAGCCACGGCCCGCCGAAGCACGTCACGGCCATGAAGGCGTAGAGCAGCGCGTTCGCGGCGTTGACGAGGTCCGGGCTCTGCGACCCGCCCACGCCCAGGCCGTTCATCGCGCTCCATATCCCCGGCGCCGAGAAGGAGCATATCCCCACGACGAGGACCTGGAATAGCGTGCTTCGGAAGAATGGGACTTTATCTGGTTTGGAGGGAGCGTTCTCGTCGTTTACGACTGCGACAGAGGCTGGTTCGACGCCTTCCTTGGCGATGGTTAAATCCCCCGACATTGCAATTGGTGCTGACAAAAATTAGATGATTTAATGTCATATGAAGTTTTAATACCTCAGAGTATTCCCAAAGCCAACATTCGAGCTAATTCACAAATATATATCATTGAAAATCTATCAAGGTTACCTACCTGGTACTAGGTAGTCGGAGATAACATACCTGTTAGGTAACTCAACGATAACATTCGCTCCAGATATTTCCCCATGCAGCTATCACAGAATATACGCGAGATCCTATGCCTCTGACGTGCTCGCTGACGATAAGCTGGGCCGGGTAGGTGGCGTATGTTGTGTTAGCCCCTAAACCGACAAGGCGCTTCCTCTCTCGTGGGCTCGACGTCGGATAGAAGTTCCAATAAGGCGCGGGGTTATCGGTATTGAGGGTTCACAATGTTACCTTAAAGTTAAAGCCTGCATGGTTTCATTGTTTCCCCAGCAATGACGTGATTTTAGTCTACAAATCGAGGGGCATGGCGTCGTTATCAAACGTAGGATTGGGGGGGGGGGTATAATCTGCTATTGTCGTGATACAATATTATTATAAGATTCTCCATGCCAGGTGCTACATTCGAAGAATAAACCTTACATCAGTATAAGTGATATTGGATATACTCGTATAAACCCAATTTTATAAAAGATTTACAATCCATCGTCATGGCTACTACACTAGAACAAACGCCAATACGGCCGTTTGAGTCTGAGAAGATAGCTTTCCCCTTGCTGTCCTTCGAGCAGTTTGATCTTCCATCAAGCAATCAACGGATACTCGGACCACCGCACCCGGAGGGCACCGTGACACCACTAGCCCTACGGCCGTCGACTCCTAACGACGCGGCGCTTGACCTCGACACTGTTATTGAAACGGTGAGGTATCTCCAAGCTCAGGGTGATATTTTGACGAAGAAACTGGCAGTTCATGGGACGCTACTTTTCAGGGGTCTGCCAATCTATGATGCCAATGACTTCAGCAGATTTGCCCATGCATTTGGGTATAAGCCACGGTATGTGTGAACGCATTACATAGATCATTGTGCCTCTGCCGTTGAAGTATCTCAATCGAAGCAGCATTATGAAAGCTAACCGCGTTCCAGTATGTCTTACCAACGCTTATTACTAAACATTATAATTCATGATTATCTCCAGTTTTAACCCCTATTCCGGATCCAGGATTCGGCCGTACGGAATACTAACACTGTACAGATGAGATCATCGGAATTGTAGTAGATAGGCCCTTACTTGCACCTAATGTCGCTCCAGCCAACGAGTCGCCCAAGGAAGTCCTCATCTACAACCATAACGAATCTCCCCAAGTCCCTCACGCCCCCGAGTACGTGTTCTTCTACGGCCACAAGGCGCCCGAGAAGGGCGGGGAAACGCCCATATCCTCGTCGCTGGAGCTCTTCCGCCGCGCGCAGCAAGAGGTCCCCGAGTTAGTAGACGAGCTCGCGAAGAAGGGCATCCTTAGCAAGGTCACGTACAAGACCGAGAGGCAGTACGCCGGCGGGTCGACGCTCAGGCAGGCCTTTGGCAAGGCGATCGAGGACGGAGACGACGAGGCTGCCAGGCGCGCCAAGGTCGAGGCGCAGATCGCGCGGTACGCCCGCGGCCCGCACACGACGTGGGAGTGGACGTCCGACGGGATCGTGCTGACGCACCGGCTGCCCGCGGTCCGGACGCAGCCGGGCACGGGGCTGCCGACGCTGTTCACGGGGCTCGCGGCGTACTACAAGAACACGCGGGCGAGCGCCGCGGGGGCAGCGGCTTCGGCTTCGGCTTCCGGGCGGAAGAACGTCACGCAGCAGCTGTACGGGGACGGGACGCCGATCCCGGAGGAGTACCTGGCGGCGCTGGCGAGGATCACGGACGAGATCCGCGTGCTGCACAAGTGGCAGCGGGGCGACGTGCTCGTGTACGACAACATCGTCGCGCAGCACGGGCGGGAGCCCTGGCAGGGCGAGCAGTCGGACCGCGTGGTGATGGCGAGCTTGTTCGACGGCCAGGTTCCTGGGGCGTATAGCTCGGAGGACTGGGCGCAGGTCGTTCAGGCTCTAGATGGGTAGCTAGGTACGTTGCATGGTTTATAGCATTTAATTAATGCTGAGAGTGTGATAGATGTTGTAGTCGTATCTTCACGACATCGTTGAAGTAAGACTGACTTGGCAGAAGTAGGTAAGGGAAAACTGAAATCTATTTGCTGTTATATGAATGAAGAGGACATTATAATGAAATACGAAGTACATCGTTACTCATTATTTCCAAGTCAAAGATAACATAAAAGAGCAACGTCATCTCGCCATAGGAAATTCAAACACAGGCCCAAGATAACAGTACACCAGTGTTAGACGCACGATCACAGCAGTAGATCGTTCTCGACAATCCCTCGCGTGAGGTAGGTTAGTTAGGCAGCAACAGCAAAGTCCCGGCAAGATGTCAGGGGTAGACAGTAGGTACTTGGTTAGGGATATTCAACCTAGGTCAACAAGCTCTACTCGGATCCTTCAAGCGTAAGCATGATCCCATTTGAAACGGCCAGTTCCCGTATCAGGTCAGCGCATGCCCTGTGGCCATTCTCTTTCGCAAGCCCTATCGCCCCGATGCACTGCTCCGATGGAAAACCATTCCCGCAGCTCACATTCCAAAGGAATTGGATCATATCGAGTCGGCCATGCTCAGCTGCCGCTTCGATGGGCCACCGCCCATTAAACGGAGATGGGGGAGCAGACAAGTCTGCGCAGTGATCTAACAGCAGGGCAGCAATGTTGCAATTTCCGCTCATAGCTGCGCACTGTAACGCTGTTCTACCTTCGAAGGTTGCCGGATTGGCGTTGACGTCTGCTCCATTTCGAAAAAGTAATTGCACTATATCAAGATTCCCCTGTTCTGCAGCAGCTTGAAGTGGAGTTCTTCTTATTCCGAGAGTAGCCATTGCATTAACTTGGGCCCCACGATCTATAATGAATTGGACTAGAGATTTATTCCTAGTCTCGATTGCTTTCAAGAGTGGCGTCTTAGGCATGGGTCGGCCCTCCTTTCTACAATGAGTAATCGACGCAATCCCATTGACATCGCATCCTGCATCAAGAAGCCGTCTAGTCAATGGAAAGCTCGACGAATATGTCTCCGCTTCCTTCGCAATGGCTACCCCGAGGGGGGACGCCTTGTCGCCCCAGTACTCCCCAAATTTCGTAGTGGATTTCAAGTCAACAGCCTTGCAGTCAATGAATACATTCAAGATCTCATTGTTATAGATGTTCGTTTCGATAGCATCTATCAGAGCTTGTGTTCCAAACAATGGAATGCAAGTCTCCGTCGATGGAACGTACTGGAGTAAGATTCGTAGCATGCCAATATGTAAGTCTGTAGCGAATAAGCCATCTTTAATATGCATGGTAAGTACGTCTGCTCCCAATTCGAGTAAACGATGAAGCATCGCCTCGTCTCGTCGCTTAACTGCGATTGGCAGACAACTTGTCAGGAACGCTCTGCCAAGCATGCTAGACCGAGCAAAAAAGTCAAGGATATCCATATTCCCGGACCCCAAACCTTCTTTAAGTAAATTGCATTCATCATGGCCGTCAATCTTAAAATCTGGAAAGGCAGAAATCAAGCTAGACAGAAGCAACTTATTGTCATAAGCTCGGACGAAAATATTCGCAATGGATTTATCGCCTTCTTTATGGAAAAACGCAGGGTCAACTCCCGCATCGAGGAGCAAGTGCATAATATCCCATTGCGCATTCCTGCTTGCGGACTCAAATGCCATCACTATGCGCATGGGATGAAAGTTAGGATAGAGGATCAATAGCTTCTTTACGTACTCGATATCTCCTACATTAGCAGCAGCATCGAGTACCCTAGGAAAGGCATTCCAATCATTTTTGTCAAGGTTCTCCAAGGCACCCCTAGCTTCAAGCTCCCTCAATAGAGCATCATTTCCCTCTTTTATTGCTTCGACTAGCGGTATACCATCATGATCCCCGTCATAAATTGGGTACATGCTAGGGTTTTGAGCGAGGACGAATGTAATGAGTTCGTGATTTCCGCTGGAAATCGCCGCAGCGAGGACTGTAGCGGAACATTTTGCGTATTGGAAATATGAACGCACGAGTTGAAGATGGCCTCGTCTAGCACCAGCATAAATTGCCAAACTGATTTCGTCTGCGTGACGACTTAAACACTGGTTACATCTGGCTCGCTTACAATCGTTAAATAGAAGTTTAGTGAATGCCTTTTCAGCTTCTTCGTCTGCAAAGCTTTCTGCGACTAAACGCAGTCCGCGTTCCTCAGATATGAACTCAGAATGTTCTGCTAGCATAAGCTGGGGTAAGAGCTTTTCGGCAAGGTCCGTTCGAACAAAAACATTGAACGCCATTCCAATATGACTTGCTTGTACCCCCACTCCTGCCTGTGTCAAAGCATCCACGGTATCGAGCCAATCCTTGGTGAAAGAGCTGTGACTATGCGGAGGAGACTTTAGCATGAGTCCATATATCAGATGCTCCAGAGCCCCACAAATGTAAATGGGCTTCATCTCGGGGGTTAGCTTTGAATATGTTCGGTTCGTATCAGCGTTGAATCGAAGCAATTCATGGATTGCTTGTAGTTCCTGGAGCTCGGCTAATCTCTCCATGGGCGTATACTTCCGACCTTTAGCAAAGCAGCATATCTTATTCACATCGACTAAGCCAGTTTTGAGGATGAGCCTGATAGCTGTGCGGTTTCCAGATTCTACGCACAAACGAAACAAGTTTTCTGCGAGAGCTTTTGCAGCATGGTTCGGGCTATTTTGACAGAGTTGTGGTAATAATTTGATGATGTTGCAATTTTTGTCCAGGAATCGAAGTATAACTTTCGGCGGCATGTCTTTCGTACCACTGAATCCATTCGCAACGGAGTATAGAAGTATCCGGCACATTTCAATCTTCCCTTGTGAGAGGCTAGTCATATGGCTGTTTCTATAATGCCGCTGGGGGTTCGGAAGAATTGTTTCCAAAATCTGAAAGGAAAGTCTAGCACTGATCAAGTTTTCGTCGGCGGACTTCCCATTGCTATTTGTCATGGCAGTAACGGCATGAAAAAAGAATTTCATAGCCCCGTTCTCAGCTCCGGAAAGTAATCGGCAGTCCCCCATCGGGGACGGAGAGTGCGCAAAATGAAGATGTCTTGACAGTAAGCCACGTTCGAATCGCTCAAAGGGCAAATCCTCCAAGAATAGTGACCAGAGAGAAATTAGGGTCTCGTTATTCATTTGCGGGTCGTAGTTTTCTGAATCCAATGTCGAGGTCGTAACATTTACATTCCATTCAAAATTCAGAAGTGACTGTGTAGCTTGGCTTTCGAAGCCAGCGGTCTGTGGGAGCCTCTGATCTTCTAAACTCGTGGACTGGTCGCGAGAAACGAAAATCATAGCATGAGGCGGCGACGGTTGACGAGGCATATTTGGAAATGATATGGACTCGATGGGGGCAGGATCTGAGACAGCGCGAGCAGAGCTATCCTCAACTTGAACCTCTTGCTCTGTAAGTTCAAGTACTCCATTGACATCTGGAAATAGCACTTGAGAAAAGACGTCCTCGTTAGGTACGTCTACGTATGGGACCCAATTACCGTCGGAATCCCGGACTTCGATAGTAGCGTTTCCGTCGCTACTGTTTATTGCTTGGCTTCGGTCTTCTTCAACTCGGCGTCGCTTCCGAGGGCGCTCCGGATCCCCCTTGAAGTAACGTTTGGCTCGGTCGATTCTCTTCGCTGGGACAGGATGACCCGCAATCACCACCTTCGTCTGAATGCCTCGAGAACATAGTTGGTCAATCTTCGGCAATATAAGTTCCCATTCGCCCTTCTTCAGGTTCTTGCGAGCCTTCCAATCTCGTAACCGGGCTTCATATTGTGATAGACTGCGCAAGTATGGTCAGATAAATTGAAGAGAGATGTGGGCGTGCAATGAACCTACGTAGCAAAGAACTTGTGGTCCTTTTCCATGGCCTGAACTAATTCTTCTATAGAGAGATCAGAAGTAAGGTAGAGGCTTAGAATAGTCTCCTTGTGGAGCTCCCAGCTCTCTTGGGGAACCTTGCGTGCCTTATTGGCCATGTTTGTAGAGGGATGTAGTGAGTTACTTGAGCTCAGACGGGAGATGAGATACGAGGTTTATTCTAATAGTAGTCGAGAAATGGAAAGAAAGGAATAACTTCTTGGGTAGAGCTTTATTTCTATTACTGAAGCAGGCTGCCAAGCATGCCGCCAATCAAGATATACGGTTTTGTCATTCAGCTTTTGTCAGCCAGGTTTTGTCCGATACCAGCAGCAGGCTACGAGTACGCCTGCAAACCCTTTCACCATGGCGCATGGACTTACTTCGATTGGTTCAAGATATAATCGAGGTGTGGTAGGAATAGGCCGCATACCATCTCGCTTCTGAATATGCCTACGAGAAATAATTACCAAATTGGGCGCGGTGCCTTGGGGGAAGTATGTGATATACAAACACATGGCATCACATCCCCTACCTACCGACGAAAAGAAGAAAAATAATGAAAATAAAAGCTAAAGAGACTGTGATGAAAAAAAGACGATGGAGCCAATTATACTACTAGCTTGAATTGTATTCGGAAGGGAGAATGCTCACTGTTATGCGACAAGAATGGGAACGAGGCTGGAGCTTACTGCCATCACTGCCATCATGCAGAGCATATATACTAGGTACCTACATGTAACTTTGAGATAATGTAAATTCCGAGATCGCTGCGAAGGCAGTTTAACCGGTCCTTTCCCCGCGAGCCAACGCTGACCAATGAGCTGCATGTGGCAATCAAGCTATCAAGGCCACATCTAAGACCTGACCTTGGCGCTTCACCCGTGAATCTCAACTGAAAGATATCAACTACCTACCTGGTAGCTTAACCTTTCGCTAGACTTACCTAGATTAGCGACGAGAACGTGGCACGTAAATCATCCTCGACGCTCCCGCGATGTCGTCCTTACACAGATCTATTGGGAGCTTTTGCATTTTTGTCCCTCTTCTCTACACTTATTGGCGGACGTCCCTGGCCGATGGCGGCACGCTGAAGAAGCTTAGCAGTTGGGACGTTACCGGTAAAGAAGATGTGTCCAATGATACGCTTGGTGTAAGATCCCGTTTCTTCTCTGACCTATGTTTCTTTCGCACCTGTCAATCAAATCTAATTGAATCTTAAAAGTTCTCAAAAATCGTCGTCATCAACCTGCCGTCGCGGAAAGACCGCCGAGATGCTATGAGCCTAGCGGGTAGCGTCAGCAACCTGACTTTCACGTGGATCGACGGCGTGGCGGGTGACCAGGTTTCAAACCGCGACGTGCCGCCGATTCGTAGGGGAGAACATGCGGCGTCAGGGGCGAAGGGGTCCTGGAGATCACACATGGATGCTCTTCGATCTGTTACAAGAGAAAATCTACCGAGCGCGCTCATCTTGGAAGATGATATAGACTGGGATATACGCCTCAAGTCCCAACTTCAGACTTTCGCACTGGCTTCAAGGACGTGGCTAAGGGAGTCCAAGTCTGGTAGACACCGAACTGACTTGCCCGACTTTGATCCACCCTCGACGTTGGGGAGCAGAAGCCGTGCAAAGGCAGCTATACACAATCATGAGCAGAACACAATCCAATTAGCCCCAGACGCAGGCTCTGATAGAGAAATCCATAAAACTGCGTACGGGGACGACTGGGATGTTCTGTGGCTGGGCCACTGCGGTGCTGACTTCCCTGATGGCCAATCATCCGTCTCACCCCTAAGAGTCGAGATCTCAGGCGACGAGACGGTCCCGGCTCCAAAACATCTCAAACCCCATCCCTTTTCCCTAAACGACAAGCTCGGCGAACTATATCCGCCGCATACTCGCGTCGTCCACGCGTCCAGCGGGAACGTCTGCACTCTAGCCTACGCCGTCAGCCAGCGAGGAGCCCGGAAGCTTCTGTCGCAATTCGACAACCACTACGATACCCAGTGGGATCTGATGCTTCAGAAGTGGTGCGAAGGGAAGTATGCCGTCGAGGGCAAGTCTCATCAGAATGTACGAGCAAACAGCGATGACGAGACTCCTCCCAAGCGTGCGGAGTCCGTCCCGGTGTGTCTCACTGTGCAGCCTCCCCTATTCAGCCACCATTACGCGGAAAGCGGCACATCCAACATCCAAGGCCAAGGCGGGGGCTACGCGAAGGGGACGGGGACGCCGTATATAAGACTGAGCGTGCAGCAGAACATCGACCGCTTGGTTGCTGGCGCGCAGGAGAGCGAGTTGGTGGACCAACTACCCGACAACGGTGATCCCATATGGGGATAGACAAGAACAACAAAACAGCCAGGGAAGAAAAAGAAATGGGCCCAAAAAGGAAAGAGAAGATTGTAGTATCTCTTGAGATATGCCCACACCTGGAATCGAACCAGGGATCTCCGCATTACTAGTGCGACGCAGTACCATTGTGCCATGCGGGCCGATGAGTTTCAGTCTCGTCAGAACGGGTGTGTTCCGATGAGATGAAAGCGCCCATGGTTAAAAGCGTTAATATTTTTCCTTCTTTCTTTTCTTTTTTCTTTTTTTTTTTTTTTTTTTTTTTGTTCGTGTGGAGTTTTCCTATCCTTTCGACATCGAATACGAGAATAGTACCATAATCCGTACTAGGAGCGGGAAACACCAAGCTTGGCTCGCCTTAGCGCGTGTTAACTGCCACATAGTACTGCTCATTAGCCAATTAGCGAGTTCACTACTTGAGCCTCTCCGCGGGATAGTCGTTGAACGATGCCTATTATATAGAGGTATCTAGGGTATGGCTGTCGTCTCAAGCGAGGCTAGGTGGATAATTATTTCACTCACTTCAATTAGGAGAAATTAGCCTCAAAGTCCGGTCAGATTCTATTTTCTAATGAAATCGAATATCCTAAGCAAGTATCCTGTATAGCAGGTAGATAGGAAATAGGACAAGATATGCGTTCTTCCTGACGCAATACAGAACAAGCCTTCAGCCATTCCGCTCGAAGTAAAAGCCCGTTACAATCACATGAGGTACACCTGTAGAAATGTATGCATGAATCATAGCAAAAACACACCAATAAACATCTCTCATGACTTATGTATACCTTATGTATCGTATCTATTTAGCATCATGCTTCTAACGTCGGACTCTACGAATGCGAGCCCCTCGTTCTATCTATTATGCCATTTCCCCATCCGTCTATATGAAAACGCCTGTGCGAGACACATTGATGCGTCCTCGATCATAATGCCAATTTCCCAAGTATCATCGAAATCTATCAAACGACCTCGTCTGTGAGAGACCAAGTCCGTGAATGTTAAAGAAAGCCACCGGCCTCTTGGACCAATGTACGTAAAAAGTTCATCAAAAATACTATCTTAAGGTTCATGGTTGTCCCTTATTCCTCGTCATCCGTGTCAGGTGGGTGGGGTGTGCCCTTGGGACTGTTGAGCCACTCGATATGGCGTAGTCTCCTTCGCACCTCCTGCTCCTTGAGCTCCTTCTTGGTCTTCTTCCTCTTCTTCTTAGACTTGAATTTCAATGGGCTATTATCTTCAGTGCCACTGTTGACGGCGCTGCTAACTGCACTGCTAGCTGCTGTGCTGTTAACCCCGCTGGTGATACCGCTTGTGAGACCGCTGCTTGGTTTGCTGTCTTCAAAGCGATCCAAAGCAATCGTATTATTGCCCTTCATAACCATCCGTCCGTCGTTTATGTGCCACTGTTCGCTAGCCAGAGCCCCGACGAACTCTTCATTATGGGAGATCATGACTACACCACCCTTGAAGTCTCGAATGGCAACCGCAAGACCACCGAGAGAATCGCGATCCAAGAAGTTAGTAGGTTCGTCGAGAACGAGTAAATGAGGGTTGTTCCACATGGCACCGGCAATGACGACCTTGACTTTTTGACCTCCAGATAAACTGCCGATTTCATTATGGTTGGCAATCTCGGGGTCAAGACCGAGGTCCTCAAAATGTTTAGAGATGACCGTAGGTTGAAGCTCTCGGTAACCTAGACCCTCACGAGACGCCTCGTGATCATCGAACTCTTGGACAAGTTTATCAAATCCCCATTCTAAGAGCGTTTCCCGAGAGACATGCGAGTTGTATTTTGGTAGCCATGCTTTCCATTTACTACAGATTGTTAGCAGCTATACCCCAAGGGTAAGATGATAGCATTAAACTTACACTTCGTATTGGAAGGTCTTCTTGTACTTTTGGCGACCGACAAGAGCTTCAATCTGTCGTTCGCCCTTTCCATCGCCAAGGTCAATTTTCTTCTCCATTTGCTCACGGTCCTTATCTGAGAGGATACGGGTCTGCTTCAGGAACACCTCTCGGTCGTCTCCGTTTGCATATCGCCACTGCAAGTACTGGTTTGGGGTCTTCTCGAGATGCATCTCAACGTGTTCAAGAGCATGCTGCTTGATGTAACCAATTCGCAAGTTGGGGTGCTTCTCGACTTTTCCGCTGGTCGGAATTACTTCACCTGTCAACAGTTTAATCAAGGTTGACTTTCCGGCACCATTCGGTCCAATGACAGCAACGCGAGAAGAAAGAGTCAATTGGCAAGAGACATCTGTGAGCGATGGTTTCGGAGCCTTGGGATACTGGAAAGAGACTCCAGTCATTCGAATAATCGCTCGGGTCTGGGACTTGACGCCCGTCAAGATACCGGGGGGAGGGAACTTGAACTGGACATTGGAGGCAGAAAGGGTGTAATAAGCCTTAGCCTCTGGGCGAACCTTAACGAAGTCGGATAAATTTCCTTTGAAATGGCCGAGCTTCTTTCCGGGTTCGTAGTGGTATATATCGGTTGTTACATTGTCCAAAAAGCCCGAGTCGTGAGAAACGATCAAACTGGTAATGTCTGTATGAGTCTTCAGGTAGTTTTCCAGCCAAGCAATATTGGCAACGTCGAGATGATTGGTAGGTTCGTCAAGTAATAGAACATCGGCCTTCTGTAACATTGCTCGAGCAAGAGCCAGCTTCATCTTCCATCCACCCGACAAAGAGCCAACCTTTTGTGATTGTCTACCCTCAGGACCCGCCGTGAAACCGAATTCAGCTAAGACTTCGGAGATGCGCTCTCTGCCTTCGGACGCAATTGTTGGATCCTTAACCATGAATTCTAGGATACTGATATCAGCATCCTCACCTTGATTGTGCTCAACGTAACAAGTGCGAAGAACATCCTGAGGTGGGAATCCCTCCAGTTTACCGCCAGCAATACTCTTCATCAGTGTAGATTTTCCGGCACCATTGCGGCCGCAAAGGCCATATCGGTGTCCCTTCAGCAATCGGAGATTAGTGTGAGAAAGAAGAAGCATGCCGCCATAGGCTAGGGAAAAGTCTGCATTGACAATTTCAGTCTCGCCATCGTCCTCCTTCTCCGGCACGCCGTACTTGCGGTGGTCCTCGGCAACGTAAAATTCATGGACACCAGAAGCGACAGCATCGTTGGCGCCTTGTTTGTGCATTAGATCTTTAAGGTAAGGAGCGATTCTAGCCGGAATTCGATCCACTTGACGATGGTTGGAGTCTTCGGCCACCATCTCGCAGATATAAGGGCGAGCGATTTTGTAGAAATCAAGGTCTCCTGAAAGTCCTCCATTTTTCTTTATCTCGGAGTCCAGAACCTTCGCGACATCATCCACAGAAGTTCTTTCCACCACGGCTTCATCGTTGCCCATAGCCTTGTCCATGACGTTTAAAGCTCTAAAAGCCAGCTCGCGTACTTCTGGTAGCGGCGCACGCTCAACAACATTCTTGATACCCGGCTGAAGCTTCGGTAAGAAGGTACGCGCCTCAATAGGATCGTGGACTAGCTTGGTCAAATTTTCGGTGATTACGACCGTTTGTCGTAGGACCTCTTGAGCAGTGGAGGGGTTGTTGAGTGTTCTCTCAAGGAAGGGGGTGAGAAGAGCGAGGACAGGAGACGTCACTACAGCGACGAAGGTCGTCTGAGAAAGAGCGTGGATGGCTTTTTGAAGAGTTTGGGTCGAAGGGTGGTGCATAGTGTCGACAAGAAGAGGTATCCTAGGCGCGACATCGTCGTTGGATAGTAGGGTGGTGAGAGACTGCATTGTGACAAGAGCTTGCTTCTCGACCTCGGACTTGAGATCGTGCATGTTACCCTCGACTATAGGAATCAAGCTAGCCAGCTTGGCACCCATAGCCTCTCTGAGGATATCCTTCTCTTGAGCTTGCTCCTTCGTGCAACCGATTTCCATCTTTGCTTTGTCGGCCATCCTCTGCATCAGCTTCAAGGCGCCAATTGTACCTTGCCACTTTCCAGTCTTCTTTGACAGGTAAGTTACAAGGGCGGGTAGCAAGCCAACGACCATAGCCTCAGCGCTCAAGTAGCCAAAAAGCGCATCAAGTCCATATTGCGCAGCATCACGAACCACTGTGCCCTTATCGGCTAAAGCGTCTAGGGCAACTGAGACGAGACCGCCATCCTGAACCAAGAAAACGACTTCGCTCAGCGGCTGACGAGGCGAGAACTTCTCAAAAATGGCACCGAGAAGGTTCTGGGCGCTCTCTCGTCGTAGTCCACTCTTCTTGTCAGATGCAGCCTTCTTGATCTCGGCTATTACACCGTAATCATGCAGACCTCGAAAGCCTACAGTATTTAATAGAAGTTCGCAGAGTGCATAAGACGCATCGACCGAAGCGGCAGAAGTTTTGGCGGTAAATATAGTGTCGAGAATTGATGAGACATCTTGTTGCGACGGGGGAGGAGGAGCGTCGGCTTTGGAGATCATTATCGGCGGTAACACTTGGTGAGGCATCGTGAGCGCTCGTCTTTAACGAATTGGGCAGCAAGAGAGGAAAAAAAAAAAGGAAAACACCCAACTTGTTGTAATAAAACGATTAAACGAGCGGCGCCGTAAATGTAATGAGGGTCAGCTAAACTGCCCGAAATGCCCTCGATCGTGGGCGCTGAAAAGTTTGACGGTGAACCCAGCGTCTTGTTATTGATTGTGTGGACTTGAAAGAAGGATAGTAAGAGGAGGAATGGGATTTGGGAAAAAAAAAAAAAAGTTGGCCTTATCAAACTTGTTACTACGGATTACCCCTCGAAAACTTTTTTTCCCTCCCTTTATCTACAGGGCTACAGGGGTATGAAGGGTCCATTCACCGAAAATAAAACTAGTCCTCCGCAAAATTAGGTACCTACGTACCTACCTAACCTAACCTTCGTCTTTTTAGCGCACGTTTTGCTGCTGCCATCTCTTAGTGGAGCTTATCTAGACCGATAAAAAGGAGTCTAGCAAAATTTTGAAGCTTTAAACTTTATCTAGGGTACCTTATACTTATGAGACATGAGAATTGAGTTTACTTAAAGTGTAAGTACCTAGTATCACGGAGATGAAATAAAACATAAGTAGTACCTATCCATTGGAACTCGTTTCACCAGGTCTTAGTTGACTAACAGAGGTAGGTATGTATTTGTGAGATATAGCCGCTCAGCCAAAAGTGTATTTCTTATCAGCACAATTGCTATTACAGTCTATTTAACAGTATTTTAATCTATTCGCACACTGATAAAGGCTAAATGTACACCAACCACTCTTCATTACTGTAGACTTAGAGTTAAATCACTCAGGCATCTACTTAAGGTAAGTAATCGAGGGCATCTGAGGCTACTAGGCAGATGAATTTGTATATTTGTTGGCATTATTTTATAAAAATATTCTAAGATCTCGCTACTCATAAATACCTAGGTACCTAGGTACCTCTTATGGAACATTATACTTACGGAATTCAAGACAGCAATACCTGATTGTTTTCATGCTATAACGATGTAGTTGTCATCTATAGTAAGAGGAATAATGAGCCACTCCATAAAGTCACTATAGGTCTTATCCAAAATTGGGTATTATCAAGTCTCTAGTGGTCATACCTAGAAGCCCGTGATTCATTGGTAAGATGTTTGAGGGACAAAAGCTTAAGCGAGATACCTTATTCATAACGGTACTCTGAACTACGTTTCAGTCCGAGTTCATCTTTATTCAAGTGAAACAAAACGTGAGCAAATCCTGATAATATACACGTAAAGAAGAAACTAAAGCTAGATCAAGGTACAATTTTCTTTTCCGAATTTTGTGCAATATCTGAGAGTTAAGAAGAGCTATTTGAATAGGTCCCTTAGGTAGGTAGATACCTACATCTTACTTTAGAGGTAGCCCTTGGTATGCAGTACCACATACGGAGAGATCTATGACCACCTAAGGTGGTATATAGCCTAATTATGTGATATGTATTGAAGATGTCTCAATGTCAGGTACCTACTGACCCAAGTGCTTAAAGCTTTTAATGATGTTCTATGCCTGACATGTACAGGTAGTAAATAACTAGGCTGTAGTGAGTTTTAGACAAAACAAGTAGGTGACCTTAGAAGCCTTTCTCTATATGCGTCTATCGCAAGCTTGATCTTCTCAACTTAGGTAAGGTATAGGTATAATCTCGCTATTGCTTTCTCAGACGGACACGGACATAAAGGTAACTTCCCATTCTGATATGTGGCAAGCTATTAGGCATAGGGGTAAGCCTCATAGCGAGAAAAAAAGAAAAAGGTTGGACGAATTCGAGTAAAGCGTAAATTAATGAGTTAACAAAACCTGAGACCAAAGAGGGAAACTTGGGGGGTTCCACTGGGACGCCCTCAAGGCTCAGTATTGAACCTACTGAGAAAAGCTCCTTCATAGAGGAAACACTTCAATTTTCGATGCCTTCAGGCCTTGAATTTAGTCTATAGAAGATAGAAAAGACAACCTATAGGATATAAATGTGTTAGTCTTGGGGTTGAGGGTCTCATGATTGAAGGACATTGATTTTCAAAAGGGGCAAGACAACTTGCACTAAGCACGGATATCACGCACAGCGGCATGATGCGTTAGTCACGATCTGACGTCCAGCATTGATAGAACATTGGTTCTCTTATGTATGTAGCGCACAGACGATATTGAGCACATGGCCTGCAAGAGTCGACGAAAGAAGATACGTCACCCGGACGAATGTGACAATTTCGGAGAAAGGACCCAATAACTCTATTCCGTCGACGTAGTGAGCTTCTAGACTAGCTATCCAAGCCAATATTTCGTTTGTAGCGATGTAGCGGGATACCTAATGAGACGATAGGGTGGTGAATAAACTGGCTCACGTGGGATGGCTCCCTGGGAGCGTAATATCGAAAAATGCTCGAGGCGCGGGCCGGAATGCGACATTGACGCCAATATCCGTAGTCGTAACTAGAAGAGCCGGGTAGCATCGAAACACTTGTTAGGAGCAGGGAAGGAAATTTCCAAGTGTTTTTGCGCTGTACATCGGTTGCCTAGGTACCTAGGTAGGTATATTAGATTAATTACTTAGGTTTACCGTAAACCTTACCAAAGAGGCGCGGATGGTTTGTCGTGGGTTTGTCACTTAATACACTTCAGTCAGGCTATGTAGATGGGATGTTACAAGTAAAAGTTAAGGTAGCTGACCAACATCGTTCGTGAGATAAACTGGGAAAAGGCGAGGGCGTAATAGAAGGCGATTCCTCTATAAGGAAATCTAGGTTGCAGTAAAGGGAAATATCACGGGAGTTGCAGATCCACACCAGGGCCGCCAAGACGTTCACAATTTCCCAATTAGGACAATGAGACAACTCTGAGAGCTAGGGCCGGGAATGATGCACATTTCGGCCGGGAACTAGGTCGTTGACGTTGGACCCCTGAGATGCCAATATCTAGGTTGGATACATGGATTAGGTACGTATGGCTCAAGCTGGTCAAGGTACCTAAGCGAGGGAAGATCATGCTGTTACCTGGGATTCGGAATTTATCATTAGACGAACTTGCATATGAAAGTTTGACCACAGTGAGCTACATACCTCCTATAGGTACCTAGCTTACAGACGATCATTAACGACGTAGCTCCCATCCAATACGTCTTAAGGTACGGGTACTACTTAGCATTGTTCTTTATTATTTACCTTATGCACTATACACTAAACCATCGACCTATCTGGGTCCTACATGAGCATACATGTCTATATCATACCTTACTTCTATATAGGTAGTCAATCACTTTTTCTTTTTGAAGCCATCGCCATCATGGTTTGAAACGCGTTCTACGCTAGGAGCTTTTATGACCCTATCCGCCTCCCTAAGCTTGATAACCGGGTCGATTCAAGCACTTCGCCTAGCCTTCACCCCGGGCGTGATACAGGGATGTCAGCGCGGGATTTGCCGGGGCTTTTAACTTAGATGGGCTAAACTGGGGTAACGGAAAATTAATCTAGCTTCAGGGGTTCGCGGTCCATCAACCCATCCCGGCGCTTGATGTTCAATGGAGCTTGCCGTTTGTAGCCCCGGTTGCGACTCGCTGATAGTTATTGACAAAAGTGACAGGGTACCTTAAGTAAGTAGCTACGTAGAACCGATGCGCTCTCATATATCTATATATCTGCTAGAAGCTGACGATAATGGTGTTTAAAATGCCCCCAAACCCTCCAAGGCTCGCACAAAAAAGTGCTTCGGCTAAAATCACCCCTTTCGCTGTACTTCTTCTTCACAGGTCCTAGTAAATCTGGCAGTGTGTGATGGAAGCATGTCATCCCCTGTATAAGGTAACCCAGCAGGTATATAAGATATACCAAGTATTTTTAAGACAAGAACAACGCTTATGAATCTAAAAAAAAAAATATCGACATTATCCAGCTTGAACAGTATAAACCAAGAACTTTACTCCATATTTATCTCGTCGGGTCCAGGGACACGTTATTTCACGCGCAATGGCACCAGCCTCTACTGGGAATACAGGGTTCCAGTTCATCACCTCCATCAACACAGTAGAGCGGGACGAAGAGACCCGTCGAAAAGTGCGCTCGCACGCGAGGCGGCAGAGGCTCCCACACGGATCCAGCCAGACGTCTCAGCAGAAGAGAACAGGGTCTGCGAAAGACCACACTTCCAAGTTCAGACTGAAACCAAAAGGATCGTCCAACAAACAGGATGACGTCCCGAGGCACGAGAGGAAGCTCAAGAAGACCAACTGGCTGGCCGTTAGCGTCGCAAGGGAGCTCCCGAACTTCACGCTGCTACATATAGAGAAGACGCCTTTGACGGAAAGCTTGATGAAGTATTGCATGGCTGTGTGCTTGTCGCCGCAGGAGACAGCCGTAGAGAAATGGTTCGATCGTGCTGGAGTACCGACATACTTGAACACATGTAAGTTGGACCTATCCCACTTCATCCAAAGCAAATGAGATTATTAACCAACTTCAGACTATTCCGGATTCCTCGCAAATGCTTTCGCAATGAACCCTGAAGGGACATGGGTGCAGGCGGTTTGTCAACTCCTTTTTTTTTCGCTCCTTCTATACTCGTCAAGATGGGGCATAGTGTGACTAGGGACTAACATATAACAGCTTCAACTCGACAAAGCCGCTACGCATGCGTTCATTGCCATGATCGCAGCTATGCACAACTCACTCGCAAGATGGGCCGACACGAGTACGATCGACTTTCATCGGTTCCAAGCAGTCAAGTCTATTAACGAAAGGCTGAACCTGGAGGGCAAGGACGATAGCAAGCCTATATCGGATGGCCTTGTCGTTGCTGTTGCCCTTCTAGTAAACATTGAAGTGAGTTGACGATAGAAGGTGACTGGTGGAGGCCAATTGTTCACGTAACTGACCCTAAGTAGACTTTCATTGGCTCACTTAGTGCAGCAGAAGCCCATATGAGCGGATTGAAGAGAATGGTCGATCTTAGGGGTGGTATTGTCGATGGGTTCAAGCACAGCAGTATACTTCAACGATCTATATCTTGGTAAGCAGTGTTCATCACTACCAATGCTTACCTGAGAGTACTTACTAACTAGGTGCTCTAGGGCTGATTACTCCTATGCCACTGCTGCGCACAAGCCAGTTGCCTTCCCCTTTATTCCACAACTTGCATCCTCGCTAGCTCTCCATGACCGGTTCACGAGTCGCTCTATGTTAGCGAACATGGAACCGCTTGGGTTTAAGGATCTCACTATTCAGAATCGAGAAGCAGTCGAGCTCTTCGAGTTATTATACTCCATTACAGAATGTATCAATAACTTCGACTATACAAGTCTTGAGGACACATTCGGGCAGAGGATACAGGTCAGCGACTCCATCTACATGATCGAATGGCAGCTCTGCAAGTTGGAACATGTTTCTCGGACTCGTCAGTCTTGGAGGAGGGCCGGCTCCGTCCCATTGCTGCCGTCGATCGAGACCGATAATACACAACCGCGCTTCCCCTCGCCGACGGATCTGTCTGACGTTCTGGTTTACGCTGCACATCTCTTCCTGCACCTCGCCATCCGCGGCCAACCCCCTTCCGCCCAGAGACACCGCGCTCTTGCGGAGGCGCTCATGTCGTCGCTCTACGACCCTATCCTGGCCCTAGACCTTCTATCCGAGCCGAAGCCGTGCGAAAGCAGCGGGTCACAGCTGGCCAGCAGCAGCCCGGAGCAAAGCCCTACGACAGCTGTACCCGGGTACATCCCGACGTCGGAAATTTCACACCCCGGGATGGCGAGACTTTTCAGAGACGAGCTCCACGCCAACATCCTCCTCTGGGCCCTATTCATAGGTTCGTGCGTTCGCATTCCGGTCGTGATAAACGAGTACTCGGCCCTAGGGGGCGACCAGCACAACTTTTTCATTACCGCGCTGAAGAACTACTGCCGGATGAGAAACATCCTGGAGAGAGAAGTGCTCCTGACGAAGCTGAAAGACGTCATGTGGCTGTACAGCTGGTGCGAGCACCAACTGGGACTCGTCTGGGAAGAGATCGCCGACAGCCTCAGACCGTACGTGACGGCGGGAGGCCAAGTGAATGTGTCTATGGGGTCATGATCAAGAGGAGAATGGCAGTGAGCTATCTCCTCATTACCGGGAATCGTACCGAAGTAATATATAATATATAATCATAATTATCTAACAAGATGCCGACGCTGGCAGTATGATTTTTAGTCACATACTACCGTATATCGAATAAACCCAACTTAATCGAACCTATTCCACAGCCCATACATAGCCTTTATCTTTCCTATCCTTAAGCTAGAATTGCAAATATAGACCTTAGACTCTCTAACACTCATCTTCCTTGCACGCTACCATCCACAAATCAAAGCTTAGGTACTCGCCAACGCCATTAAGACTTTGTACTATAGTCCCACGATTTCGTCGTTGGGTTAGTTTAAGACGCAAAAAGAAACCGGCTCAGCCACCCCGCTCCGAGCCGGTACAGACGATCGGCGGCCCCATCCCCGGAGCCACGCCCATGCGTATCGGATCGTCTTGGCGACCAGATGCGGAAATTGAACCTCCAGAAGGACCGCAACACCGATACCAAGAAGACGGAATGGAATAGAAACGGTGAAGAATTATCCACAGATAGTATATCATTATCAGTACATAGCCGAGTGGCCGTGCTGTAGCGCTTCGTGCCTAAGACTTTGTGGGTAGGGTATAAATAATAGGAAAATACCCTTACCCTAAGTAAATTCCAGGCACCATAGCATATCCCCTTTGGATAATGCCGTGAAACTTATTGCATTGAGAGCCCAGGGATATCTTGAGTACCTAACCTAAGGTTGCCAATGGGAGGGGTGGCTTAAAGTCAGTATTCTAGAGATAGGCAAACACGTAACAACTACCCTAACCCATCCACGCCATTGCCAAGAAACGCTTGTTTGGAATAAAAGCGGCACGATACTGTTGGGGATGTCTCCGGATAATACCCATACACACTTCGTCGGGGAACAATAACACCGCTTGAATGTAATAAGAATATAATAAGCTAATTCAGGTATTATAATTCATAATTGATGCCGTGTTCGTTGGTTTTTTTTTTTTTTTTTTTTCTTTTTTTTAATTCCTCTAGTAAAGTCTCTTGCAACTCTTCCGCTAAGGATACCTCTTAAGACCGGCTATGAATTCCGCCGCCTAAGGCCGAATCCGCGGAAAAAGGAAAATAGTTAGTCGACCAAAGACCTTCGGGGCGAGCCTTGAATTGTTATAATGTTTGTTGGTACCACCAAAGGCGTCCCTCTATGCCTACCTAGGTAATCTCGATCTTAGAGGTTGGCGCTCGGAGTAATAGTTAGCCTTCCTACGGCCTGACTTTCATCCGGCGCGTAACGATCTCGCGCCCTTTTTTGGCTGCGTATATGCCGGGATATGGTAATACTCCGAAGCTCGAGAAATCGGCGTAGCAAGCAGGTCACTGCAGTTTGCAAAAATGATTTTTTTTCTTTTGGATTGTTCTTTACACGACTGAATTCAATGAATTCCAGATTTCTCAATGAAGTTCTTCATTGGAAAAATCCGCTGACGGGTAACACCAATATAATAATATGGCGAACCCAGGTCAATCGTCGCTGATGACGTCGGATCTGATCGAAACTTCGGATTGGGATACTGCACTAGTCATAACCGATGACTGGATCAAGAAGATCGTCCCTGAGAGGCGGCATAGCGGTTGGGAGGCGGTAGAACGACAATGGGTTGGGAATAAGCAGTCGTTGCAACCAACAGATCCAAGGGTCTCAAGACCATCTAGGTACTTCCGTCTAAGTAGACGTTCTTTGCCATATTACTACCTAAGGTACCTATCTAACAACTTCACATAAGGGAACTTACAAAGGAAGATCTCGAAGCCGTAGAACGGTTTCCATACCCTCAGACAGCACTTCCAGCTCCACAACTGGAATTCGATTTCCGGATGAAAGTTATCCTGGGCTCTCAATCCGCTTTAGTTGCTATAAATGACGGCTTTAAGAAGTTGTCCACATTCTCCGACGGCACTTGGTCGGGTCGTTTTGGATACGGTCTTGTCGTTGTAAGCCGACTTAGTGGTTCGCGATGTGCGCGATAGGAAATGCTAACTTGATATAGAATGGAGGGCAAGAGAGCCAAGATACGGTGCAGGGAAAGACAGCGACCACTTGGGTAGAAGGTACACATCGGCTACAGACCGGTGATGAAGTTCCAGCATTGTGAGTATTTTTACATCAGCGGAAACATACCTACATTAGGTACACTTAGGAGGTGCCTAGAGATTAATCGATGTAACAGCATCGAATGTAAAACACGAGGAAATATGACTGGCCCACCAGAACTGGTAAAGGCGCTTCAAGACCCGGAAGCATCAGCATCAGTAAACCCGAGATCGTGTCTATTTAGGGTATGGGTCACGATGAAAACCACGGATGAACGATATGCAGCGAAGATAAATGCGGGCATGTGGGTTGGAAGTTGCCTTTGGAAAGGGTTAGAAGTCATATATGAGTACGTCTGTCGCCTTCGCTGTCGCTCAAGTTCCAAGCTAATCATGGCCAATTCATAGCGCATATCGAGTGAGTTAGCGAATATCCATCAAAGGTACGTTGCCGCCAAATCATCAACCAATATTACCAAGATGATGTATTTTTGGTGGCGGAAAGGAAATTTCCAAGTTTGACGGTGTTAGCTTCAAGTATTATACAAGTGGCTTTAGGTAGTTTCGCTGAAGTCTTAATTTGGCTCGAGCTTAAGATCCGTATGCCACCTGAAAATTGCATTGAAACTCGTCCAAGTCTATTTTTGGCGTTCGCTAAACACCAAGATTCTCTCCATGCCATGCGATCGAGATTCGCGTTTCTTATGCAAGATGAGATAAATGCTTGGTCTTGCCAAGGCTCTGTCGGGGTACCTATTTCGATTCCATCAGGTCGAGACCAATTGTGGGTTGTAGCCTAGAACCTTGGTAAGGCGTCTATCGATATTGGGATTGGGGGGACTTCGCAGCATGGCCGGCATGGTGGGACATGATGATAGCATATTCATATTAAGCGATAGGTGACAAACGATACATACTCTGACGTACTACTATTTACCTATGTGGTAGCAAACATTTATTACCCCGGATGGTCCCTCTAAGTCCCTGCATTTCTTAGAATTTCAGGGTCTTGTAACCCACTTTCGTCATAGCTTGAACGTGATTGGTTAAATCTTTCAATATATATTGCTTACCATCTTGGAGAAACAGGTTTTTGCGTCACACTCATCGAGATGCGACATACATAATACGTGTTGACGAAGTTGTTCAAATAGAGTCGGATTCCGCCCGGGAGTTTCTACAAGATCTTGCAATGATTGTAAGACTTGATTTATTCGAGGCGTATTATATACCGTGTAACAAGCGATTTTCTACTAGTTATAACCAAATATTCTTAACTAACTTATAAACTTATACTTCTATAACTCAATAACTCAATTAAATAATATTACGATGCCTCTCTTTTCTAGCCGTAGGCACGAAGAAGACGTGGTCGAGGAACCTGTCAATGAGAACGAGTCGAAGAGACACGGTCTTTTCGGCTCCCGTCACCGGTCACCTTCTCCAGCCAATACTCGCAGCAGCACGACTAATAGCACGACTAATAGCTCCAGACACTCGGGTATGTTTCATAAGTATACTCATCACTTCCCAAAGCGGTAGATTGTATTCAACAATCTGTTTAGATGCTTCTTCACCTTCACGCCACCGAAGTGTGCTACAGCGCACCTTCGGACACGGCAACACCACCAATCCTGACATCGACCCGTCAATCGTTCAGGCACGCGAGCGCGTCATGCAGGCCGAGATAGCCGAGCGGGATGCCGACAGAGCTCTTGAATCGGCTCGGGTGCGCGTCCGCGAGGCCAGGGCCGAGGTCAAGAGAATAGAGCTGGAGGCTGCCGAGGAAGCCCGACGCGCGAAGATTAAGCAATACCACGCCCGTGAGGTCTCGAAGCGGGGCAAGCAGCTTGGCCGTACGTTTCCTCATTTAGTGGTTTTATCTCACAGGAGAATGTTATTAGGTTAGGTACCTGTTACTAACATCAAATAGGTCACGATGTTTAAGCCATAAACCTACGGTGCAGCAAGGTCCACCTGCACTAATCCGTCTGTGGATTTCCTGGGCCGCCCAAGCGAAGAAAGCGATGAATTTTATGTTGAGACTGGAGAGCTTGATTCAAGACGATACCTATTTCTTACTTGTACTATCATATTGTATGCATCCCCATGGCGATAAATGTTTGACGAGTGTACGATAATATTATGAACACAAGATGATAAATATAGTCTACTGTTTTAAATATTAATACGGAATCAATTATTCAATTAGCTTCATGATATTGTTGACGCGTACCAGTAAATATAAATGAGCATCTCAAAGTACTAAAATACCTAATCTATCTCTTACGGGAATTCTCATATATTACCCTCACACTTAAGATTAGCACAATTTGAAATAATAGGTAGATACCTCTTATCATTGTATTCTCAATAGCTAATCTACCTCTGAAAATCCCTTACATCTTTTCATCTTGTCTACTATGTAGTAGGTAAGTATTGTCATAAGCCTTCCAATGTCTTAGACTCTACTTTCTTCTAAAACAGTTGATGCCCTAATGACGTCAATTTTCATTACGTGATAAGACAGGCTATGCATCCAGGCATCTTACATTAATGATATAAGCGTCCAGCCCCCAGAAACGTGCATGGCGCTTTCATCTATTCTTGTGTTAGTTAGGACTTACATGTAAAGTTACCTAGATAGCTAAATGCATATTTGGACAAGACTCGTAGTACTTCTATATGAAACAATGAAAACCTCAGACAGCCGAAAATCCCTACCACTTGAGCCCACAAACTACGTGATGGTCAAATAAGTAAGAACAAGCGAGTAGAATGTGCTGGAATGTGTCACAGAAATCACATTGAATTGAATTCGACTGACAGATGTTTGGTAATGTGAAACGTAAGACCAATGCTGCCCGTTGCTAAGCCACATCCAGTCGTAACAGGCCACGACGCTACATGGTAATGGTGAAATATGAGATGTAGATATGCACTTACAAGGATATCTTATATCTTATCGGGTATCTATATCGAATCCGCAGAGTCGGAGCTAACGTCAAGTACCCTTTAAATCGAAAAAAAGGGGGGTGGGGGTTTAGATACCTAGGTACGTATTAATTATGGAGAAAAGCCAAGACATTTATCACAAGCGGCCAAGAACCGTTGTTTTCCATCTTTTTTTTTCTCATAAACTTTCGAAGCTATTGAATGTGGCCCTCGAGCCGCAATTCATCCAATCTACCTAAACCTATTTTTACAACCTACGATTAAACTAAAAACTCAATGGGACGATTAGACTGATTACATATGTTATTTTCCCTTTGAGGGCTTCTCATAGTCCTTCCAGCTCTGGTCAATTGCCCTTCTGAAATTTGCCGCATGCCTCTCCAAACCGTGTCATTCTCCAGCTGGCTCCTGTAGTTTACATACAACTCCCAACGCGATCTTTCAACGAAACCGAGCTTCTAACGAGCCAAGATGGCAAATCGCAAGATGCTCTCCTTTAAGAGAGCTATCATCTTCGCAGCATTCTTCTTAATAGCATTCATACTGTTACGAAGATCGCACGCCTCTGCTGATGAGCCCGAACCCTTCCGGAAACCTCCACCAAAGCCTGCAGACTCAAGCAGCGAACATGCCGGAGTGTCGCATAACCCGTCTACTCCCTCTTATACCCCAGATGAGAACTCTGCTACGAAAGACAACACAGCCACTGCGCAAAAGGTTCTCCAAGACATGTCTAAGATGTCCTTATATGAAAAGTTAGCATACCAATACCCATACGATGTCGAGACCAAGTTTCCAGCCTATATCTGGCAAACGTGGAAGTGGACGCCTGCTAGCGGAGAATTCAACTTCAGGGATCAGGAAGCCTCGTGGTCGATGCAGCACCCAGGCTTTGTTCACGAAGTTATTACCGATCAAGTCGCCGTACATTTATTAAAGTTGCTCTATGCACCTATTCCCGAAATCCTCGAAGCATACAATGCGCTACCCCAACCAGTCCTCAAAGCCGACTTCTTCCGTTACCTTATTCTTCTCGCTCGTGGTGGAATTTACTCAGACATCGACACGTACGCTATTAAAAGCGCTTTGGAATGGATTCCAGAGTCCGTGCCAAAGGAAAGCATAGGGCTGGTTATCGGTATCGAGGCAGACCCCGACAGGCCTGACTGGAAAGATTGGTATAGCCGGCGCATTCAATTCTGCCAATGGACGATCCAGGCAAAGCCGGGTCATCCGGTTCTAAGGGATATTGTATCGCGTATCACCCAAGAAACCTTGAAGCGCAAACGTGAGGGGACGTTCGTGTCAAAGGAAAAGAGTGTGGTAGAGTTTACTGGTCCTGCTGTCTGGACGGATGTAATTTTCGACTACTTCAACGATCCGCGTTACTTCGACAAAAGCAACAGCCTGGGCAATGTTTCATACGCAAACTTCACAGGAATTGAAAAGCCGAAGAAGGTGGGTGATGTCATTGTGCTTCCCATTACAAGTTTCTCGCCCGGTGTCCAACAAATGGGAGCAAAGGACTATGACGACCCAATGGCATTTGTCAAACATGACTTTGAAGGTAAAGGCTTCTTCCTAATGTAAGAATGAATTTCTTTTGTTAACAGTATTAGGCACCTGGAAGCCTGAAAGCGAACGGCATATTGGCGAGACTAACTAGGGGCTATTAATTGCGCCCTCTATACCCTAAACTAAATTGCCTCCAGGCTATCGTCTCTTCCGCCCCTTGGGAAATTCGACCTTCTAAATAGGCACCTTCCACCAAGCATACGGAATCATCTTCCTCCCTGGTCTGGCATCACGAAATCGGCAATCGTATAAAGGGTTTGTAACGTTATTATGCCACTTACGAAGTTCACGACCCGTCTCATGTGATAGTGTATACCTGTTTTCTTCCTCATGGGAATGTTAAAGTAGGTAGTCACCAACTTACTCATTACTAAGGTGACATAAGGGGAGAGTTGTTGCATCAACTCGGATGGAAACCTCGTAGGGTTTCTACCTCCCCCACTATTTTTGTACCATTAGTTTTATTTGTTTTTTATTTCCGAAAAGATGGTGTGGCTGGCGCTCAGGTGCGGACATTTTTTCCGACGGAAACACGTGAGACAACTAGAATACATCAGGTACGGTTGCTCTTTGGCGCAACATAAGAAGGAAAAAGAAGAAGGAAAAGAGGAAGTAGAGGAAGCAAAAAGCAATGGACATTCCGGGGGTGATGCCCACTGACCGAATAGAGAACCAATTGTATATACCCGTTACCTAAGGTATCTTATGCATGGATTTGGGCGTTTGGGCGGATACTTTTTACTTTAGGTACCTGTTCTTGCTTTTTGAAGGAGCAGGAGCAGGAGCAGCAGCAGCAACTATAACAACATCAACAATTGGCCCCACGGACAACTATTGAATGATGTTCTGATGGAGACTTTGTTTTACAAAGCTGCTAAACCTAGCTGGTCTTCTGCATATTTCGTCTTGGCAGTGATAATGCATAATACGTACATAGGAAGTAAGTATAACGGGTAGTTATACATAATTTGCAAGGCGGAATTGTATAATTCTTAATACTTAACACCCCTCCCCTCCGGTCAACCTTGTCTTCCCCCGCTTCTCCTCATCGCCAGCCGCTGCGAAACCCCCACTTCCCCGGCACAATGACGATTGGGCCTTTACTCAGCCAGGACTTTAGTAAGTAAGCTAGGTTAGCGATGGCGGGACCGTACCGTCTTTTGGAGTATATGTTGAAGGTGCAGCCCTCGGATTGGAGGTTCGTGTCGTTGCTGTTGCTGTTGCTGTTCTGTTACTGTTGCTTTTGGTGTTTGTTGGACAAGACACGAAAACGGAACGTGGGAATAGAGGGAGTTCCCCGCGTACGAGGGCCGTTGTTGGTGTCACTACCCCTTTGCCGATTTGGGCGTTGTTGTAAAGGACACAAGAGACGTGGCTTTCCGTGGAGACTTGGAAATCTTACAGGAGGATGGTTGAGGAGTTGCTCCATCTGCATCGTATCTAGGTAGGTAGGTATTTCTTGAGCTTTGAGAGAAAAAGAACGAAAGAGGAAGAGGAAGAGGATCGGCCGACGACGAGAGATAGAGAATATGAAGTCATCGTTTCGACAGCTGACGTCGAATGTCCTGCGGGGCTACGCATTCGACCGTCGGCTCTTACGACTTGGCTTGGTGCGAGGACCAGCTGTGTCGGGAGCTTTGCGCGGTTCGGCGGCAAGTTGTTTGGGGCAGCAAAGGTGTATTGCAACGTCGGACTTGAGTTATGTGGAGGGACCTCGAGAAGTAAGTTACCTTTTTTTTCACCTAACTTGATGGGTGGTTACTACAGATTTCGTTGTACGATGCACACACCGCCATCACTCCTGTTGGGGTAAAGGGGTAAAGAATAACAACGGTCCTGATTTAAAGCAGATTGCTTCAAATGTGTCTTGAGGTTCGTATAACTTCACGGGTGGAAAATGTTATATATTATCATACTAGAAACATGCCGGAGAGCACTACTAATATTAATTTCTGATAGCCACCGTTGCTCACATGCACTATCCCAGAGCATTTCGCAGAGATAGTCTCGGAATATGGTGACCGGCCAGCAGCTGTATTCCGGTCTCCCACGACCAACAATATGAGACCGCAGATGTCAACTCTAACGTACGAGGATCTCGACACACAGTCGAACATCATCGCGCAATCGTTACGGTCCCTCGGCGTGAAAAAAGGAGATCGCGTCGCCGTGAGCCTGGGAAACGTCCCCGAGTACGTAGTTCTAACGTATGCCATCTTCAAGCTAGGCGCCATCCTGGTCCCGCTCAACCCGACTTTCAACCCCTACCAGCTCGGCGCCGCGCTGTCCCGTCTCGGCGTCAAGGTCCTCATCATCGCAGCCGTTACGGATCTAGCTTACAAGCCGTGCCGCGGCCGTAGTAACTCCAACCTCTTGTTCCAACTTGTACCTGGCCTTTCCGCCGGCATAGTCGACTCGTCCAGCGCTCCTACGCTCGAGTCTATAGTGCTGGTAGATAATATGCCCTCGCATCCTCTCGCCGACTTTCCTCCCCTAGAATTACTCCCCGGGATCACCCCCTACTCCTCGCTCCTGCTCTCTTCCTCTTCCTCTCCCTCCCTCTCCCGCTCCGTCAGACCGGACGCTCCGCTCGTCCCGTCGGAAACGATCAATATCCAGTTCACTTCGGGCACGACGTCGATGCCGAAAGCAGCCATGCTGAGCCACACTAACATCCTGAATAACGGCCGCCTAATCGCGGCGCGCATGGGTCTCGATCCCGAAGACCGGATCGTGTGTCCGCCGCCGCTATTCCACTGCTTCGGCTCCGTCCTGGGACTCATGGCCACCGCGACGACCGGGGCTTGCATCGCATTTCCCAGCCCGGCATTCGACCCGGGCGCGACCCTCCACGCCGCCGCCGAGCTGCGCGCCACGGGGCTCTACGGCGTGCCCACCATGTTCGCCGCCGAGCTCGAGCTCCTGTCCGACCCGGCCTTCGCCGCGCGCCTGCCGCCGGGCGGCCTCGGCAACCTGCGCAAGGGCATCGCGGCCGGCAGCTCGGTACCGGAGCCGCTGATGCGCAGGCTGCGCGAGAGGCTCGGGCTCAGGGACCTCGTGATCTGCTACGGGATGACGGAGACGAGCCCCGTCAGCTGCATGACGGCGCCGGGCGACCCGGACGACCGGCGCACGAGCACGGTGGGGCGGGCGATGCCGCACACGGTCGTCAAGGTGGTCGCGGCGGGGGACCGGTCGCGGGTCGTGCCGCGTGGGAAGTGCGGCGAGCTGGCTGTGTCGGGGTACCTGCTCATGGAGGGGTATTGGAAGGACGCGGCGCGGACGCGCGAGGACCTCGTCGCGGACGAGGACGGCAGGCTGTGGATGTATACCGGCGACGAGGCGCGTATGGACCGGGACGGGTTCGTGGAGATCACGGGGCGCATCAAGGACTTGATTATCAGGGGCGGCGAGAACATACACCCGCTCGAGATCGAAGTTTCGCTGGCGGGACACCCGCTTATTCGGGAGGCTAGCGTCGTGGGGGTATCGGACGAGCGATACGGCGAGGTTGTCGGCGCGTTTGTAGCAGTGCATACGGGTGTGAGGACGCTTGACGATGGCGAAGTAGATCGGGGTGGGGGCGGAGGCGAAGCGTTGTCCAAGGACGAGGTGAGGGATTGGGTCAGGAGGCAGCTTTCAGGTCACCTTGTGCCGAAATACGTCTTTTGGACCGATGAGTTTCCAAAGACTGCCAGTGGCAAGATACAGAAGTTTAAGCTGAGGGATATTGCGAAGGAACAGCTGGGTATGGCGTCGAAATAGATATACACTTAGGGGGCTAGATTTTGGAGGCTTGCATTGCGTTGCATTGCATAACAGTGTGTTTTGAGCATTTTTATGACCAAGTTCTTACTTTTTACTGAGACTAACTAGGTAATATTAGCATGTTATGATATTCAAAAATAAGTATATTTTTCTCAAGACATCAAGCATCAATAGGATTTGAACAGGTAGGGAGTATCCGCTATCGCGTGCTAAAAGACAAAAGGAGGGGGTATTGCACCAAACTTTCAAAACGCCTTCGAACGAGGGTATACCCAAAATCACCCCTTATGCAAGTCGTCAAACCCAAATATTTACATTGGCCATAATTCGTAACCAGCCTCCGCCTACCAGTTCCTCCCCTATCCCTGCCCCTATTCCATCCAGCTCACTTATTCCCCCAATTTTTCTTGTCAACACGCCCAGAGACGTCATACCAGATGTGCTTATTCGCAACGCCAAAAAGCCACGGGAAGTAAAGTGTAATTGCGGCATAGCTCGCCCTCGGAAACTTTCTTGGTGGTCCCGTCGTGCAAGAGGATAGCGTGATACATCGTATTTATACCACACACTATTAGCTTCCCTACACGCGACCTATGGCCTATGCGCGCTGCACAAGGGGTATGTGAACTTCAGGTGGTGTGGTCTCAGATCTAATCGTAGTACCTAGGTTCCCCAGGATTCCATCCCTTCTCAACAAGCAAATAGAAATCTGATTCTCGTGCAGCCACCAGCGCCCCTTCGATGGAACGAACACACACGCTCCCATACGGATTTCCCATGGTTGAGACAGGTACCTATGGGATCTGGGAGTTGGCCGCGGTACTCATAGTCTCGGCGACCGATGTTATGCCGGAGCCGGCCATGCCCAGCGGGACGCCGCTCCTGGGGAACAAGTTCGGAACGACGTTGTTGATGATATGGCCCTCGCCGCCGACGTAGAAGGAGGAGGAGGCGTATCTGAGCAACAAGAGAACGTTCCGTTGGGTGTAGAGGACGGCGGCGAAGGAGATGGTGGTAAACAGGAAGCAGAAGATGGTCCAGAAGATGGCCTTCTCTACAGGCGTGAAGACGTACACGCCATAGGTGACCTCGATACGGTACTTTTTGAGGCGAGCCCAGCGGGCGAGAGCCTCGATTGTGGATGGCGATGACGACATCGTAAGAGAGTATATAGGTTAGGTACCTAGTTATAGAGTACCTTGGTTTATAGTAGCTTGTCTGTGGCTATAGGTAGGTAGGTAGCTAGCTATTTGGTGAAGAAGACTACGCGGTAGCAATACTATAGCAATGATGATGACGATGATTATGATGATGATATGCCGAGGAGTTCCAAGGAATTCTTGGGCTACAAGTCTGGGCAAGCCAGTGAAGGATAAAAAATATAAGAAATAGCAATAGGACTGCGAATTACGGAGAATATAATAGGTAAATATTCATTACAGGAGAAGCTTTTTAAACATTCGGCTTTACTATATACCTTGTACATTCCCTAGGGGCCGGTCCTTAGCGTGTATTAATAAACCCATGAATTCACCCGCGGCAGGCGCCAGTGACATCGGGGAAAGAGTCACGCTCTCTAGGTGGGTACATGGAAAGAACAGTACGTTAAGAGGTAAGGGTATAGAAGGTACCTCATGAGGCATACATGTAGTGTAGATAGGTATTTAGGTATGCATATGTGTGTAAGCAACGGTACCTGGTATAAAAAATAGGATGGCGGATCGCTCGGAATTCCCATCTTTTACTTTTAACCCCAACTGTCACTGGATGCGGCGTCTTTGAACCTTAAAATCTGCCTTAAGATGCATCGACCCATAGATGCTAATGGGTAAGGGCCATTTTTAGCCCGCCCCGGCAGGATTTTTTTTTTCTTCGGAAGATGGTCCACATGAGCTATCATCATCAGTGATATACATGTGCATATCCGCACTACCTCTTCTTGATAGTCTTACGATTGCCTATATTAGGTAAATATGAAAGTCGTCAGGTGAGCAAGATGGTACAAAGACGACTTACTTCGAAGTTCGAACGCATGCATGGAAGGATGCATAAGCAAGATGACGGAAAAGAATTATTAATAAGTCAGGTAGGTACAGAATAGGTAATAAAAGAAAGCCAAGGGCCCATCTCGGAGTTCCGCATAGCGCCTAAAAAAATCTCCATCGCCCGGTTCGGCACTATCGGGCTGAGGCTCTTTCTTTTTTCTTCTCTTATTCCCACCTTCATTTCCAAACTTCATTGATTTAGCTAGGGGCAGATGACTTATGGATTTTTACCCATTCTCTTTACTTGTGGATAACTAATGTTTTATTAATGTTAGGTAGTCATCTTATTAAGTCAAATACCTGTTAATTAATGAAGCACGTCTTTGTCTTGAAGAGTTGCTGACTGGATTGGAATTCGAGTTCCACTTCCTATCAGCGACGATCCGGGGTTAGAATAGCAGATCACATCGTGGAAGCTGAATGAACATTAGTAAGCCATGATACCTGCTGCCTTCTTCTTGGTTATCTAAAGTAAACAGGAAGTAAGTAACCCGTCAGGCGGCTCGCTTAGCGATACCCGTGGACGCTACATATGCTGACATACACTATGGAAGGGTTTGATGAGCTATAAGCTACGGGTTGCATAGTAGCATTGGTGGCCGTCACGTCTCCATTAGAAACAAACCATTGAAGCTTTTCTTGCCTATTGCGGCGAACTAGTCTTCCCTATTAGGTTAGCATTGGCATCTTTCGAAGTTTGGGTAGTTGGGTTAGGCGTTAACGGCTTGGGCCGGCCGAGAAGAGATGCCAAAATGCACATGCACAGGGCTGACAGCAAGCTTTTTGAAACCCCATGCAGCCCATGCTACGCCAAGAACGAACCCCCGGATGAACCTCTAACCAGATAATTCTCTAGTGGCATATCTTAGCCGGCAACGATCGGGATTCGGAGAGAGCATTAAAGAATTTCATAGATTTATTTTATTTTATTTTTTTATATGAGAGTGCTATGCGGATTGTTTACATGTATGAGTATGATGTTGAAGTACGACACCGTAAAATAGTTGTTGAAGTAAAAAACGAAAGAGCATGCTTCGTAGAAAAAAGTATATGGTTACATGTATAGCATGGTAGATAGGTAGCGGAACTGTACCAGACTTAGCGTGTCACTGCATTAGATCCTATCTTAGGTACCTGGTATGTAAGCGACGTGACCAAACCTCTCAATCCTCCCGCTGTGAAAGTGACAACTCCTTTTATAAGTTCGCTTATGTGCATGTATAATCCTGCATACAAGTAAGCAAGGTTAGTTCTGCATCAGGAAACATTCCTTGGCCGGCAGATACATACATAAATTTCCGAAAGATTCGGAAACGTCGGATGATCGTATCGGCACAACCTCCCGGCCCTAATAACCAACCACCAGCGAGCCGCGCTGAGAGAGAGATAGAAAACACTGACAGCGAATCTTCTAGGTTGCTATGGGTTAGGTAGGTACCTGTTATGCGGACCCGCTTGAAGCTAAGGGTTTCCTTTTTAGTCATGAGGTCCGAGTTCTGTTGTATTGTAAACAATTGTCCCCTTCCAGGAAAAAAAAAAAAAACTCATCGTGCCATGATGTTGGACCTCTTCCATTCTTCCCTTACCCTCCCCTCCCGGAGCAAACGCCACGGCTGTTGCTTCGCTTAGCTGCGTTTTACCGATTTCTTCCGCGCTTGGTATCCCCCTCTAGTCCGGCTGCGTTACGCTCGTCTGATAACTCCGGTAAGACCGACATGCCCCGGTTGAATATTGTACTACCTACCTAGGTCAGTTCGGTACCGGCTCGGCTGGAGTTAGGTATTGCGTTGTTTCAGGTCCGAGTATATCCGATGAAGGATAGCAGTTGAAAAGTTAACCCGAATTGAATGAGAGAATTATAATAATACCCTTGCACTATAGGTAACTATATCACTAACAGGAATATAACACATGTGACGCTTTGGATATTCAAAGTTAGATAAGTATTGGGTCGAGAGATACCTGTCTGTTATAGTATAGCGCTCGCTTCCTACGTCACCGATTCAACATGCACGGTCCTTAGCGCCGAGTCTTGTAGGTTTGCCTCATGCACAAGGCAATGCCTAGCCGAAGGTTTCCCGGTACCGTAAGGTCGCATTTGGCGGCCCATGCCGGAGGGGGTGTGCCTGTTGGGGTAACACCGCATGGCGCCGATGAAGCCAACCCCGGATACACGTATGTTTCCTGGAATTGGCGGATAAAGAAGCAATATAGTCGATGTCGGACCCCAACAAGAGCATCTACAGTGCTGCGACGTTGCAGGTATGTCTATAGGTCAATGTCTGTGGGGAGTTGGACAGATTGGGATTCGGACAAGATTCAATACGCATTTTTATAGATACTTCTCAAAGGGTAAGTATACTAAGGTCACGAAAAGTTCCCATGGGTTGATGCTGGTTGTACTGGAGACGAAGGCCTTTAGAGACAATGGGCATTTGGTATTGTGTCGACTCTACAAAATTCATCTCAATTGACGATCTGAAACTTGAATGCCTGTGCATGTTGCCTGAAGACAAGTTATGCTAGTATACAATATCACACAATATAGGGTATTACACCACGTGTAGTAGCTCGTTGACGGATTCATGCTGATGGTATACGCTGTTCCTCGATCCAATTCGATCCAATTCAAACCAATCCGAGATCATACCGTAAATGCAGTAGACTATTTCTGCAGATCGAAACCCCACCTAACAGTCCCTCGATGTCGTTGTCCCGGCCTCATCCCCTTTGGCAAGCACTTCCAAGAACAACCCCGCATCGCGAAGGGGACCGCCCTCTCCTTATCTCCCGAGCCCACGGGGTCCACAGATATGTCCTTTGACTTCTCATCGATCTTAACACGAGAGACTCCCCACCATTCGATCCACTCAGTAAGTGGTATTGCAACCCGCCGCCCGCATATCGAGCAAGGCAGGTCGCCGGAATTAGCGTTCTGCTCGCTCCGATCGGCAAGCTGGTAGAGCAGTTCTGTGAAGTGCGGAGGCGCGTTAGATGGGAGGTAGGATGGTAGATCGTGTAACCGTCCAGATTTTAAGCAAGACTGGAGGGCTAGTTCAAATAACGAAGGCACGCGACTTTGCTCATTGACGGAAGGTCGATTTCGCCCAAGTCTCGGAAGTTCTGGCGATAAGCGTAGGTCTTCGGTTTGAATGATGCTGGCTGGATGGTCCGCGTTATCATATACTGGACTGTCCGCTGTGGTTGACTTTGAAACCGGCAGCTTATACGTAGAGATAACGACCCCTTGACTATCACTATACTGTATCGGTGTCCGTGCGAGTGCAACCATCTCCCATAAAGAACCATGCAGATTCCTATTAGAATGGACCTTGGATTGAACAGTATGATCGTATTGCTTGTCAAGCCAGAATCGCACCTTTCTGCCATCTGACTGGGTCAACTGGTCTTGGAAGAGCACGGCTTGCTCGTGTTTTGATTCGTCCCAGACCTCGTCGACAACAGCATCATATTCGAAACTGTCTGGCTGAAGAAAGGGGTTTGGGTGTATGTTCAAAGTCTCAAGCTTGCTAGGGAATCTTAACAGATCTAGCAACTCTCCTGGTAGACATTGAAGACGCGTAAGCGATATATTGAGGGTTCGTAGATTACGAAGCTTTCCGATACTAGGCGGAAGCTCGGTGATATTGGTGTTTCGTAGAGTGAGGAAAGTCAAATTCTCCAGATTGAAGATAGCCCCAGGAGCATGCGACAGAGGATTATTTGATAAGAAAAGAGAAATCGAAGGTTCCTTATCCTGAAATGGAAAGTCTTCAGCTATGGGTGGGACAGTATCAAGCATAGAGAGCTGCGATATAGTCGCATTGGAGATACTATCAATCTGAGATGACCTACGGTGAGGTAATTAGCACCGATATGTACCTAGGTAGAGGTAGTTATGCATTTTGTAACGGTCCACGGCTTGTGGACGGAAAGGCGACTCACGATAAGTCTATAGCTGTGCTTCCGGAATCAATAGCATCCTGGATTACCTTCCGAGCAACAGCTTCACTGGGGGAGATAGCCGGGACGGGCCCAACATGTCTGGGTTGCGGTAGCTTAGACAGAGCAGGCAAATCCATGTCAGTGACAGTATCGTCATCCGTATCCACAGAAATATCGCTTCCCATCCATACTCCACTATCGAATTGTCGCTCAAAAGTTCTTCTTGGTTTTGGCAAGGGTCGCGGCGCCTCAGAGAAGGGGGAATCAGACGAGGCGGGGTGCTGCTGAAACCAGGTGCCGACATAACGCTTCTTTCTATGTCGTCCCTGTGTATAATTCTCCACATGAGGATCATCATCGCTAGAAAAGACAGCAGGGTCACTTGAGTTAGCATATACAGGTGGCGCAAGCGATTGGTCGCGAGCGCGTTTGCGCGTATTAGTGAAAGTCTGTGTGTGAGAATCCCAAGACACTGCGGGGAGTCTGGGTAGGGTAGGCTCCTCGTCGTCCATAATTGTAATGAAAGTGGGTAACGCGTTATATATGATACCTAATACGAATTGGATTGTAAGGAAGGGAAGTTATAAAATTAGATTCTCCAAGAATATACGACGAATTGGTTCAAATTGAAGTTTAGTCTTTTAGTTTTGGAGTAAATATTAATATTAGCGAGTAGTTCGCTGGTCAAACACCTAACCTTAGGTTAAGTAGGTAGGTACCTACGTAGTAAGTAAAGTAGGCGCGTCACGTCACGTCTTCAACGTGAAAGGCCCACTTTCCCCAACTAACAAGCGCGGCTCTTCGATTGCGCACTAAAAACAACCCCTGTTACATCTGTTACATGCAACCCGCTGTCCCAAGGTTCTGGTTCTATTAAATTCCCATTCATTGACAATTTTAAGTTTTCTGTTCCAATTCGAATTCCAACAAGTCCCAGCAAAGTCTAGCCAACTCCCAGATCCCTTTTGTCGAAACAAGTTTAACATTCAGCTAGTTAGTTATTATACATGTTTTACATGTTTCGACTTAGATTTATCCAGAAAATAAGCACGATAGATAATAACGTTAGTATAGCCAGTCTTGTGCTCCACTAATCCATCTAGACTCCATTATCATGGTTCTAGAACAGATTTATATCGGATCACCTGCTATTCCTCCAGTCAATGACAGGACCTCCCCAACTGCTTCTGTAGACGGCTTCATCGAAATTGAGATTGGGAGGCAATAGAGCGATATGATTCGCATACACATTAGATACGTATACTCTCTCAATCCCAATCATCGTTGTCATCGTCATCGTTAACAGTTGCATGTCTCAGATTTCCACTCTTGATCCCTTTGCCTACTAGTTGCTCTTCTCTCGCGTCCTCGGCGTCTCTCTTCCTTTTCACTACCCTCATATCTTTCGCATCCACGGCGCCCACTTCAACCAACAAATTATCGATGTTTAGCATACTCATTCGCACACCACCAACGGTAACAAGAGTGACAATCTGCTTCACAATATCGCCGTTCTTATATACAAGAATGGTCGGGCAGTTGCGATCTGGGTAATTCTCGATTGCCTTATCCGCGCGGATTTCGCAAAACTTAATATCACCGTATTCTTTTGCTGCTTGCCTCCAAAGTTCTGACAAAACTCTTGATTCGACATTGGTACCAAGTGAGGATGTGAGATTGACAAAAACGGGCCCCTTGTGTGAAGCTTCCGTTACTTCGCGCGAGTATTCCGGCTTAGATATCGGGTAGACGGTGCCATGTATTGACTTCTTGGTCAGTTTATGTAACTCCTGCATTCGCTTCTGTCGGTATTGCTCTAGAAAAGCTTCGTCTTCTTCATCTTCTAGTGCGTCAAGCTCATCAAGTTCTTTCCCCTCCAATCTGTTCTCATGCGCTATTCGTTGGGCCTCGAGTAAAGCTTCTTCTATCATAGGCGTAGGAGACGGGGGCTTTTCAGGTATGATGCCATGCTTACGGAGGATATCATTCCTATTGTAGTCTATGAGATAAGTACGTCGACAACGGATGAGGTTTTTCTGAATGGGACGTACCATTCGGTATCCGCATTTGGGTCGTCAATAGGAACAGCTATTCGCTGATCTGTTGGCGCGGCCATGGTGATTAAATTTAATAGAGTCGGGGGATATGCGAGGTTGAGATGAAGTAAGATGTAAAATATTGAGGATCGTATTCAACTAAAGCAGGGTTGACCAGGTTAGTCTTGGATTGTCTTGATAATCTTGATATACAACTAACTACCTAGGTAAGTTTTGGAGGGTGGCTGATGTCGTGTTTACGTACCTGACCAACGTGAGATATTCAAGCAATGGAAATCGACCCCTCCAAGTTGCTATAAGTGGAGCGCCCTGCCAAAGCGGCGAGATGATGAAATTGCCCAATTTTTAGTTGACGGCTGGCACCGCACCTTTGCCAGGTGCATACCTCTAAAAGATCTTGGCTTCTGCATCACTTCTTTCCAGCTCGCCAGGCTCCAGCCAGAAAAGGTGGGTCATCGAAAGCCCTAGCCCTCCTCAAATGCTAAGCCTGATTGGGCTAAACTAAAAGGATCTTAGTTAGTTTCGCCTCCTGCACACCAGAAGCAGTCCGGCGAATCAAAATCCGCCTCCCTAAAATTTACCAAGCGAACTTTTATCTCGAGGACACACACGACCTTCCCCTCAATCTCTTCACTACCTCAACCATCGTTGTTCGCAAGCACAGCCAAAATCTGCCATCAACTCCATCTTCAGATTTCGCCAGCCAATACTACGCTTGCTAACTCATCAATCAAGATATTTCTTGTGACAATCAGACAAGATGGTAAGTCTAAATTAACTTTAAGTTTTTGTTTACGCTCTCTGTCATGTCATCGACCGGTCGTCGCAACTTTCGCCTCATAAATCATCATCGATTCTTCCACGGCAATATCAACACCAACATCAACATCGGCACGGCAATACGGCTTTTTAATATTGAGATAAGATCCTTAGAATAAAATGCTGTTATTTAATGATGAATGCGGTCCGGGATACGGCTTTGATAGACAGATTGATGCTGGGATTCTCTGATTCACAAATGGCACCCTCATGCTGACAAAAACTTTTTCAAGGTTCTCGCCGTTGATCTCCTCAACCCCAACCCGGCTTCTGAGGCCAAGAAGCACAAGCTCAAGGTACGACACGATTCCGACTCTTACTACTTGATTATACTAACGACATTACATAGACCTTGGTGCCCGCCCCCCGATCCTTCTTCATGGACGTCAAGTGTCCCGGCTGCTTCACCATCACCACCGTGTTCTCCCACGCCCAGACTGTCGTTATCTGCCAAGGCTGCACAACCGTCCTTTGCCAGCCTACTGGCGGTAAGGCTCGATTGACCGAGGGCTGCTCTTTCCGAAGAAAGTAGAGGATTTCGTCTCGTATTTTCTTCGTTCTTGGGCATAGGTTACGACATCATGGTATAGTTCGGATATCTGCAAGGTATTCTCGACGGAATGGGCGCATGAAAAAATAAACTTGGCATCTTGTCTTCCGGACATACTCGACTTTTTACGAACCTCTACGTCTTTGCAGATAGACGACGGATACCAAAAAAGAACCTTAATACAAGAGGGGCGTTTGGGGTCCTGATATCTTGCATCATCCGTTTCGCTACGAATGATTTTTTTTCCTCGTTTTCTCGCCTTGTGTATTACGAAGTCGTCACCTTCAAACATAAGCAGGATGGTTTATTCTGCATGGGTGGATAGCTGGAAATGGCTTTCCACTTGAGCATCGTGTTGGACTTAGCTCTGTAAAGGGTATGTCTTTCGATGCGAGGACGTGGAACGTTGATTGAGGATCGCTACATACCCAACCGTAGTGATTGTTGTTTTCACTGCATTAGGCGAAATTCACATGGTTCCACCAACTCCTTCTTTCGATATTTTGCCCATCGTGACAACCGATATTCGCTATTTCTGGATTCTTCATGGTAGAATTTTAGTAGTTCGTACATTGTGATTGTATTCCGTACGAGGTGCCGAGAGAATTTGGCTGAAGCTGTAGTCTAGGCTGTAGTTCACTTATTCCCAAGAATTCCTCTATAGTGATTAACTCGGTACCCAGTTCTCAGGGTTCGTTGGGTATATACCTAGACTACATGTACCTACCTACCTGGTACTCAGGTGATTCTCTGTACCTTCAACATCGCATTACGACCGCGAAGGGAAATTGGTTATGATGGGCCAATGAATTAAAACATGTAGTGATACTGAAATTATACTTATAATTTTGATGTTATGTACGTAGGTAGTCATTCGCCACCGTAGTTAAACTTTGGCGGGTAATCCAAGTCACAAAAGTGCAGTTATTTCTCCCATAATGTAACGCAATACTGACTGAGCAGGAAGAAACCTTGAATACAGGTTTCAATGTGTTTAGGTACCCGTTACATAATGTTCATTAGTAAGCGAAGGGCAGTCCGCAAGCCTCAAGCCTCAAGGTCCCTGAAAAGGTACTTTGGTACTTAGATTGAAAGTAAAGTTCAATAATGCCAAGGTTTCCATTAAACGCGTCAAAACACGCTTTGGGAAATGGCCATTACGTGCATCGTGCAGCCTCCCCACTTCCAACTTTCAATTAGCTGTCGTCCGATCAGCCCCAGATTATCCCAGCCTCTCTTGCACTTTCTTACAATTTCCCCCTTCTTTCCGTCTTTTTCTCCATATCTAAGAGATAACCCCTAAAAGATAACACAATTGGCATTGGACAAAATATGCTTTTTTATTCATAACATCACCAATTCTAGATCCGGCTTCTTCGCGTCGAAATATTCAATTCATACTTCTGCACGTTTTCGTAGCTGCAGCTATTGAGCGTTTGGAAATATTACCTTGCGTCATTACAATAATTTGACCCCAAGAGAACCAACTAGATCCCCGGACCTTCTTGGTATTATCAGATCTAAGGTAATTCTATATTTGGTCGGGGTGGGCCTCGTTTGCGTACGACACGTAATATCCTATTCACCTCTTCAAGGTTCTTCACAGCCCTGAGCCATGTCGGCCCCGCGAACAAAGCGCCAATTCGCAGGCGCAGCAAGCGACCCTGCGCAGCGACAGATCACCTCGTTCTTCACCACGCAACAACCCGACTATAGCTCCTCCATCAATCATACCAGCTCGCGGGCACAGAACCCTTCTGGTCTTGCTAACCCCTCTCTTCCCGCGTCGGTGCAGGCGAACCTCTTATCGGTGGGCATGCGAGTGCGCAAGTCTGTCCCCGAAGGCTACAAGACAGGAAGTTACAGCGCTTTTGGGCTCTGGGACGAGCGCAACAACAATAACACCAACAACAAAATCACCACCAGCGGCTCCGCAGCGGTTATGGGCGAGGGACGATCACGTGCTAATGCCATCTCGACGTCCCGGGAACTCCTTCCCTTCTGCGGAATCCACAAGGTCGGCGGTTTAAGCCCTCAGCCTGAGATTACCACCCAATCGTTTCCTCCCCCGCCATCTTACCAGCCGCTTCTCAGCCTCAACGGCGGGCCTCTCAACGAGACGATGGACGAGGATGTCCCCGGCCTGACGAGCAGCCAGGACTCCGTCGAGAGCACCGGCTCGAGCATCTCGCGCGCGCGAACTCGCAAGCGTTCGTATACCGAGGATGAAGACGAGACACCCCAGACCCCGGGCCGTCTCAACCTCGACTTCAACACGTGGCTGTGGAGCGATAGGTTCGACGGCGAGGTCAGCCCGCGGAGCGTGGCGCCTGCTGGTTGGAGTGCGGGCAACGGCAATGGTAATGGCAACGGCCGCGTGATGGCGATACCGCGGAAGGCCAAACTTCGAGGAACCAAGCTGGCGGCGGCGCAAGAGAACGTTAGAGTCGTAAACAGTGTCGACGGCTCAGACTTCGAAGAGGCGGATTTCCTGGTCGAGACGTCCGATCTGGGATACGAACACGGTTCGCGCGGTTGGGAAGTCGAGATGAGCGATGTTTAGAGGGCGTGTGGAAGGTGAAGGATACACTAATCGTCTTCGGCGTGCATTGAATTTGAGTTACGTTTGGGATACCCAGAAGAGCAGCAGCAGCAGCAGCAGTGAGTCACGAGAGTGGAATATGGAATAAGAAGACGAAGATAAGGCTGTTTGTGTGTTTGTCGTTTGTATTTTTTTTTTTTTTTTTTTTTTCGGATTATCATTGGCGGACCGGCGTTTCTAGCGAAAACTGCATGGTTTGGCTTTTTTTTAATGGATCAACTTGGCAATGCTCAAGTTGTACGGGGATGTCTTACGCTGCGTTGGTTGCACTACATACATGCATTATGTATCATATTGAGGACGGTACCTAGGGGGAGGAAGTATACACACACACACACACACACACACGCAAGGGAGAAGCTAATGTGTAGCAACCGAAAGCGTTGTTTGACTTATCTCCATAGGGAGAGCATAAGGCAGTTTGCAGCATCAAAATAGAAAATTGTTATATAGCATTGAATCAGTCCATCACGCGTGAAATGGGATATGTATACCTAGGCACCTAAGCTCCGTAGAAATTATTATGCTTGTATTTATTACTATCTGCAATGGTAGGTAGGTGTATCTAGTTATTACAGACTTCCAGGTCCGAAACACATGAGCGAGCATATATCTACGTGCAAGGTCCGCAAACAAACAAACCAACAAATCATGCTCTTTCATATGAATTACTCGACCTGAAATCCTCCAAACGGATCCCGGAACTCCAAAAGGTCGCGCTGTCCGTAGAACTCACCGGCTACAGTAAGGATCATATTGAGGGTAGCGCGCTCGTTAGCCTTAGCCCGGCGGAGCTGCTCCGTCTTCGCTTCCTCTTCTTCCGCGTCGAGGGCGAGGAACGCCTCCTCTTCTAGCGCCGTCATGGGCGGCTGTTCTTCTTCTTCTTTTTCTTCTACTTTTACTTTTACTTCTACCGGAGCGTCGCTGCCGTTGTTGAGCTGTTCGAGCAAACGGGCCTTGGCCCTCTCTATGTCAGCCGTGGGTTCTGTTTGCTGCTGGGGTGCGTCGGATACTTCCCCGTCCTCCTCTCTCTCCCCCTCTGATTCCATCTCCATCTCAACGTCTGACTGCTCTGCTACTTCGTCTTTAGGTGGTAGCTTAGTTCCAACAGTTTCATCTGTTTTACTGCCATTGCTGTTCAAATCGGCTCCGTACCCGACTGTGTCGCCGGAAGGAGCAAGTTTGGGCACCTGACCGCCTGGGGGCTGACCCGGGCCGCCATGGTGAGGTTCGGGATCGTTGGTATCGATATCGATATCCTCGTAGTCACAGCACTCGCCTTGGCTCATCTCATCAACGCCTTCGACAACTTCGACCTCGCCCTGGCTTTCGGGAGTACTGTCGCCCACGTCGTAATGCTCCTTCAGGACTTCCATCTCGGCCAAGCTGACCATGAGCAGAACCGCTCTCTTACCCAGCTCGCGTACCCAGCCGATCTCCTGGTAGTCGAGTTCGCCTTTGTCGGGGAGACGCGCGAGAAGCGCCCAGATCCATCTACTGGTGCGTTCGCGGAGCTCCTGGTTCTTGCGTAGGAACTTGCCGCCGAGAATAATGCGTATCAGGCGGAGGACGCTCTCCTTACGCATCCCGGCAATTTGGGCGGGCAACGGGTCCGTACCCCGGAGCCGGCCAGACCACTTTGCGAACGTATCGGTTCTAGGTCCGAACTCGCCCACGTCGGTTGGATTCGACCTAGGGAGAGTATTTAATAGGTGATCGGGTGGGTCTTTCTGTAGGATCTCGCGTAGAGCTAGGAACTGGTTTGTGAGAGATTGGAAGTACGCGTCGCGGATCTCGTCAGAACTGCTGTTATAGGGCCTGCCTTCAGTCCACTCAGAATCGCTTTTATCCTCGTATCCTAGCTCTTGGTCCCCTTGCTCTCCGCCCTCCTCTCCGCCCTCCTCACCATCATAATCCTCTTCGTAATATTCGTCCTCATTTTCGTCCTCGTCCTCGTCCTCGGCTTCGGCTTCGTCAAAATAACCCGGCGGATACGCGATGTACGCCCCATCGTGGTAGTATCCTCTGAAATCGCCTCGGCCGTCTTGATATATGCTGCGGTCTAGGGGTCCCTCTTCGCCTTCATCTTGTTGCTGATCCTCCGGACCTGCTGTAGGCTGTTGCGGAGCCTTGGGCGGTTGTGGACCAGCTTTGCTCGCGACCATCACATGCGGGATTGTAGATGCTTGCACTCTATACTCACCATATCAGTATATCAATCACCACCTAAAAGAGAACCGTGATTCCGATTTAGCCTTGCGAGTTTTTTCTGGAGATGGAAGACGGAAAAGTAGGGAGATGGGAAAAGAAGGAGATGGGTATAATCTTACCGCACAGACTGAAGGTATGCGATCGCCTCAGTATCGTCTTCGCAGTCCAGATCGCTATCGTCGGGCGGTACGGTGGTCGAATATTCGGAGTCGCCAAACACTGATCGCTGGCCGTAGGTCGAGCTCGGAAATATGTTCGCTCGGAAGGAGTTGGAAACCCGCTCGCGACGAAGTTTTCTAGGCAGCTCCTCGCCTTCGTCTGCGGAGGCGCGTTTTCGTGCCATAGAGGCTGGTGGTGTGAGTTTGGAATCCATAACGGCTCTGCGGTGTGGGGAGGTGGAATCGGCTGAAAATGAATGGTTAGTGTAATATAAAATATAATTTGGGAGAAGCCCCGGTTGATGGCAATTGGAAATGGGAAATGGTAATTGGGAAATGGAATGTTTGTTTTAAGGTCCAAGAGATCAGTGCACAATGTGTACCGGTAGGTACCTCCTACCTACCTAAGGTACCTCTTAGGTAACGTACCCTCCATTTAAGGTTCATTGGGTGGAACAGCGGGGCATGATTTATACAATCGTCCACTATTTAAGCTTCAAGTTTACCTGTTGAGAAAACTATAAAGAAACTGTTTTTATAGCATTGAAATCTTAGGGTATAATGTTTTTTTTTTCTTAATTAATGAATAACCCGACTTGGCAAACAAAACAGTGTTTCAATAAGCAAGGCCAAGTTTCCAGTGTTGGCGTTTTCACGATGATCTCAAATAAACCCCAACTCGCTAGCATAAAACTTCGGTAAGTTAAATTAAAGAGATCAATAACCATCTCATCGTCGCAATACTTTTAAATAATTATTAAAATCCTTGTTTACACGTGCTCATCACAGAGGTATAAGATTTTGGCTGCTTATCAGATTTCTACTCGTCTCTCGTTAAGATGGAGGTGAGGTTAGTAAGAGTAATATTGTCTCACCGCTTTAAAACATAGTCTAGGGTCAGTGGTCGTCGTATAAGTTTAACGTGAGCATCAGTAAGAGGTATTTGATATATCTCGTACGTAGGTATATTGGGTCCCTACCAATAAGTACTCAGACACCTCACAATCTACCACCATATTCCGACTTAGCCAGTGGTTTTTTTTTTACATACAATATTAACATAGGAGGACATACTTGCCCCATACGAATAAACCAAATTCCACCTGATAATTGAAGAATGTGGGATTTCCATGAATCTCTCCGCTCTTGTAGAATTCCATAGCAGCAGTTAGCCCCCAATATCGCCTTTAGTTAGGTACACTACATTAAACCTTTGATACCCACACTACATACGGTCTGAGTTCTTAGATGTCATAACTATAGGCTTTTATATCAACCCCTCTTCGATGTGTTCACTGATACTAGCAAATGGTTTGGTGTTGTATCCGCCTCAGATACTATCCTCTTTCTCATGTTAGGGTAGCAGATTCATGTTTCTAGATAGTCTTAGAAAGCTTGGCCTTACGGGAAGACTTCAATAAGAACACGACTTTGGGTAAACTTAGCACTTTACCGCTCAACTGAATTGTTAGGGCTGGAATGGGTAATAGTTTTAAATAAGGTCCGTAAGGAAACCTTAGCCACTAGTAGACAAGATATTCGAGTTGCCAGGCTAGTGACAAGAGATTTTATAATAGAGAGCTAGGTAAATGAGAAGTTATGGAAGGCCACAGAATGCAATGCATTCCGTTTCTTTCCGCTTAAGCTAGTAGTCGCCTTACCGCAGAACTCAGAAAGTGGTTGCCAGGGGTCCTTCTGCCTATTAAAATGCGCGCCGTGGGGAAATGTTGAATCCACCCTGACATGAGCTTAATTCGACTTCGTCGGCTTTCCAACTCTTAAGTTTTCGTGTTTTCTAGCGTTGGCAACACGGTAAAAACTACGATTAACTTTAGGTTAGGTACGCTTGGTCGTAATATGGGCCTCATATTCTTCCTTAACTAACGCTTAATTCTAAACTACATGGTCGTTAGCTGATTCAAAAGTTATCTCTTGTCTTTTTATTTTTATTTTTATTTTTATTTTTATTTTTCGCTGGTTTTCGGATTCAGTACCTAGTCCGTTAATCGGTTTCATAGTTATAATTCAGCAGGCCCCCTAAAGCCCTATTTTCTCCGCTTACTTACACTATAAGGGTGGCTTAGACCACCATTACATGATCAAAGAAAGCCTCAGAATGACTTAAGAAAGAGCGTTGTTTAGGGCATAAACGGCACGACCGTCGGCTGTTGTTGCTGATATGGAGAGATTCTCTTGCGAAGCTGAGCTTCAGCTCATTGGCCACCTCGTTTCGATTGGCAGGGTTTCACAATACCCCCCTGCGATGTTGCGCACCACCTGATGGTGTTGGGGATTATGTGGCTTGCACCAGGTCTTGAAATTTCTCCTCAAGTCTCGGAAGAACGTGTATTCTCGAAAATGTCAAAAGCTAGACGTATTAGGTAAAAGTGATAGGCGTCCGTGTGTAGCCACCACATGGATGCTACACGCGTGCGTTCGTTTATTAATGACTTACACTCAGTAATTAAAACTGTGTCCATTATCTCCTAAGCCATCACAATAGAATTTTCGATCGCCCCTTGACCATTGGTTCGTAGAAAGGCACATCATAATTGCCTTGAAAGTGTATCACCAACACCGAAGTGGTGGCGGCGATAAGCTAGTTTCTTTTACACCACTACAGGTAGGGAATTATTATCAGGGGTGGCGGCTAGGGCGGCATGAGAAAGAAAAATCTCTATTGGAAGTTCTGTTTCTAGATTCGCCTAGAAAAAAATCTTTTCTATTTAAGCAAGTTCTATATCGCGCCGCCGTTGTGGAATTCCACACATCCAGTTACGCAACCCTGTTGGCTACAGCAAAATCAGAATAACAATGCATCCATCATCACGAGAACTTTGAAATCTCGGTACATGCTCTGCTACCCCAGCTCTAACGAGTAATGTATCACATCTACGACAGGAAATATCTTCCTTCCTTCCACAGGCCTTCCCTCTGTCTAAGTAATTTGTACGCAGGATTGAACTTATAAGACCACCCATGGCCCTTCGCCGTTGATAAAAGTATCGATTCTGTTCTCCCGGTGTAGGCTTTCTTCGGGGGACATCCTATCCTGGCCACGTCTCGTTCCTTCGTCTCCTTGGGTGGTCTGACCAGCCGGGTTCCTTTGCACAGTTAGTTGGTATCATCCCTGGTGTCTTCTTAGACTTACCCATCGGTAGATCCCTGATTGACTTCGACAGACGAATGCCGCCGGGATGGAGCACTCTTAGAGCCTCTGAGCTCTGAAGGGTTTCCCGTGTAATTATTGTAGGGACCTGGCAACTGGCCGGATCTGCTATCCGTTCCCGTCACGTCACTGCAATTGTTCGTTACGCCCGACACCCGCGGCGAATATGTTGAAGCCGCGCCATAGTTGCCTAAGTTTGGATTGTCGCTTTGCGTATAGGATAATTGTTGGTTATACGAGCCCGCGACCCCGATGGAGGCCACGTTGGGATATGGCCCCTCCAAGCAAATATCTCCCGGATACAGTCCATGCCAGGTACTTCTGCTATTCATCGCGATGCTCGTACTGGCTGTTTGGTATAACGAAGATACACCCAGACTGGAATGAGCGTCGGAGGACCCCCATGATGAGTAAGGGTTAAAGTTCGTTTCGTACTTTGCAGCATTGTCGTCGTCGTTCTCGCGGAAAGCGGCAGATGGATGGCTACCGAAGATAGTCGAGTAGCCAATAGAAGAGTTTACGACAGAGCCCCTGTGGTCAGTTTGGTTTGAACCGAAAGTTTGACCCTCGGCCGTATCGACGCCAGCATGTGTGCTTGTGGAGTTATTATCGTCAATGGGCCCGTACAAATAATTAAAATCGATGTTATAGCTTAATGAACCACTGGTACTGTTATTCGAAGCGCCATGGGCGGGATCAAGCCTTGGGTCAGCGTGGTTCAGACAGCGGGGTTGGGCCCTCCTGTGAGGCTTGCCGGGGGTTGACTGGCCTTGATTCCTCGGCATACTGATTCGAATTCTTTTAATATTTTCACTATCAGCTTAATTATTAGGAGTATGATTTTCGTTCGTGAGAAGAGGAAATCTTGGAGTAGACTTTGTAGAGGTTTTATGTGCGAAGAAGGCTTGGGGCCCGAAGGATCGACAACTGGGTCCTCACATCTTTTACACAAAAAAAAAGATGCCTTGTCAGGAAACCAAGAGCCTTGTCCAATCGCTTTTTCAAATGGCCACGAGAAAATCGTCTAGAGTGGGTCGCGGACGAGGCAGTATCAAGGGGGGATAGGTGCTCACGACGAAAGAGGAAATCAGGGCAAGAATCACGAGTGCTGCTGTTACTACCAGAGCATACCCGAAGACAACCTCCTTCGCATCGTTTCCACAAGAGCGGGGCGTGCCGTTGCATGCCCCTTATGAGTGGAGTCTATTTTATAGGTTAGGTAGGTACCTTGTTTCGGCGATGCCACCAAGATGCTGTTTGACTACCATGGGTTTCAAGGTCGTCATTAAGAATAAGAGTTACATACTGCCTAAGGATAAGCAAGGGCTGATTTATGGATAGGATGTATAAAGAGGGGGGGCGATAGATGTTCGGGGCCGGAAGGCTTGTGATCGAACGGACCCCTTATTTATAGACTGGAAAGCCTCGGGTTCAGCCCAGAGCTGAACAAGAAACGAAATACGGTATCCCTATTTGGAAGACACGCCTGACTTAACATGAGGGCACTCGTTTAAGTCAGTGATGCCTTACAGTGTCATAGACGTTCTTGGCTCCGCAACTTCTCCAATTGGAACTTGTTGCGGGTGATCTACCAGCTTGCAGAAGCGACACTATACAGAAGCAGACTACTTCACCACTACGCGAATCTCCAATGTTGGCGGGGTAGATTGTCATACAACATCTAATCCACAGTCGTTACGTTAGGAGATCGTGGATCTGAAGTATACCTAGGTAGGTATTTTTAATGGGTTGAGAGGGTTCTATAGGTACCTGTATTGACAGATGCCCAGGGTGTTCTATAGGAAGAAAGTATACACGCTGTTTAACTTTCGAGTCTAACTGCGAGAAACACCTCGTATTCTACTCCCTTCAACACGCGCTATAAAACTCGCACAGCCCGGAAGATCGTCCTCAGCTTCCACTTTCCTGCTCAGACCTTGTCCCCTACCCCCCTTTGCCTTACCGAAGAACATGACCGTAAGACCTCCAATTTAAATCAAATATGCTTGCCGCATGCATGGTAAGCCGTCTGTACTCTTCATCAAAACTAGTATATTTAGCCCAGATGTAAATTGGTGCAGAGCGGTGCTTAACTCTCAGCCATTGGGACAAATAAGGAATTCTAAATGCGCCAACCATCATGGTTGCATAGCAGGCCACAGAAAGGAAGATGTGTTACGGGCAGGCACTTCAGTCATTTCATTAGGGAATTGCGCGGGGGGCAGGCATCATACCTATGATAGCTCAGCCAATCGCTTCCACCTACTATACCTAGTGCTTCCAACGACGCAGTTAAAGAACTAAATACTGTGTCTAAACAGAATAGCCGCGATAAGCGTTAGTCTTTGATCTACCTCAAAGTGAAATCCGACATGAAAACGATCGAGAGAGCTGATGATTAAAATTTCTAGCTTACTAAACTCGGTAGGTCTTGGTTGTTTACAGGAGACCCGGTGAGACGCCGTCGAATTATGTCTGCAGGGTAATTAAACGCCCACATCAGTGGAGCAGTCTGATCTTGGTGGGGGACATGTCGTCAAGGTGATACATGGAACTTCAATAGACCCCTTGTCTGCTCCTTGCGGGGCATTGGTTCGACAATATTGCTTACCCACATTCATTGGTTTTCTCTTCGGCCTTCTCGACTTAGGGCTGTTGGAAGTGGACGGAAGTAGGTGTTAGCCTTTGCCCATACCACTCTAAAGCCTATCCCACTAACACCCCTATTACGGGCATCTCCCCTGACCTGGAGGTGGCTGATACTAAGTTCTAAGTCCTCTTCGGTCAAGCTATAGCTACGATACTTCAGAATGGAGAGCACTAAGCCTTCAGTTACCGGGTGGATCTAGCCGAAGTTTACGTTACCACTCTACTTTATATTCGGATATGCCGCTATCTCAGGTAGGTAGCTATCTAATGGCCGCCTGTAGTTGTATTTTTAGGCTCTGGTGGCTTCTAGAATTTCGGGCCACTCAAAATAGAACTTGTCTCGTGTATCAGGGATGGTGATAACGACAAATTAGAAGACTGGCTATTTTCATGTACATTATTTGTGAAAACGATAACCCTGAAGAGGCTATTGTGTTACTGTGTAAAGCTCAGTCCCCACAACCCCTTTGAAGTATCCGACTTGAAAGACAGTCTAACTAAGGTACCTATCCTACCCATTAATACTCATCGCGTAATGTTAATGTGGCCACAGCCGACCATATACAAAGCTATTATATTTGGTGTGGCTGTTCTAGAGAATACTGGAAAGCACTTCAAGTAATATACCAATAGGCAGTGGCTCAGTATACAATATTATGGCCAACAGAGGTACCTATAAGCTGGTCACCAACATAAATGGCCCACGTCTAACGCCATAGGTACCTGTCTCTAAATCTCTGCTAGCGCGTCAACGAATAAGATCGTGATCCGGTTTTATGCTGTATAGAAAAATGCTGGGAATTCATAGAGCTTTGAGTCGACGAACTAGGTAAATAGTATATCGGATAAGTGAGACTGAGACTACAATATCAAGCTTATTCAGTAAGAAGCAAGGTCGTCGCAATTGGGCTTCGTTGGAGATACCAATATATCAAAAGGTAGGGGGACCTACTACGAGTTACATCGTCGACTTGACTTTATTAACTACGCTAGTTAAAAAGCTAGGCATGGCATCTTGGCTTCATACGAATCACACATATTTAGATGCATACAAAGAGCCCGGCGATAGAGTAGTGTGTAATATTGAGTTGCGTCAACCTATGGCAATGTGAATAATATTCTGCTTGTCGGACCATGCAACCGTATTGTAAGGTAAGCAGCGCTTTGTGAGCTTTGGGGGGCCTATGAGTTGGATGGGGATCACTCCCTTTCAAAGTGGCTGCTGCATACTCTCAGTAGAAAGCAGTAGTAGGTAATTGGGCTCCCCATGCGGGTGAAACCGGCAAAAATTGATGGGAGGGTCAAAATAGTAGCTGTACTACATTGCAATGTGTTAGGTACCTCCTATCTAAGGTAAAATGTGACCGTTATCCCCTCACGCTGATAACATCCTAGTTCATAATAGAACTAAGGTTGTAATAAAATAGAACATTCACCTAATATTGCCGGATAGCAAAACTTACGACAGAGGAATGCGGCTGAGAATATCCAGTCCCCCAACCCTTAACCTACCTCTCTCGGCATAAGCATGTTTAGGGAAGATTAGAGGTAGTCTAGGTTAGTAGGCAGGTCACTTCAAGTCATCTACCAGGCGCCACACAACATTTGGCTTCGATGATTAAATAATGAAATTGTGGAAGGCCGCTTTCATTCTGGATTTTCAAATGCTCATTCTTTCACACCTCGTCGTCGTTGTTATCATCTTTTTTTTCTCTCGATTATTGAACAATACATCCTAAAGATTTATATGCTTGGTTGATAGTTCTACGATTATGGACTAATCTTCCAAGTCACCGTTACTTAGCCAGTTCTCTTAGTGATTATATGTACATCTTATCTATAATTTTATATCTATCATTTTGGCTACATTCTGTTGAACGGCCGTGTCTTAATATAGGCAAGAAGATGTTCTAGTGGGTGTTAGCAACCAATCAATATCCCCTCCATCTGATTCTGCATCGAAAGATCTCCAGATCAGCCCGTTAACCTCATCCGAACTATTTACCATATGCAAGTAATTAGATGTAAACAGATGTTCAAGCGGGGTTCCACAATCATATCAACTTTCTCCTTATACTTAGGATCATATCTATATAGTTCAATTAACCCTAATTTAGATAGATCGCATCAACCTGCAGGATTCCCACGAACTTGGACACGAGGTAGGCACCTACGTTAACGTGGCCAGAGGTTTTGCTTTTTTCTTCCGCTAAGCTCGGGTATGAAAGGAGGGATCTCCCGGTTGGGTGGCGTCAAGCCACTTCTGCATTAGGGTTTCAATCGCTGATACGGTGGGCTCTTGTGTATCCTACCAAACTTCTCCACGGCATCTGTCTCTTCAAATCTTTCATTCAAGGGGACAACTATACGCTCAAACTTCATCATCCGTCAGGAGCTTCACTTGAGAATCCTTGAGAACAAAGGGGGTGCTTGGACTAAGAAGTCTTTTTTTTTCTTCTTGTATATAGCCCTGGCTTCAGAGTCATCTTAGTTAGAGTGTTGTTTCCTCTACCATATGCTCTGCGACGTGACATCATCTATATTCATTAGCTTACTGTATAGTAGGTACCCAACCTAGGTACACACTACTTTCCCTAAATAATGAGTTACGACCGGTCGACAATCGGTAGCCCCGAGAACGGCGCCCAAGAGACCAAGTGACCACCTAACCCAAGGTATCACGAAATTCACTTACCATTCCGGGGAGCGTAGACGCTCCCCGCAAGCGACATATCGTACGGAGACTTAGATAGCGGTGTACTATCTGCAGTCAAAGACTAGAACCATAGATCCAATTGTGTAACCCTACGGTAGGGGGCGGACGACATGTTGAAAACGATTCCTACCAGTTCTGCTTAGTCAATGCATGATCACATGGAGAAGGATTCGCCACTGAAATTACTTATTAAAAGTTACAGTCTAAAGGCGCTGTTCGGACTTCTTAAAAGCAGGGTTAGGTACCTAGTGCGCTGAACACACTCTCGGGACGTGATCTCCTGCAGTTATTCATCAACATTTTATCAAATTTCCTTGATCGCGGATAGAGAATTCCACTAGATTTCTCACCAATGCAAGCCATTAGAGCATGTCACAACGCCTCGACGCCTTACGAGGCATATCTCCTCATACTTCAACACGAAAGGGGCAAATATAATTTAAAATGTACACTATTAACTGTCATCTGTTATAGC